TACGTTTATAAAGCTCCGGGGATAGAGCTAGGCTAAAGAGGGGATAGTATTACGGATACGTTCCGCTAGCGTAGCCTAGTATATAATCCGAACTAAGTATTAGGGGCTAAAGCCTAACTAAGCGCCTAACTACTTAGGCTAATTAGACTACTTAGTATTTAGACTACTTAGACTACTTAGATAAAGAACGAATCTTTTTTATATATAGGAATAATATTATTATTTATATAATAGCGTTTAACTTACTATTTAATCTTACTATTTAGTTTATAATTATATCTAAACCTCTATTTTAAGATTATCTTAGTAGTCTACCGACTCTCTCCTTTTAACGAGCTCTAACTAAAGACTTAAGCTTAGTACCCGTACTAAGTAAGATTCTAGGATTAACGAACCGATCCTAATATATTACTTTTTTAATAAAGCTAAAAAGTAGTTATATATACTAATTCTGAAGAGCTTATATATACTCTATTTAATCTATAATACTAAAATCTCTTTTATTATAAATAATTTATAATTATAAGTAGTAGTAATAGTCTAGCTACTTTTACTACTACTAGTTATTTTTATTATTTTTCTTTTAATCTATTTATTACTTATTATCTATAGCTAAATAGCTATTTATTAATTAATCTAATAACTTAATATCTATATTTTTCGAATTATCTAACTATTCTTACTTTTACTTTTATAGCTATACTTTTACTTTTTCTCTATTTTTAGTAGTTTTTAATTTTTTTATAAGCTTTTTCTACTTTCTAGTAGTTTTATATTTAATAGTAGTAGTAGTAGCTTTATTATCTCTAACTTTTAAAAACTTTTATATAGTATAATAACTTCTAAAAAGCCTAAATATAAGTATAGGTTAAAACTAGCTTACTATTAAGTTACTACTAACTATAAATAATACTATAAGTTAAAATAAAAAATATAAATAGGATATAATATATTTAATTCTAATATTCTATATAAAAATATATATAAAGCTAGGAATACGCTTTACGGCTTCTACTATAAAATTAGTATACTTTTATTTACTATAGTAATAGTAGGTATAAGTCTAGTAAAGTTATTATAGGCGATATATTATACTCGAAAATAAAGCTAGCGTTAATATATATAAAGTTACTTTAATACTTACGTATATTAGAGCTCGATAGGATATTTTATTATTAATACTACTATCTTTTATAGAGTTATCGAGTATATCCTAGCTACTATCTACTAGTCTCTCTATTTACCGAGAAATAGTAATTCGAGGACAGCTAGACTATATACCTAGTAGTAAGGTATATATAGAGTATTCTATTTTAGAGGTTAATATACTTCTTCCTCGAGTACTATACTCCTCGTAGGTAATATATTTTCCGTCGTAGAGATTATAGAGCAAGCGGCATAGTTTTTACCGGGATAGTCTAGTACTGTTTATAGTTCCCGCCTAACACGGAGGTATAGTAGATACCGTGGTTTTCCGGTAGATTTACAACGTAGCAGACAATATAGTGCACAGCGGCCAGTCGTGAAGCCTTGCTGTCCGTTTGGGTCGTCTCTTTGCGTCTTCTTGGCATGAAGGCCAAAGTATTGCCGTCTGGGACAGGGCTCCGGCATCGTGAACACTCTTAGATGCCGCGAGCTGCTTGATCGAACCGGTGGCGGCGGGACAGCCATTCATGACAACTCCATACATGTCGGCTTGTCCAATGCCCTCGGATCTGAATGTTACATGTCTTCCTGCTGACCAGCTCGCAAGAAACTTGTCAGCACTCTCATTTTTCAGCAGCTGCCTTTTGCCAGAGCCATCAGCAGTTGCAATGAAAAGTTCGGAGTAGTCAATACAATCCCCAGATGCACATTGTTGTTGCTCGTTTTCGAAGCCAGCGCTGGCGTTCTGCACAAGAATGAAGACCGGATCTCGGGACCAGCGAACACCTGTGAGGATGTAGTTGAACGAGGCGACATTCCGCCTGGGCAAGGCTTGCCGGGAAGATTGCTTGCGATGGTCTCGGTCGCTGTATCTCGACCCAAGTGTTGTTGCAGACCTCATCTCTGCCGCAACGGTGGCCATACCCACGGCCATGATACTCTCGTCATTCGGAGGGTGAAGGATGCTGACAGAGACTAACTGACTAGCCTCACGTTATCCAATTGGCACCCTTGGGACATGGCTCCATCTTGTCCGCCCACTTCTCGATCCGATTCACCATCCATCCGCTCTCCATGCCTCGTGAATATTCCCCGAGGTTTGGTTTTGAGGAGGACAGACAGCGGAAGTCTGTACTCAAAGCATACTGCAGGCAAGCTGCATCGGCTTCACATATATCTGCACATACCTCCAGCGAAGGCACGGGTCCTCGATCTTCGTCTGCATGGTTGTACCAATCCAATCTTGCCTTGCTGATGCGTGGAAGCACGTACCCATCGAATACGTCTTTGTGCCGCAAAGTCTTCGGGGGCATCTATTGATATGCTTAGTATGCCGTAACTGGGCGGAGAACATACGCCTACCTTCGCAGGCCGACTCATCCAGTCCTGCTCGAATCGCCAAAGCTCTTCAACCACGGTCGGCCCAAGATGATGGTAACTCACACTCGGCATACACCACAGCCGATACCCTTCTCCAGGCCCATCCTTTCGCGAAAACTCCATCTTGCCCGCATCGTCGCCCTGCCAGATTGGCCATGCTTCAGTAAGGTTCGTTCCAGAATCTTTGAAAGCCTTGCCCAACACACAATCGCCTGCCCAGTGATCATTGGTGAACTTCTCCCAAGCGGTCTGCTCAGCCTGATACATATCCACGACGTTCTTCATGGCAGGATGGGAAACTGCAAAGCCTGTCCCTCCATGTGCAAACTGAACGTCTGCTATCCATATCTGCCCGCCGATGTAGTACGGCTTCTCCGCGTTTAAAGCATGCAGATAGTTCAGCAGTGTCTGCCACATGACATATGTGTCCGTCTCCACGAAGATGTACCACTTCTTGTCCGGATACTCATGCAAAGTTCTGTTGACCATGGGCAAGAACTTCCACTTGTCCAGCTTCCAGCCCGGATTCGATGGCTTGCCCATGGCATCTTTTTGAGGCCTGCTGATGGGCCCACTCAACTCATGCGGCTTCAGAGCAGCCCTGCCACCCTTTTGCAAACGGCGCCAAAGCTCGAAGTCGGGATGTGTGTGTCTGATGGACGAGTTGACAAACTCAAGGGCGTCGTAGATGTGCTCGGACTTGTATGTCTCTTCATAGTCCGAGAAGATGAGATAGTGTGGGTAGCATCGCAGTGTGGTGTTCAGATGGACCGGCAATTTGTCTCGCAGCTCGGTGGAGCCAGTCTTGAGGATTACAACGACGTCGTCGGCTCCAGGAAGGCTCCGGCAAGGAAGCTCGCCGGTGGGAGTGGATTGTGCGTTGCTGCCTCCCCTCGCATCCTGTGGTTGCTGATGGCCAGCGGTATGCCGATTCGTATTGTAGGACAAGTAGAAAAAGGAGATCAAGACAACCGACGCAAGGAGACAGACAGTTCTCTGAGGCACTCGACGGCGCAGCTTCGGTGTCGGCCTGCCAGAAGGTGTCCGCTCCAGCGATGCGAATCGTGCCTTGTCGTTGTACATCATGCTGGTCATGTCTAAACGAAAAAAGGGAAGAAGAAAGGGATTCTGTTCAGAGAGTGTATGGGATATGCAAAAAAAGAACACCGATGGTCTCACGCAGATCTTACCAGGACCGTTTGAATTATTAGATTCTTCATGGCGCCGCCATGCCCCCTCCAGGAGATGCAGCGGCTCAGCTGAAATGAACGCCACGGCGAGTCGTGCGTGCGGCCTGGCACGGGAGAGTGCTGCATCGACAGGACTCGCTGGCGAAGTCTCCGAAGCAAGCGCTCTCAGTTTTGAGAGGCGTCCATGGAAGTGGCTTGAATTTCTTCAGACACGAGGTTCTCCATGGGGTAGAAGGATCGTCGACAACGGTTCCAACGCTCTGGAGCCGCTATGATGTGATTCGCCGGAGAACAGATGATGGATCCACTAGCGTGAATGTTGCTCCTGACAAGTGTCGACAGGCGACTTGTCATGTTTGCAGAACTCGGTATAGGTACCAGACAGTACTGCGAAGGCAACATTCTCGTTTGCGAAAGTAGCCCGCTTTTCGACTTGGTCCCCAGTTATTGACAGTCAAAAGCCGGATGATTGTGTCAGCTCGAGACGTGGGATGCCAGATCCTCAGCCGGCCCATTGTCGACAAGCTGGGACTTTGTTGCGAAGGAGGAGAAAACGACTTTCAGTTTGGCCCTCATCTCGAAGTGCGGCTGCTCGCACCAAGTTGAGGTATCTGGATCATCTGGAAATGGACCAGAGCTTGAAATGATGCCGCGATGATGGTCAGTGATACGGGAGAGGAGAAGTTGGGTCGACAGAGATTCAAGAACCTCGGCCATGACCCCTGTCTACCGATGCCAAGCGCACCGCCACGTAATATCACCTTCACTTTTGACGAGCCGGGAGAGGGAGTATGGGAGCGGCTCGATTTCGCACCTAACCGTCCAACAATCCTCCCTCAAGCTCATCAGGGGCCACTGGTGATGAGAAGGATAGCACGATTGCAGTGTTAAAAAGACAAAGCATCAGTCACTAACCACGCACACTCGCTCCAGCAACCCATCTACCTCTGATGCCCATGGGCGACCAATACACCCCGGGTCAGCCCCGAACTCGACCACTGGAAGTGCTTTCTCTCGGACTCCCGCGAACAGGAACCCGCTCGATGGCAGCAGCGCTGGAAATACTGGGCTATCAACACTGTGCTCATGGCTTCGACTTGATGGACAACCCTGCCTATGCCGTTCGCTGGGAGCAAGCCGTCGACGCCAAATACTACGGTCGTGGGGAAGCATTCACTCGCAAAGACTGGGACGAATTGCTAGGCCACTGCAGTGCAACGACAGACTTTCCCTGTGCCGCCTTCTGGAGAGAGCTGTGCGCTGCATATCCCGAGGCCAAGGTCGTCCTGGTACAAAGAGACGAGGACAAGTGGTACACATCGTTTGTGGAAGGAGTGATTGACTCGCAGCTCAGCTCATCTGGGAAGTTCGTTCGAGACTACGTCGAACCGCTGCTGGGGTCCATCCTGGGCCGTCTGAGTCTCAAGATTACACAGAGCTGGCTGGAAGCGGCGACAGCGGACGGCATGCGAGCGAATGCGAAGAGTGCATACCGCCGCCACTACAAAGACGTCAAGGCAGTCGTCGCCAAGGACAGACTACTGGAGTATCATCTGGGCAGTGGATGGCAGCCTCTGTGCAATTTCCTGTGCAAGGATGTTCCTGATTCTGCCTTTCCCTGGGTGAATGAAGCCGATGCGTTGAAAGAGAAGATTGAGGCGTTCAAGGCAGCCAAGACAGCGGAGCTTCAGAGCGTCTTCGCGAAGAGAGTGCTGCCTGTTGTCGCCGGACTTGTCGTTGCATTGGCAGCATGGCGGTGGTCGTGATCAGCAATGTCAAGAGACTTTCTCAAGCCTACATTAGCTCATTCACGTGGTGCTTGTGCACCGCTTGAAGGAAGGGTTCTACATCACAATCCTTCGTCCTCCATCAACGCACGATGACGATGCCCGGAGTCCCGAGCTCCGTTACGAATCCGCCGATAAGCTTGGGCTTCCTCCGACACAGCGCAGCACCTTCAACAACACCACGCCCAACTAACGCCCCCTGCTATGGCACCAAGACAGCAATACGGGCCCTGTCCCAAATGCTCGGAGACTTTTGCACACAGTACGTCGCACCCTCCCGCCCATGTGGAATCACGGCTTATTCCCTGCACAGAGTCCTCGCTGGCTCGCCATGTCAGACGCTGCCAACAAGATGTGCCCTCAAGATCCAGACGAACGGCATGCCAGCTTTGCTGTGATGCCAAGGTACGATGTGATGGTCGTCACCCTCGTTGCGGCAGATGCAAGGACCGAAATCTGATGTGCAGCTACGTTCCATCGGCCAATACTCAAGACCACACCGAGCACAAGGACATCTCATCGACAACCATCACCCTGCCTACTGGAGAAACTTCCTACGACGGTCTTATCTCGGCAGAGAGGCTACAGATCTTGGCCGGTAACTCAGAAATAACCACGACTCCTCCCGATTCGCATTTCTCCAAACCCATCATCAAACTCCACATCGGTGTGGTCAAGTCATGGGCGAGACTGATGGCCACCTACGGCTTCGACTATCTTCCCCCCATCGTCCATCCAGTGCAGTCCGTACCTGAGGCTCTGGCGAACTGCTATACACTGGTCAAGATGTGGGCCATCCACGCGGAAGGCAGCACACATCTCGTGCAAAGGACATTCCTGAGTGAGGTCCGGAGTATTCTCCGCGACCACGCCTCTCTCAACGAATCCGAACTACTTGCATCTTCGCAATCTCTGTTGCTCTTGCTCACCATCCTGTTCTTCGACTTCGGCGAGATGTCAATACTGACGAAGTCTGCCAGTGCGCAGCTCCTAATCGAAGTGTGGGAGGCCAAACGCCATCTCGCAGCGACAGGTCTGTTCCTTGATGAGGAAACTCAACACCGTATGCCCGGTTGGGAGAGCTGGGCCACAGTCTCCGCGAAACGACGGACTATCATGGCGCTGCATCGACTCGAGTACAGCTGGTCACTTCTGAACGGCTACCCGATCGTCATGTGCTGGGAATTGAATCCTCTGCCAGCACCGGCAGCGCGATACTTGTGGCAAGCCAGGGACGAGGAGGCGTGGGTTCGACTCTACAGTCAGTGGCTGCAGTTGTGGAAGGACGGCACTTACAAGATGCATGAGCTGCTACAGTTCCATGCAGGGGGTGAGATGGACGACCGAAGTGAGCTGTGGTATGCAGAAGCAGACGAGTTTGGCTTAATGCTGGTGGCAGAAGGTAGTGTGAAAACTGGTGATCTTAACATCATATCCGCTAACTACCGATCTTCAGCCCGCTCAATCGCTCCTCAGATACAGCATGATAAACATAGACTATAACGACGATGCTCGGGCTATTACCCAACGATCAATGCGAAGAGCAGGCCGTCATACCCGCCTGATTGAACCTGACAACTGCAATGATGAAAGTCAAGCAGGAGCCCGGAACTCCGAGCTCTGCGGATATATGCAACTGGTCTTTGAAAGCGAAACAGTTTTACAAATGCATTCATGGCGGCAGAGGTATAAAGTCACACGCCGATGGCAGACTTTTGCGTCTGTACTCACTTTCGTCTCACTACAACATGCAGATCAACGATTCAGCCCTCCCTCTTGGTTCGGTCGTTGTGGTCATTGGAGCAAATGGCCACATCGCCGCCGAGACTTGCGAGAAGCTGCTTCAGGCAGGCTTCCGTGTCCGTGGAACTGTTCGAGATGTTCACCGGCAGGCTTGGATGGGCAAGCTCTTCGATCCTCAATGGCCTGGGATGTTCGAGCTGGTCAAGGTAGAGGACTTTGGGAGGGATGGGGCCTTCGATACAGCTTTCGAGGGTCAGTGTCTCCGTGTTTGAGACACTCCGAACTCTGCTCATCATGTCTTTCTAGGAGCTGCTGGGGTCATTTACGCCTCGCCACCCGTCCAGTTCAGTGCCGAGCCAGCAAAGTCTATCGCTCCAATCATCCAGACCATCACCAACACTCTCTCTGCCGCGTCCTCGCAATCCTCGATCAAGCGTTTCGTTCTCGTGTCCTCCTCGATGGCCGTTCAAAACGTCATTCACGACCAGCCTCGACGTCTCACTCGGCAAATGTTCAACGACGCTGCTATTATCAGATCTCTCTGTCAGGCCGATGCGGACCCGCTCAGCGTCTACAGTGCAGGACGCACTCTGGCAGAACTGTCTTTCTGGACCTGGGTCGAAGAGCACAACCCCAAATTCATCGCCAACGTTGTCGTCCCGGATGCAAATTTTGGCCGACTGTTGAATCCAGACACCGACACTGGCCTCGCAACAAGTATCATGGGAATGCTGAAGAGAGCCGCGGCCGGGGAGCTGCATGCAGTCAATCCAATAAGTGAGTCCATCATAACATATTGGAGACCTGCTTGATAATGTGCTAACTCAACCTCAAGGCCACGTTGTTGATGTCCAGGACACCGCCCGCCTTTTGGTGGCAGCGGTGGCTCTGCCCGACGTGCAAGGCGAGCGCGTCTTTGCATACCACCGAATAGAGAATTGGGCATCCCTGCGTGCTAAGATCCGTGCTCACCGGTCAGACGTCGTCGTAGGCGAGGATCGAGCCAACGAAGGCATCGACCTGGCAGATGCCAGTGCCGCAATCGCACGCTCCGACGAGCTGCTCAGAAGACTTGGGCGACCCGGATTTACGAGCGTCGATCAAATGCTGGGAGACTTTGTGGCTTCATGTTACTGAGGAACGCGTCTTTCCTCTTCTCGTCCCTCGCTTCTCCTGCTGTTTGCAGCTTTCATGGCTTCCGCGGCTATCAGCGACACTTTCTACATACATCTACCGCATGCGTGGGGTGCTTCTCGTGGTCATTTCCAACGCCGGCAATTTCTCACCGCGTGACCGAATCAAGCAAGCTGCATCCATCCCCCTTCCTCTACGAGCGACAGACATCTCGCCGTGTCTGACGGACGCCTTGTCCATCTCAAAGGTAAGCGCTAATATTGACTCGTTTGGAGATTAGCAAGCAGAGCTGAATCTATCCGTTGGCAACGACGAGGTAGGCGACCGAGACGGTCCCTGCGATTCCCGTCGTCAGCAAGCCCGTCGACATGTCATTAAGCGATGTATGCCTAATCGAGACATCGGTCTATTTTGCTGACATTACGCACTTACGGCCGTGCCTTTATATTAGGCGAGAGCCAGCTCTCCTGCAGTACCGTCACATCCGATTCTTGCGCCTGCCCTGGTTGTTACAATGGCCACGAAAGCCGACTTCGATCGTATCGGCAACTATGCGCTCATGTACAATAAAGACCAGAATATTGATCGACGACGATGCTCCCGCACTGTACCCATGCAGGTCCTCGCCCTGGGCTACTCTCGCACGGGTACCATGTCTATGCGGTCCGCCTTGAACACCTTGGGATACCCCAACACATACCACTTCAGCAGCTTCTACGAAAACGTCCGCGACTGCGATGTGTGGCAAGAACTTTTCGCGGCCAAGTTCGAAGGCAAGGGAACTGTCACCAAGCGGCAGTTCGATGGGCTATTGGGATACTGCGGTGCTGTTACCGACATGCCGTGCCATCTCTTCGCCGCTGAGCTGATCGCCTTCTACCCCGATGCCAAGGTCGTCCTCGTCGAGCGGGAGTTGGAGTCTTGGTACAGATCCTGGTCGGGCTTCGTTGAAAACGCTCTGAGTCCTACACTGCCCTTGCTCGCAATGCTTGACCCGTACTGGCTGGGTCGAATCGTCGGTGTTGGGGCGGCAGGAGTCGACAAGCAGGTTGGGAGTGCCAGGACAGTTACTGCTGCCAAAGCGAGATCTCGTGAAGAGTACCGCAAACACTACGCCTTCGTCCGCTCGATCGTCCCGAAAGATCGTCTGCTAGAATACCAACTTCGCGAGGGGTGGGAACCACTGTGTGCGTTCCTCGAGAAACCAATCCCCAGCGTTGCCTTTCCACACGTCAACGACTCTGCCCACAATGCGCAGTCTTTCAAAGAGATCGCTATCAAGGGAATTGGAAACATCTTGAGAAATGGCATGTTGATCGTCGCCATCGTGGGCGTCCCTGCGGGGGCCTTTTTCATCTGGCGACAGATGTCCCGCCACAGGCACCCCCTGGATTGAAACCCAGTCTACACACAGCCTCGCATCACGGCTCTCCGCATGTCGTCCCACAGTCGCCCGTGCCAGTCCCACAGCCATTCCCCCAAGATCCCCATGAAGTATCTACACCACTGCGGAGGATGGCTGTATCAATGAATGCTTTGATATAGACGGTACCAGAAAGGGTGTTTGAGGTAGATTGTGTCTTCTATTGCTCAGTCCTGCCCCCTTCCACAACTGGAGGCCATGGCTTCAAACGAAAAGCCAGCAATACAAAACCTCGAGTTCACCGAAGACAGCGTCGATGGCTCCCACGAGAAGTCACGGCTCACGGCTCGTCTGGTTTGCTTCGCCTTGAACCCTATTTCGTAGCTTTCATGGCCGGAAAATGCATCTCAGCAATAGGACTTGGCGCTTTAATAGCGGTCGGCATCACCCATGGCGTTGAATGCATCCCGGCGGACAACCGACCCGTCTTGCTCAGCCTGTACGGTATCGCCAATGCGTTGGGGGTTTTCATCGGTGCTTGCATCCTTGTTGGCTCGTCTATGTTGGAGCCTGTCACCAATGATTGGCAGTGGAAAGTTCTCGTGTTGATCCAAATTCCTGCTGGAGTGGTGCTGGCAGGTCTGGTCTGGCGCTTTCCAGAGTCCCCTCGATGGCTCTTGATCCAGCATCACGTAGACGAAGCACACAGGTCGTTTGCATTCTATTTCAACGGAGTCCCTGACAGCTCCAGGATTGAGACCTTGGTACAGATTGTTCAAGGCCATCTCCGGCACGAAGAGGTCAGCCGCCACTCTACGTCTTGGACCGATATTTACAGAGGACGCAACCTACGCCGCACGCTACTCTCTGGTTTCATCCTGACCATGTTGGCCCTGTGTGGCGTGCAGTTCGTTCTCACCTATGGCACGGTCTTCCTGATGCAAGCTGGTATTAGCAACGTTTATGTCACGAACGTTGCCATCTCGGCATGTACTTTGGCTGGCAGCCTGCTGTCGCCAGTGTCCCTCGAGTATGCTGGCTGTCGGGGATCTGTGTTGTGGAGCTCCGCCGCAACGGCATTCTGCATGCTGACCTTTGCTGCGGTCAGCTCAGGTTCGGGCGCAGACAGTGAAGTGGCCAGGAATGTCCTCGTGACATTCATTTGCTTGTGGGCATTCTGCTTCGGAGCAGGACTCGGCGGTGCCGCGTGGCTTACTTCGTCTGAAATGCACTCCTTGCGGCCCAGGACGTACGGACAAGCCAGCTCAGCAGCTGTGTATCAAATCTGGTCTTTTGCGGCGACATTCTGGACGCCTTACATGCTGCGGCTGGAGTACGGAAACATGGGGACCAACGTGGGATATTTCTACTTCGGGTTGACTTTGGTCATGTTTGTCCTCGCTTTTCTTTTTGTGCCAGAGACCGCCAAGTTGAGCTTGGAGCAGATCGATGATTACTTCAATTCGGGAAGACCTGCGTGGAGAACATCTTTGAGACGCAACAGAGACGCAGGTGCTTGATACTCCGTGTCTTGTTGATGGCCTGGTGGATATTTGAGAGCGCCTTATAGATGGTGGAAGGAGAACCGAATATTTTGAAAGAGCATCTAGTCGAGGAACATCTTGTGGTCGCTGGGTTGCAGCCCATACGTAGCAATCTCATGGGTAAGATCAATTGGCGGGTATTCACTATACCCTCGCTCCAAACCTCAAACTCATACTATACGTCCTGAGCCTCGTCTCACAACTCAAACTGTTTTAGCAGCCCTTAGTACAGACAGCGTCGCGCGGTGAATCGTCAAGGCTGAAGCTTGAGGGACGTCGGAAGTGTGGGGAGCGCTGGAAGGATTGTGGAGAAGAGGAGGTGCGTTATGCCGTCGGGTTATCCAGCTGCCGAGTACATTGTGGGACCTTGAATAGTTTCGGGAAAGGCGATTTTAGTGATCAGCTCCCTCCGCGTATCTGCTACTTATTTCAGGTCAGTGTACGCGGAGAGCGTTGATCAATAGGGCTGGGAGTGCGGCTCTGGACTTACTTAAGCGTTTTAGTGTGCCAGCAGAAGAAACCTCAAGTTTTCGAGAACAGAAAAAATGCGATCCACGGCAACTATCACTACGAGCAATGGCATTACTTGGTACTACGAACAGGAAGGCTCCGGTCCAGATATCGTCTTGATACCTGATGGACTCGGGGAGTGCGGGATGTTCAGCAAGCCCATGACAGAGATTGCCGCTGGAGGGTTCAGAGTAACCACGTTCGACATGCCCGGTATGTCCAGATCTTCTGATGCTCCGGTCGAAACCTACACCGAAGTCACGGCACAGAAGCTGGCTTCGTACGTCGTCAACCTTCTCGACCATTTACAGATCACCACGGCAACCTTTTGGGGCTGCAGCTCGGCCGGGTCGACAGTGCTAGTGCTCTGCAAAGACTACCCCGACCGAGTTCGCAGCGCCTTGGTCCACGAAGCACCAACTACGCTGATGGACTTCTTACTCGAGCTAGACAATCATGACGACGAAGCTATCTCTCAAAAGCTCGATGTCATCAATCGGTCAATGCAGAATTTCCAGGAAGCTTGGGAAGGACTGGGCCCCGAAGTGCACGCACGGCTGTGGAAGAACTATCCTGTCTGGGCACGGGGATATCCACGAACGATTCCACTGTCGACGCCAATCAACGATCTCGAGACAGTGGCACAGAGACCGTTGTTTTGGACTGTCGGAGGTGAGACGCCAATGGCCCTGTTCTTCGAGAACGTTATGGGTGCGACCAAAGCTGGAATTGAAATCAAATTGCTTCCAGGCGGGCACTTGGTATATGTGAGCCATCCACACGAATTCGCAAAGCACGTAGTTGAGCAGGCTAGTAAATACCGTCACGAGAGGTAGAGGATCTCCTTTTTCGGCTGCTGGTATTAAGGAGAACTTTGACATCTGTCATGCCTATGCTTCAATCTCTAATGTCCGTTGACTCCATTCGCTGATGATTGACCGTTGATGAGCCCAGACTCATTGTACTTGTACTTCTCCTCGAGCTCCTAAAATATTGGTCAGCACAAAGTCCAAGACGCAGCCTCCCGTACATACCCAGTATTTTTAAATCCAACTCCCTCGCAAACTTCTTTGCAGCTGAGCACCATCGGAGGTGGGCCAACTGTCATTCTCTTCTTCAGTCCTTCCAGAGTCTCTCGGATCGACTTCAGCTTTGCCGCCACGAGAGTCCATGGATATGCCACGGCACAGAAGCCCAGCTCCGCGAGGTCTTTGGCAGACAGGTTTTCAGTCAGGCCGCCCTCAATTATGTTCGCGAATGTGGGGATGTCCAATTCCTTGACACATCTTCTCATCGATTCTCGGTCTGGGAGCGCCTCGACGAACACGGCGTCCACGCCAATGCGTTTGAACTCCTTGGCACGGGTCAAGGCTTCGTCCCAGCCGTGGATCAGGGCATCAGTCCGCGCAAGGACAAAGATGTCCTTTCCACTGTTTCGAGCGTCGCAAGCAGCCTGGATGCGAGCAAAGGCTTCACCGCGAGACACAACTGCCTTGCCTTTGGTATGCCCACAGCCTTCTCGAGATAGTTAGCTCATGAACATACTCCTGCAGATAGCGCCCAGTGATCATACGTTTTGGCCATGTTTGATCCTCGATCATGACACCAGCGGCTCCAGCATGTGCGAAATTCTCCACTGTCCGCTTCACATTCATTGGACTGCCGTAGCCAGTATCGCCGTCGGCCATGACCGGTACACTGACCTGCCTCACGGCCTCCTGGATCTTGTCGCATACTTCTTGCATAGCAATGTAGCCTGTGTCGGGAAGCCCATAAGAGCTAGCAACAGGATAGCCCGCAAGAAACACCATAGGGAAACCAGCCTCTTCGACGAGCCGAGATGACAGCCCGTCGTAGCTGCAGCAGTGCGCGAGAATCTTCTCCGGACTCCTGTGAGCTTCTAACATCATGGTGCGGAGGCGAGATGCTTGAAGCGAAGGTATCTTGCCGCGAACATTCTGAAGTGTGATCTGGACATCCTGCGTTTGACCCGGCTTACTCGTCACCTCGTAAGGCTGGGCCTCGAATTGGAAAGGATAGGGTGCCATAGTTGATTTCGAGAGGATGGAGTAGCTGAAGAGCTCGACGTCTTTCGACTTCTGTAAAATATTTATTGCATACCCGTCTACGTATCAAATTGCGATCGGGCCTGTCATTGACGAGACTCTCCGCTTCCGGCCGATGAAGTCGCGGATATCTCAGGAGAACGACGGGCCGAAATAGCAGCACCACGACTCCACCACAGATGTCCTTCACTCTCCGAAACGCGGGGCCCCGTGGAGAGGAGAGGAGGTACATCCTGGGCAGCTGCATTACATATTCCACTAACTCCTACATATGCGAGTCGATGTACAAGCGTTGTGCACGGCAAGTCTGATCGCGACATTGTTCGTTCAAGTGCTGCAAGATGTCGCCATCCCCGAAACGAGACTCCCAGGTAAAGGAGACCGTCGACATGGTCGAGAAGGCTGAGCAAGAGTCGACCGCAATCACGCAACCCGTGATCGACAACGAGCGGACAGCGCAGATACGCAGGCAAGTGAGCAGTGTGTTCATAAAGTCACATCCGTCTCGGAGCACTAACGATACCAGTTCGATCGTCGAGTCCTGCCTCTCGTCTGCTGTCTTTACGTTCTCTCATACTTGGACAGAGGTGAGGAGGACCCAATCAAGAGAGAGCTGTTTCAATACTCATTCACCGACAGGTAACATTGGCAATGCCAAGACAGCCGGGGCACAGCAAGACTTGGGTCTCAGCAGTGCTCAGTGGTCTTGGGTGCTCAACGCCTTCTACATTTGTTATGTTCTCTTCGAGTGGACGACTTTGTTCTGGAAGCTTTTGCCTGCCCACATCTACGTTGCTGTACTGTGCATATGGTAAGACTGTTCTACAGCCTAGTGGATGCTTGTTGCTGATCACTGGTAGTTGGGGTGCTGCGGCGATGTGTTCGGGTGCGGTAAGTAAAGACATTGACAATGTTTCGTCTGATGGGTGCTGACATATGCAGGTCCGCAACATGGCCGAGCTCATAGTCTGTCGAGCATTGCTGGGCATCTTCGAGGCCGGGTTTGGTGCCGGCGCTCCTTACTATCTCTCCCTGTTTTACAACCGTCAAGAGCTCGGTTTCCGCGTATCGGTCTTGCTGGGAATGTCGCCCTTGGCAAATTGTTTTGCCTCCGCTCTGGCGTTTGGCATCACTCACATCCGGCACTCCATTGAATCGTGGAGGTGGCTGTTCATCATCGGTAAGAGAATCCCGTTGTCGAGTCGAAGGGGAAAACAAGATGCTGATACGCTGCCAGAGGGTGCACCGACTGTACTGTTTTCTGTGATTGTCTACTTCTTCCTTGCGGACGCCCCAGACAAAGCCAAATTCTTGAACCAAGACGATCAAACACTCGCGCTCGAGAGGCTGGAGACCTTCGACAACACCAAGAAGTCTAAGGTCTCCTGGAGACAGGTCATTGCAGGTCTTGGAGACTACCAAAACTATGTTCATACTATCATTCACTTCTGTTGCAACTATTCGTTTGCCGTGAGCCTGACGCTCCCCCTCACAGACGCAACTGCTAACTCCAATTCAGGGTCTCTCCAACTTCTTGCCAACCATCGTCGAGAACATGGGCTACTCGTCGATCAACGCACAGGGTCTCACAGCGCCTCCGTACTTGGTGAGCTTCCTCTGCTGCATCGCAGGTGCTGTTCTCTCAGACCGTTTCGGCAAGCGAGGCTGGATCGTGGCTTTCTGCTCTGCGGTCGGTGGTGTCGGTTACCTGATACTTGCGATTGTTGAAGATGACAGCAAAACGGGCGTCCGCTATGCTGGTGTCTGGCTTGCGACTTGCGGCATCTTCCCAGCACTCGCCATCAACATCACTTGGCTGCTCAACAACCAGCAAGGCCACTCCAAGCGCGGTGCTGGTCTGGCGCTGCTGGCCATGTTTGGGCAGTGCAGCTCCTTCGCGAGCAGTACGCTCTTCCCAAAGTCTGACGTGTGAGTGCGCTGTTGTCTCATCGTTGATTCATGCTGACAACTGATCAGTCCCTATTTCGTGCGTGGTTGCGCGGTTGGTTGCGGCCTGACCTTCACCATCACGATACTGAGCCTTTGCCACCACTTCGCACTGGAACTGCAGAACAAGAAGCGGGAAAGACTTCATGGTCCCGTCGATGCCACACTGAGGCTGGACGTCACGGAAGATGGGGATCGCAACCCGAACTTTCGATATTTGACCTAATACAAACCATCCACAGCGACTCGTTTTGGCTGGGGAAACAACGAGCTCTTCCTAACGATAAATAACCAGTTCTTCTTAAATTGTGTATCTCCAATCTCTTCACACCGTTGTCCCGAAACTGAACAGGCGGGAAAAACCAATGATGACCATTTGAAAGTCTTGGAGCTGTCTCAGAATGATCCAAGAGCCCCGTCTGCGGCCCATATTGCGCCAGACGTGTAGCTGTTGACACTTTCCGCAAGCGATACATACACTGGCGCCAATTCGACTGGCTGCGAGGCACGTCGAAAACGCTCAGCTCCTGAAAGCCTGTACATGTCTTCCGTAGTAAAGCCTTGGATGGAATCGAAATTAGACCAAGTTATTCCGGGAGCAACGGCATTGACCTAAAGCCAGTATTTATCAGAGTCCGTGTGCTTCGTAATGATTACTAACGTAAACGTACTCGGATTCCTTTGGGTGCAAGTTGTCTAGACAGACTCTTCACGAAAGATGCCAATGCCGCTTTTGTTGCACCGTAATCAACAAGGAAAGGCGGTGCTCTCCATCCAGCATCAGAGCTAGTAAAGAGAATCCTCGAGCCTGGAGGAAGTATATGAACAGCGGTTCGAGTGAGGAAAAATGCAGCATAGACATTCGTCCGGAAGGTCCTGTCGAACTGACCAGTAGAGAGATTGCCTATGAATTCGTGGTTCTGAATGTATCCTGCGTTGTTCACGAGAATGTCCAGCCCTCCAAGCGATTCCGCGGCTTCGGAGACGAGATGAGCACAGAAAGTCTCGTTCAGAAGATCGCCTGGAATAGGGAAAAACGTCGCCCCTCAGCTTCGACTAGGTCGCGTACAGCTTTGGCGTCTGACTCTTCTTCGGGGAGAAAGTTGATTGCAATATCGGCTCCCTCCCGCGCGTAGGCAATGGCAACCGCTCGACCTGTTGACGAGTCGTTAGAGAATGAAACTACCAAGCCGTAGCGCAGCAGGCTGCCTACCGATACCTGAATCGCCTCCAGTAATCAGGGCAGGCCGCCCTTGCAGGCGTCCGTGTCCTTGGTACGAATGCTCACCACAATCGATGGGCGGCTGGAACTGACTCTGTAGGCCGGGGAATTCCAGCACGGGAAGGGTGTAGTTGTTGGAATATCGCGTCAAGGGGTTGATTAGACTTGATGTTGTGCTTTGAGCCCCTGTGTGGAGCACAGCGAGTGCGAAAGCGCCGCAGAGCACGAACTGCATTTTTTCAGCTAAGCGAACGGAGTGCAACCGTTGCAAGTAAAAGAGCAGGCGAGGCCGCAAGTATTGATTTTCCACTTCACGAGGGCTGGAGCTGAACATGTATGTCTTATCACAGCCATCCCGTCGCCAGTCGTCTGATCATCGGCAATGGACAGTCCTGTACTAATCGTCATTGAGGCGGTGAACTTACGTGGCCCATGCCATCTTCGTCGAGCTGGTCTGCGTTTGTCCGTTGACGCTACATGTATCCAAGATGACAATGGAAGCGTGACGTCCTGAATGAAACGTAGACCTCTTAAGTCCGGGTCGGGTTCGTCATCGCCTACTATCATGGCCATCCATGCCCACAGCTCGACATCAGGGACAGGTCTAAGAAACATTACCGCATCACAAAGTCGCTCCCCCGAATTGGACTGTTGACCCTGACTCACGCGCACATACCAGTAGCAATAGTAAGAAGTCACATCTATGGCGTTTTCTGCGATCCGAGAGACAGTTGGGCCTGGTCTACATCAAGGCCGAGATACTTGGATCAGAATGTTGTTCTACTGCGCGTTCATGGAATCGCAATAATGCAGTCGGGGTCTATGCCACACCAATCTCCCGGATGTACCCCTGATTGCTGCCCGGAGACAAGAGCACAAGAAGCCCTAGGGCTCGTTTTAGTAAAGGCACACGCCAAGTCGAGAATGTGCCTTACGCTGAGCCCAGCCCCTAATTACTCCTCGGAGACATGAGCACGAGAAGCCCTAGGGCAGGTTTGAGAGAAACCTCAAGCCAAATCAACAATGTTTCCGCACACTGAGCCCGAACGGTCGTAAATTCTTCTTTGCTTCTCAATCGTTTTTCTCTTTGTACTTTCAGGACATAGGCCAGCGACCATCCACCACCTTGAGGACGACCATGCCACAACAAGATCCGCAGGTGACGCTTTTTGTCGATTTCTACATCCACCCAAACCTCATCGAAGCCTGGAAGGAAGGTCATCGCCCAGTGTGGAATGCATGTGCTCAGGAGCCCAGATGCATACTTTTCGACGTCTTCGAAGATCCAAATGAAGCAGGACATTTTAGACTTATAGAGGTGTGGGCTGCAACAAAAGCCTGGTTCTTGGAGGAGCAACTCCCCAAACCTTATTATGCCACCCTTTGGTCCAAGACTGAGCATACGTACCGCAAGCCACGTGTGCTCTCGTTTATGGAACGGCTGGGTGAAGGTTGCAGTTACAAGAGCTCCTATCTGGACGGCGGAAGATGTACGGATGGTGCTTGAGAATGCTACGGCTCGAATGCTGGCACATGGAAGCTGGATTCTTGGAAATGGGGCAAGCAGAGGGCAGAGTCTCCTGCAGAGAAGGTCCGGGTCCGGTTATCAATCTGCTCGACGTACTCTATGGATCTGGAGCCTGGGACTTGGACCAAGGCAGGCAGGGAAGCACCACGAATTAGCACCAAGCCTGGATCAAATACAAGCGTGATACATGTGTTTGGGCGGTGGGAGACGGTACGTAGACAGCGGAGGGAACATGATTATAGCCGACATCGAACAAGTCTCGAATGGTTGCTCCACCGAATTGCGTCTCGAATCTGTCGCTTCCAAGCAGTACCAAGCTGAATACTCTAGTACCTTTTCTGGATGTTCAGCTTCTTCATGTCTTCTGGTGTTAGCACCTTGATCCGAGAACTTCGTGCCGTTTCATCGTTGAGAATCAGCTCGTACACAGTCGCAAAGTCGGAGGCTTTGACCACGCCGTGGGTAATAGCATCCTCGTCGTGTTCGACTCGAAAGCCCAAGAAGACCTCGTTAAAACGCACATTCGTTTCCTCATTCTCTCGCATTCCAGCGATGCACATCGGGAACAACGCTCCTTGAGTCATGGCCGGCAGTGGGAAGATTGCCAGCTCCCCTTGCATCCCAGTGCAGATGGTCCATGTGCTCTGCGGGTGGTTCTGGTCTCTGAGGAAGCCAATGGTATCGCGATAGGCGACTGGAAACTGCGTCAGGTATTGTTCTGGGGAAGCCGAAAGATGAGGTGCTTACAGAAGTTGGCCTCGAACGAGATGTTCATGTTACGTCGCAGACGTTCAGTGTCGATTTCCTCGAGGGGCACTGAAACATATTCGCCGCCAACTATGCCGAACATTAGACGCCCGAAGTACCACTGAAGTCTCCAGCGTTACGAACCGCTTGACCACACATGCTGGAAGGCTGGGAGTTTGCCTGCGCGAACTTGGTCGACCACATTCCTGACGCCATTGTCCGAGGTCACATCGGCCTGTACACAGATGATACCCTCGGAGGTACCAACATGTTTGATGAGTCTCTTGCTCGACTCGTCGTTCCGGACAATAGCCAAGACATTGCGTTTCGACCGAAGCGCTGCAGTTACTGCAGAAACGCCGATATTTCCAGTGGCTCCAACAACCAATACGGTCTCCATTGAAGCTTTGGAAAACAATATGAGCCGATTGAAGATAGATGTAGAACAATTCGTGGATAGCCTGGTTTCTTTGACGACGGGTGGAGCGCTTTTGTATCTGCTTCAACGTAGGCCTGGGTCGCCGCTTGATGAGCCTGACCTAGGTGGGCTGGTATTGTACGGGTTGGATCCACGCCTGGCAGGAGCAACGCACTCTCGCGGTCCCGTTTTCGGGCGTAGAAGGATCCGAGCTGACAAACCGGACAATCAACGTTATCGGCCCGTACCGAGCCCTCGGTGAGTGAATGCTTCCTCCCAAATCTCATCACCTCATTGGCTCAATGTCGTTCGCTGAAGCAGCCGTCATGCCACAACTTGCTTGCTTGACGTGGGATTCAACTCATAGCTAGTAATGATTATGAGATGCTCAGATCGGAACTGGGATGACATCTGGTCCCCAAAACTTTGCGAATATCATAGACCGGTACCGGTTTAGATCGTCCTTCAAAGTAGCCTGTCTTTCTTCCTTCCCGAGCACTTCGCACGGTACCACACGTCCAGACAGTCAAAAATCTCTTATCAGAGTGCTTGGAAATTCCACAGGAAATCCAGATTATCGCCTGCAGAGCTCAGAGGTGTCTGTCCATCATCGCCCACTGGAAAGAGCGGTGCCATGGTCGGGTCGAAAGGCAGGGCAAACCAATCGCTGAAGGAAGACGGAGAAAAGTCGTTCATAGTCACATTGTCAACGGGAGCCGACGCAGAAGGACCTGGTTGACAGCTTGTGCTAGACTCCTGATCCATTCCTTCCGGAGCCAAAGGCGTCGACATCCGGCTGGAAATGAGCTTTCCCGTCAGTGATACCGAGAAAGCCCGTCTCAATCTCCAGATATGCGTCTTGAGGAGCGAGGCGTAAGTATGCGCAAGGTGGATATCATCAGGAACGCTGGTCCCCAAAGCAGTGACAGTGCTGTCCAAAATGCCTAATGCTGAGCGAAGCTGACTGTTCCGCACACCAAGCGCAAGGGCTTTCAAAAGGAAGATGGAAGCTGTGGTCGCGTGAATAAATATTCTGACGGGGGCAAAGCGAAGCACGCCTGTTTCCGAAAGCTGGACCACTCGCTTAAGGAGAGCGCATGAGGATGCAATGACCTGCTGGGCATGCTCATGATCAACGACACCGCTTGTGCCTGACGTGGCGAAAGAGCCTTCGGCCGAAACCTGTTCGCATTCGGCCTGCATGCCGAGGGAGCTGAAGTAGATCTGGGTGTAGTGCTGTTCTATGAAGAGGTGGTCTTTCATTTGCTTGGCAATGTCTTGTGTCGGAGTATCAGTCCAAGCCACGCCAGAGCTTATAGGATACAGACTCACTCGTGCTGCCAAGGTATCGCTCTCCCCACTGCACAAGTAGCGGCTGAAAGTGCTGCAAAATCGAAGTGTACCGTCCAGACCGAAGCAGCCTCCTTGTTGCTGACTTGGAAGCAAACGCAATGTCCGAGAAAGACTTGAACAATTTCACAAGCTCGGTCCACGCTTGGAGAAAGGCGTCGTGTGACGGCATAGAAGATGGCATGGATGGAGACTCGGATTTGAAAGGCACCTGTTGTTGGGCGAGCATTGACGTCGTGCCCTGTCTTGCGGCGAGCTGGTTGATCGAGACGTAAAGTAGACCCCTGAGCCGTGCTGACTGTGATATCTTCGGCGGAAGTGGTTCTGGGCCATCTTCTTCTTCGAACCCATCCAACTCGTGCGCAAGAGACAGTGCACATCCAAGGAGCATCCAAGACATTCGGTCCGATCTCCTCGCAGGTTCGATTACGTCGACGAGGCTTTTGGCCTGTGTGTAAGCTGAAGGTCGAGGTGCGCTCGGGGTGAGGAGTAAGTCAGAGTCCCAGCCATCAGTCTCAGGAGGAAAGTGAAGCGCCCGGGGGTTCCACTCCGACATGACAATGAGCCCTTCGATAGATCCCAGGGTTCGAGTCTTCGCCGACGAGCCTTTCTCCTGACCAAATACCAAGCGCATGACCAGGTGTTGGCAATGGTGCCAGAAGCGGTCATGGATGAAATAACTTCGAGAAACGCCAGCGGCCCCCGGCAGAATGTGATAACGAGACGAAATCATGAGTATCGCACAGCAAAGCAGAGGCTCTTTTGTGACGAGTTCGAAATGCCCATCTACGCCAGCATAGGCTCCCAGATCCACGGGGCTGAGAGCCGCCATGTTGCGGAAAAAGCTGCAGTTGTCAGCAAACAGCTTGCTTCTTGATGGAAGGTCAAGAGCACGTACAGGTCGAGGTAGGTGACTGCCTCTGCGGGCACCAGCCATCCCATCTTCACAAACCTACTGGCGCTCCAGGTTTGATGGGCTGTGTCGGAGATCATGGATAGCGCAACGGGTTTGTGGTGTATCGGCGGACACTGACCAGGCAGTTTGTGGGCTTGCTCGTTGGACTCGTCTTCCAGCTCATCAGTTGGGGGTCCAATCTCACCAGAGGAATCGGCAGCTTGGAAGAGAATACCAAGAGCATCTTTTCCACTTGTGACTACGGTTTGTACCACCGAACCCACAAGATCAGTCTGGCGAGGGGCGTGGCCGCTTTCACTCGACTCCCGGACCGAGGGCTTTTCAAGTCGGGGCTTCTTCGCAGGCGCAGTGGACGACATCTCCGCAGCATCGAGTCTGCGAGTCGTTGCCAGGTTTGATGTTGCCTTTGGCCAGGCTCTCTCCTCTGGGATGATGCATTCTCTGAGCTCATGGCGGCATCTTTGGCAAGGTGGTCCGTTCTGCCCTCCCAAGTCGCAGCGTGATTTACGCTTGCGGCAATGCAGACAGGCCTTGTAAGCCCTTCTTTGTTGCGACGCCTCGTCGACGTGGTCTATTTCTTGTGGCATTGTCGTTGTAAGGGTGAGGGTCCGGCCAGCAGAAGGCGGAGAAACATGGAGAAGAGCGGAGGACCTCGGGTACGGTACTTCAATACATTGCAGCATCCATCGCCACCCCTCGAGCTTCGTGAAAAGCGGAGCGCATCGATGCCACTCAATTGCTCGTGAAAGACCATGCCTCCTGCTGCCCGAGCCTTATGCTCATGTCTCGGAAAAGCATTCTGGCACGGCATGAAGCAGCGTCAAGCAGTCATTGCATTCCGCCAAAGCTCCTTTGGCTTGATGCACATGCAAGTAGCCTGATAGGCAGAGACAGCCGATAATGGCTGCTGCACCATGTCGTTGATGTTGGTGAGCGGAAAGGACATGGCAAGGAGACTCGACCGAAGAAGCTGCTGTTGTCTCCCGAAACTCAGCTCACGTAATGGTCGATGCACCATGCCTCGGTTGATCTAGCTTTGTTTACATCCAGGCCTGAATCTTGAGCCCGGATTCACATTTTGATTGCCGTTACTGTACTGGCCCTTTTCTTCTTCTTAACCGCAACTCACTGTTGACACATCGTTCTCACTGCCGCCAGTCTAAAACCAGTCATGACCTTGCCACACTTCACGCAGGAAATGACAATAATATCGGCTGCACTCCGCCCAGCACTATCGCCAAAACATTCACATCAGAACTGCAATGCTCTACCATGAGGGATTTTGGGGTGCCACTCCCTTTTTGCATACGAGGCTAGAGCCTTGTTCTGTTTTCCCATGTCTTGCAGCAGTACAGTTGACAGTGTGCCGCGGTGGGCGCCTCAAATAATCGGCACGACGCACCAGCAGCAGCCGCTTCTCAGCTGTCGACGAACAACGTGCACGAAGCGTGCTGTTGGACGGCGTTTCATGCACTGGAGTAGCACAAATCTAGAGTAAGTGACAACCGTCTTGTGGTGTTAGCAGCGGAAGACATATCATATCTGTCATCGACTCCGAGATGATCAAATCTCTGCCTGCCGATGCAGCACGAAAAGTCGTCCTTATAGTTGCGTCATTGTGACCAGGACCGTCGATCCAGCAGCTGTGTTTTGATGATGACAATGCACAGAGTACAAGAACCCAATCGACGTATCGGGCACTCACGGCAAGGCACGTTGCAGAATCTAGTACTTCAACAACAGCGGAGTGCGCAGGAACAGTGCATGATGACAGGGGCCTCCTCTCTGTGCCGTCTTCCTAAGCTTTCACTCCCGCACCATGCTTGAAAATAGACATAAGGATAAGCAAGGCTGAGGGTCATGGTGCTTATTTTCGATATAGCGCTGAACTACTGCGGCCAGCGCTTTAGTATTTCCACTAACAGCGACCAGTTCACAAATCACGCCCAACATCATGTCTTTTCTCGCATCACGGATCAAGCGCGCAGCCGAACGTTCGACCCTGGGCAACATGAATGTACCCAAACTGGACAAAGGCTTTCAGGAATTTCGACTGATCCCAGTAAGCGTTTCTTCAAGGTCATATTTAAATGCCCCACAATACAAAAAGCTCAGTCTCCCAATAGTATATTCGATTTTTTCCCAGGATCGATGTACCTCTCGACTTTCCAAGCAGCAGATGCAGGTCCGTTGCCACCGGCGGATCTTCATAACATCTTTGATCACCTGTTCGTATTAATATTCGGCTCGGGGGCAAGGCATGTTTCAGGAGCTGAACAACACGCTGCAAAGTCACGGCACTTCTGCTCAGTCCTCCGAAACCTACCATGACCAGTTGCCGGTTGCCGTTCACAACGTTGACGAGACATATGCCAAAGTCCATGATTGCATTGATCAATGGAATACGACTGGATCTGCGAGAAAGCGGAGCATTGGAGAGGTTCCAAGAGCAAAATCGCCTGCTCATGGAGAGACTGACATCCCTGGAGCGAGATGCATTGAACAATCGATTTCCATATGCGTTACAGGTTGGCCACTACGACGCCAGCAGGGACGCTACAAATGCGTCTTACAATGCGTTTTCTGGGCTGTCGACGCCGATCTATGTGGAGCGTGGAGAATACTCTTCGAATCTTGGCTTGGAAGACAATGGAGTGAGTTCTCACATACCACCCTGATACTTTCCTACCATGCTTTGGCCACGACTGACATCCAATAGTGGTTGCAGACCAATACCATGCGTAGTGCATCCCTCAACTGTATGTCTACTGAGAGACATGGTCAAGTTGATGGAGTTGTGGACCAAGAAGGAGCCCATCGCTATTTCACGGCATCTACGCCAGTGGAGGCCGAGCCACGTAGACGAACTGCTGGAACTGCAGCAAGCGCCGTGGGAATAAGCACCCGTCACCAAAAGTTCGCAATTACGGACCGGCCGGGCTCTCAAGAATCACGGTCCAGCCATTAGGCCAGACAGCATCGAGACAAGCTGATGGCAAAATTTTGCCAAACCTGGGCTGGAGGTGTCGACGCATCCCTCCATCAGCTAGAGACGCAGCTCAGCCAAGGCTGCGGCCAACAGCATCCTCGGAACGCCTCGCGAGAAGCCTTGCTTTATCATGTTCGATCAGCGGACCACCGATCGGCCACGGTGGACGCCCCTTTCATAAACCTCATCAGGATACTTGCTTCTGCCATCGAAATCAACAATTTTGGCGAACAGACATTCCGCGTCAAGAAGCGAATAGCTCTAGCACACTTCTACAATACATACATACTTGCCCAAGACGATCCGTGCACGTTTTTGTCGTGGTGCAAAGACGCTGGCGAGCCACCAAGCCTGATACCGCGGGGCACTCTGAAGTCCCTAGTCTTGATCAAGTCCGCGGGTCTTCTGCTTTATCCAACTACTGCGGACGCCAACGCATCTCCAGCATATTCATCGAACGAGTCGTTGAAAGCACGCCAAGGGAAGATCAAAGGCTGGAGGAAGAATGGGAAGCAGTGGGACAGACTCATCGCAAGATTTGACTACGGCATCTTGCTCCTAGTGCCTGGGTCGTTGACGGATGAGGAGTAAGTCTAGACTTTGAGTCCTAATTGAATTGCGAGTTGACGAATCTCTGCAGCTTACGGATTGCCCATGACGATGATATGTCTTACATCATGCAAGAGATGGGGAAGCATCTTCACGAAGATCAGGGAAACTTGAAGCTCGCGAACTTTCTTGTTCGCACACATCTCCTATCCCCAGACTTAGACCTTCCATTGGGTCCTTTCATGTCTACGCAGATGAATCCAAGGACGGATTCAACCAAATTAAAGCATTGAAATACACCCCAGCATTGCGTTTGGGTTAACACCACTGGCAAGTTTTTCTCTCTGTGCATCTTTCTCTGCAAGCTAGGTATTTGTGTTGCTCGAGCTTTGCCATGCAATGACTTTTACTGAACTGATTTGCGACGGTTCACTAATGGTGCCAGCTAGCGATGCCAACCCACCGTTCCCACATGCTTCAACTGTTTCCTCACAACCCTGGATTTAGGGTATTGTGGAATAAAGCGAAGATGAGAGTGGTGTGGGGTGATATGTTTACAACGGAAGCCAAAAGTATGCAATAAGGCGGTGGTGGCTTCAAGATGGCGGTCGGTAGAAGCCAACCAAAATGGCTGTTGGCTCAGCCTCATGCTGGCTTGGCGTTGAGCAAGAGAAAGGCTGCGGGGCCAAACATGGCGGTGTTTCATTCGTTCATCCCCTGTAGACGTCTGTGGGCAGCCAAGTACCGCAATCGGGTCTTATTGAACATCGTGAGATCTGATGAGTTTTTGTAGATAAGTGTTCAAGTCTTCTATTGATAGCGATTGTGATAGTTGAGTTTCTCAGATGTTGAAGTGACCGGACAGCATCAAGACATCAAATCATGCTCGCAACGACTGCGCTCTTCCGATTGGAGAATTGACAAAAGCCATATCCGCTCTAACACTGCCCATTGGCGTTGCAGAAGTGCCTGAATTCGCTCGTTAGTCGGTGTTCTCTCTGGCTTCCAGCCTCCTATACTTACCACGTTGCACGAACACGGCTTGCGACGTGGTTGTTCGTGAGAGCATTCCAAGCACCGTAAGATAGATCAATGTCGTCGCCGTTGCAGCCCTCACACAAGTCTCGGACAGTCGCGACAATCACCTTGCCTTTGCCGCCAACACTTTGGTCTTCGTAAGGACCAGCATTAGTGATCTGAATCTTGCGTTCGCAGAAGCCGTTGTTGCTCTGCCAGTTTCGTCCCAAGGCAACGACATAATCGTTGCCGTTGCTGACTTTGCCGCAAGATCCCGGGACGCCACCTTGGCTATACACGGTCGCCGTTCCCGAATGCCTGTACGAATCAGGACCCATGCCATCTTGCGACTGGACCATCGCAGTCGTGAAGGCTGGTGGAGCAGGAGACTTACGTCACACGCTTCTCAAGTTCAGTCGTTTCCACAGGCGAGGCATTTTCCAACTGGCCGATGGTGGCCATGATAGCCAAGGCAATGTTCGAGGAGAACTTCATGTTGTCGAAAAGCTGTTGTTTGTATGGGTTGCGAGAAGAGTGATGATGATTCGAATCTGGGGGGTGTACTCCTCACAGAGACATACTTATATGTTTTTCGCCATATATCAGGCTGGGTTGATTACCGAACAAGTACAACGGGGCTTTGTACAATCGTCTACATCGTGGTGTATGACCAGGCATTGTCTTGTGTTGAAGGCAATGATCATCCTGCAAGATTTTGTGAACTCGCTACCAACCATCACCACGTTGGGCCCCTTGGTGAACGGATACTCTGCTTGAATGACATGCTACCGTAGCATTTGAGATAGTTCAATGCACCGCCGGGGATTCATCCTGCACTTGAATGCGACATGGGTCATGACGCTTGAACTCCCTGCAGCACTATCGCATCGGTTTCAACTTTCTGTGGATAGTGCTGGTGCAGATCGCCTCGCCGTGGAGGAAAGACCTCAAGGCTTTCGATTCAACAACACATGACGAATAGTAAAGGTTGAGATCAGGCTCCACTCTGGCGTGGTAACATCTATATGGTGGCATCGAGACAGTAGCTTGATTACAGGTATGTCTTTGTTGTACTTGATCTAGCACTTTCCAACGCACTTGCAGTCCCTCCAGGCTGAATAAAGCATAGACCCAACTGACTGTCCCTCTGGGGACCCACGAAGATACTGCTGTCGATCTCCCCAGTTCAACGGGTTCACTGCAGGCTGCAAGATCCCGTTATTGACATGTGCAGCAATGGCACGTCTATTGTCATCTGCCCATCGAATGTAATCACCATTGAAAGTTCCTGGTGCCAATACTGCCATGCGATAGACGGCAGCTGCGAGAAGTGCTGTGCCGCTAGTCTCTCCAAACCAACTTCCATCGTTCAGGTAGTTCCTGAGGAGGCCGCTAGAGGACTCACGGCCCGCGTTCCTTGCTCCATCAATGATTTGCTTGATCCAGGACACAAGTTGATCTTGCTCTTGTCCGAGACTGCTCGCACTTCCAGACCAGTGCTGGATAGTGGCGAGAACCCGAGCCATGCCCATGGCGGCCCATACGGTTACCCGTACTCCAGATGCCCGTGTCTTTATTTCCCGACGGCCCCGGAATGATGTGCTTGTAGAACGAGTTGTCTGTCTGCAGGATGTCATGATAGTAGCCGCACTGCTGGGCCGCTTGTCGCAGGAGAGAAACGTTGTTGCCTCGAACAGCGATGTACGCTAAGAATGGGGGAGCCATGTACAAAAAGTCTGCCCAAGCTTCCCGATTGGACTCTCGCTGAGAGATGGCACCGTTTGCAAATCGAGGTACGACATTCAGCAGATGATCTCTCTGCCTCGTCGCTGCGCTGGAGTATGCCCCACCAAGCAAGATAGCGCTCACTCCCAGGGACGCAGGGTCTCCAGCGGCCCCATCGCCGTCTACCAGAGTATTGCCGGAAGTAGAAATGTGCGGCTTGGCAAAGCTCAACGACGAGATGCTCTGACTTGGACTCGGAACGCGACCATTTGGGAAGGCGTTGGGAGAGAAGACGGACAGATCAGGATCGTAGAGCTCCAGAGGTGCTTCTGCTGCCGTGCCGTACTCCCAGCTGTGAGAAGACAAATCCTTGCCTGCCCCTGTGACGGCATTGGGGTCGTATCCTATATTCACAGCCGGGCAAGCAGCACTCGCGAGGCCAAGGCCGAAGACAAGGACAAATAGGTTTGAGGAGTCCAGCATGTTCAAGTGGAGGAACCGAGAAGCAATAGACTGGAAAGATGTAGGACAAACAAACTGCCAGAAGAAAGCGAGGTTGATCATATTTGAAGGCAGTCGGTCTCATTTAGGTTTTGCGCGACAAGTCTGTCATGCACAGTGATCAAGCCCGAGTTACACCACTCACTGTGGGTCCGTCCACCCAGGTACACTTCCGGCATAACTAGCGCTGCACTCGAATATCCCATGTACAGACCATCCATCCACCTGGTAAATCTCCTCGTACCCTACATTTCCATTGCCGGCGTACGCAGGTGCGTAGCATGTGAAGTACTTCTTCCCGTTGGAGCTGTACTGAACTGCTGTGCCCCATACATTTCCAGGTCCACTGCTCAGGTAGCCATCTGCAATCTTCGCCTTGAATGTGACCTTGGACGAAGGATAGTATCCTAGATGCGAGTGAGCAGTTGGTGTTGGTGACTTTGATGCAATGCAGAAAACTAACCTGTTGTAGTGTGTCCCTCCCATTTCACATTTTGTCCGTGAGGTGAAACGTCGACGTAGTCATTTGGCCTGTTGCCGCTTCCGGAGGGGTTGTTGTCGGCAAAATATGCCATTCCGCTGCAAATGTCGCTGCCTTTGGACCAATTCACGAGCCAGAACGCGTCGGCTGAGGCATGTTGGAGCAGGCAGAGAGTAGCCACGAGAGAGATCGTTGGAGTCTTCATGTTGGCAAGACGATGCTAACTTAATTTCAATCACTCAGTTGCGACTCGAAGATCCTGTGCTAGATATATAAAATGATGGAGAGAAACAGCAGGATCTCGCAAGGCTGAGTATTGTTCAAAATGTCAAAAGCTAGGAATACTTTCATCGTAAGAAAGTCCGAGCATGCGCCAATAATGAAGAGCGAACACATCACCACTGAGCCGTGCGCAGAAGGACAGTCCAGCCAATAACGAGTTCTATCCCAGAGTTGTTCACAACCCCAGCTCCCAAGCATATCAATTGTGTGAACTTTGGGTAAGCAGTACTGCAACGCTATGCTAGGCTTTCTCACAAGGATACACAGCTGGCGTGAGCTTCCGTCGAGCTAACTTAATGACAAAGGTTGCACCTGCTAATGTGGGACGTCTAAAAAGAGCGGATAAGTGATCACGAATCACAAGCATCATCTCTCAGGCTGCATCTAAGCCTCGCTCTTCGATTTCTCTTTCTGGCGGATTGACTCTCCTCGATTTTTTCCCGGAGTCGGATTATCGTAGTTCGAGAACCGCATTACGGTGGAAGAGAATAGCGAGACTTGAGAGCACTTCGTACTGGACTATCGAAGGTGCCTTTTGATTTGCAAGTTCTACAGAGCAACTATCTAAACAGTCGCAAGCGACATCCATCTCGGCTGCCATGACCAGTGCTTTCTGCAGTCATAGACCCCCATCAATTCTGTTGTACATCCCAACATCAGCACAAGGGTAGAGATGATAGCTTTGACAGACTTACTGGGCGGCAGTAGTAACGCTTGTTGCAAGTAGCCGTATGACCAAAGCCATCATTGGAGGAAGTAAGGAGGTCGCCGTTGTCTTTGAAGCAGGAGAACTTCTTGTTGAAATTGTGGTTCACCAGTTGATCGCCGTCCCCAGCAGCCGCTCCCGTGCTCAGGCTCCCTCCGTTGCTGGCAATGTGGCTATTGAAGCTGACATTGCTGTCTGGGAATTGGAACTTCAAAGTGGTGCCTTCTACCTGTGGAAGGTCGGGGTATGGGGCCTTGATGAGATCGGACCGAGAATCTGGGCTTTGCAGATTGTGGCTGTTGGCGATGTTGCTGTAGTACAGCGCTGCTACTCCGCCGACATCTTCTGGTTGGCCACTGGCGCAGTTGGCTATGTAGATGACCTCGTTCGACGAGAATCGTTTCTCTGCGGGTGCGGCTAGAGTCTGACTTGCTAGAGCCAGAAGGGAGAGAGCACCAAAGGGGGACGAGACGAGCATGATTGCGATGGAAGTATTGTGCGAATACAACAGGGTTCAGAAGAAGCGAGAGTCGAAAGGATAGAGGGCAGAAAGCAAGATCTTGTGACTGGAGGTTCTATATATGTCCTGAAGCCGATACCCGTCGAAAGCCTCCGGAACACGGATTCTATCTGTTGACAGCCGTTACGACCAGGACTAGAGCGACCAATTTTCCCTCCTACAAACATGGTTAGGTGCATGACAAATGATCGCTCATCGGGCGGGAGAGTTGAACAGTCCGTCGAGCCGGGGCATAGCGTGGCTCTTGGATTTCGACGCTTACCGTAGTACTTCTTCTACCTGATTTGGATACAGGACCGGTCAGAGGCTGAAGAAGGGCTGCGGACGATGAGTGCGTGTCGTTGCTACCAACCAAAGGCCGGTTGTGTAACATCATAGTGCGACTCTGTCCGTAGATGCCGATGTCCGAGGAATGCAGCGAAGATTAGATGTGACAGCGAAAGTGAACATAAACGGTCTTTCATTGATATTGAGTTCACAGTATTGAGTGGACTAGCAGGCATAGCCTATTTAGGAAATAGTTCTCTGAGTTCAGACTGGAATCGTTCTCGCTCGGCACCGTTCACTCGTGATTCCCCTTGGGCAAAAGCGTCAAGCACTGTCATCTAGTGCTGAATTCAGAGTTCTGTTTTGGGAATCAGGTAGTTCAGTAAACATATCGTGACGCTATGCAACATCGTATTCGTGAGTTCCGTGAAGTTGTTCTCATAGTTTTGCTCACTAAACAGGAAGGTTCGGGTTAGTGAATGCAGCACTGGATGGGAATGCGTTTTGCTCTGGCAATGCGATGTCAACATACGGCTGATGCAAATCAGAATATATATACGATTCGGCTCCAATGGGAAGGCCATCTTTCACAAGGTTCGTCCTCTTCAAGATACTGCACTATCCATCCACTAACTCCGGCAGCGACGTTCAACACAGGTGTGACGTTCTCGGTGGATCTCCCTGCGGGTGGACACGGTCCAAGCTCGAGGGTCGGCGACGGAAGGGCGACAGGAACAGGCTTTACTAAGGCTTACACATGCTATCAGCCGCAGACTCAGGGGCAGCAAATCTATACTGTTGATGGATGGGCAGTGCACGGGATTTATTACTGCCAGTCTTAGGAACGAAAATTAGATGTGGTAGAATAACGCTTGGAGCAAAAAAGGCTCACCTGATTTCTTTTTTTGGATTTGCTCCTCTTCAGTAGCCCTTTGAACCCACCTTCCCTTGGCTGCGCGGCGAACTAACACAATGAATCAGTTCATTTTGAACTGTACTGTTGCCACGGAAGTTCATGACGTTGTGGACGGTAGAACCGATAAAGCAGACCACAGTGACCAGTGAAAGCAAGCGAAGTGCGCTAATTGCCCGACTTCGATGAAGCTCTGCAGTGCAACAAGGGGAGGAGATGAATCGTCGATATGATCAATCGAATTATAATTACATTCAAGCGAGTGACTAAATACAAAATGAAACTGCCAGCATGATAAGAAATACCACCATCCATAGCCTCTCCTCGCCACGAATCGATTGAACAGAGAATCTGTAACGCTTCGGGGCTGCATTAATTGCCGGCGTCTTTGAGCTTTGGGGCATCAGGCTTGTGTCCGACAGGCCCGGGAGCAGGGACATCGGGTCCAACATCGCGAGGTTGTGCTGGGCCTTGTGGTCTTGGTGCGTCTGGGCCAGGAGCGGGCTTCTCTTGCTTGATATCACGCACTTGTGGGTGGCTGATCGGTGGCTGTGGGGGACTCTTTGGAGGGCTCGGAGCGGCACGAGGCTCCGGCTTCTCTTGCGGTGGTGGCACAGGCTTGTCGTTCTCCGGCGTAGGAACATCTCTTGCTTGATGAGAGGCCGGTGGGGGTACTATCTTGCCGTCCTTTTGTGGTGGCGCGCTTCTGGACTGAGGGGCTGGCGGAGGTGCTGGCTTGCCGTCCTTTGAAGGTGGAACATCTCGGGGTTGAGGACCGGGTGGTGGCGCTGGCTTGTCCCCGGTCGGTGGTGCGACATCTCTAGGCTGCTGGCCCGGTTGAGGTCGTGGTTCTCCTTCTTTGGGCGGCGGCACATCCCTTTCGTGAGGCCCAGTCGGCAAGGGCTGCTCCTTATGCTTAGGGGCTGGCGGAGCATCTCTTGCGTGCGGTCCAAGGGGAGGCTGTGGTGTTGCATGCTTCTGAGGCGGAAGGTCTCTCGCAACAGGCTTCGGTGGCTGAGCTTGCTTGTATTGCTTGGCAGCCGGTGGAGCTTCTCTTGCGAGATGGCCCGGATGAGGCTCTTTCGGACCTCTGGGTGGTGGCGCTTGTCTGGGGTGGGGACGGCCTCCTGGCTTCTTGTGGTCTTTTGGAGGTGGTGCGTCCCTCACATGGGGACCGTGTGGCAGAGGCAGGTCTTCGCCCTCCTTGGGTAGGGGGAGGTCCCTGACATTGTGTGGTGCCAGGTGCTGCACCGGTTCAACAGCCTCATGTGGTGCTGCACCCATAGCGACGCCAGCAACGACGGGCACAGCAAAGATTGGATTGGTGAATGCCAAAATAGCGGCAACGGCAGTAGCGGAAAGCTTCATGTTGGACTGAGAATTGGTGAGGAATGGCTGAAAGAGTGTTGAGTGGTTGGAAGATGATGGTTCAGATTTAGCGAGGACGAGCTTACTATATACTCTATAGTAGCTTCCTGGTATTGATTCGGGGGCATCTCTCGGTCAGTACAAACTCAAGATGTGCGTAATGGAGCATGTTCCGCGCACGTCAACGCGCGTTGATGGGCATTGCTTCTTCCTTGGCGACATTGCGTGCTATTGCGCTCACGGTAGTGATCTCTGTGATTTCAGGTCTCAGTGACGACTTCGTCGCCGACTCTTCACATGTGCTTGGGCAAAAGCGGAGTTGTTCTTGAGCTGTCAGGGCCTTGGCTAGGGCACCGCATCTGCAGTCGTAAGCATCTGGCCTGTGCCTGGCAAGTCGATGAGGCACATACGTGTACCACCTGGAGTTGCGGCGGTGTATCGTAGAGCTTCAGCTGACCATTTTCTCGCAGTGCTGAACACTGGCCGGCTTTCGCGGGTCACAGTTCTTGAAGTCCGCATCGGGCTATGCAGCGTTCATACTGGGTGCCGTCAACTTTCTCTCTATGTTTGAGCATCTGGGTAGAGTGTTTCAGACGAACAATGCCGCCCGATTCGTGGTCTCTCGTCGGTGGGTCGTGCTGTGAGCGAATGTTAGTAGACATCGCACAAGACCAGAGCGGCAAAGCATCGACCTCGAGGGCGGTAGAAAGGCGGGCTTCACTTGCTGACGTCCGAACAAGCATCTTTGAGTGCGGGAATACTTCGACTTATTTCTTATAGTTTCTTGATCCCTATACGGGTATTCGTAGAGAAGTGCGCGTACAATGTGGTCCCGAAATTCAGGGCCGTGGAAGTGCCAGGAATTGCGATCAATTGAAGACTCCGCGCTGTTGCACTTCTTGTCCTAACCTCGTGCGAGCATGTTACCCTGGGAAAGTGGTGCACGAAAGTTTGGAGTCAGCGGAAGAGATCCACGTCGTTGTGTCGTGCTCCTTGTCACGAGTTGTAGTCGGGCGCCGCGCGTCGGCATCGAATCAATCTTGAGTCAAAGAAACTTCCGTTCGTGCTGCACTCGGCGTGAGACCTGGATGCTTTCCTTCACGCGCATATGATCAGCGTCTAGTATGAACGTTCTGCATCTTGTCGATGGGGGAAGGAGGTTGGCGAGGACTGTGGAAAAGGAGAAGACGTTGCTGATTACGTCAGCGGAGACAGCACGCTAGGACTAGCTCATTCCAACTTTCAGCCTCCTCCCTTCCGACTTCTTCTCCTACACCTTCTTCGCATTCCGCCTTCGTTCCAACAGGGTATCATTCATGAGCCCGAGAGCATTTGACTGACAGCGTGCTTTCGTCGTAGCCGCCGGACACTGTGACTACATCTCGCTGCCAGAACCCTGCTCCCAGTCATCATTGGGGCTGACCATGCTTTGACAATAATATGTCTCTCGACTGAACGATTATTCATCACCCATTTTCCAAATCCGGCAATTACTTCAAGCCACTCAGACAATATACTGAAGCGCTGCGACATCTACCGTCATGTCAGCTGCTCGTCTGCTGCGTACGTGCGGCCCTGCTACCTGCTCGATAGGAGTTTGCATAGTGTGGATCGTCTTGACAATCGTATGGAGAAGTACGCATGAGAGCTTTGCTTCCTGAACAGGCAGTAAGATAGTTCTATGAACGTGTGGATGCCCGGCAACAGTAACCTCTCATCGGCTATGCACATCGCAGCAGCCTTTGCTCAGCACACAATAATCCCCAGCCTCATCCGCGACAAGCCAAGCATCAACAAATGCTGACAAACGACGTTTGAGCATCCTCGCCTGCGAACGCCGGCATGATATCTCAAGATGTATCAAGTACGCCACCAAGACAAACGATAGCAGACATGATTACTGATGGTGACACACGAAACAGATCAAGATACGCTGGAAAACACCGGCTACATATATGAAGATTCGTTTCCGTCCCTCGTGTCTTTATTGCTCAACATCAAAGGGTGTTCGAAGAGATACGCAGCCATGTCTCAACTGCAAGCCATACAACTGAGAGCCGACGTCTACAACGCACCGGCAATACCAACGAACGTCACATTACCTAACGGCACTATAGGCCTGTGGCAACCAACAGTGCTGACTCTCATCTCGGGTCCTACCGAAGCCGTCCTTGTCGACACACTCTTCACCCACGATCAAGGAGTGGATGTTGCGGATTGGCTGGACGAGATCCTCGGAAACAAGACGTTGAAGTACATCTACATCACACATGGGCATGGGGATCACTGGTTTAACGTACCATATCTGAAGACTCGTTTCCCAGGCGTCTCTGCGGTGTCCACGCAGCATTCGATCGACCACATGGCAGGTCAAATCTCACCTGACGGGAGAGCCTTCTGGTATGAGCTTTTTCCAGCACAGATTGACGACGATTCTTTCAATCCCAATATTCCTGTGACACCGCTACCAGACAAGAAATTTGTCATTGAAGGACACACTCTGGAAGCGACTGACGTTGGGCATTCTGACACCGACAACACCACGTTTCTCTACGTTCCGGCGTTGGATCTAGCGGTGACCGGCGACATCGTGTACAACGACGTGCACTTGTGGATGGTTGAATCTCCTTCGCAAACTCTTCGCGATGCCTGGGTCAAGTCCCTGGATAAGCTGGAGGCTTTTGGCGCTGGCTTAGTTGTTGCTTCTCATCATCGGTTCGGAGGTCTGGATGGTGCTTTCAACATCGAAGCTACAAGAGAGTACATCACGACGTTTAGCAGACTCGTCGAGTCGTCGAAGAATGCCACCGAGCTTTATGGCAAGGTCTTGTTGGCATATCCGCAGCGGCTTGGCTTGGCCGCGCTCTCGCTGAGTTGTATGGCGCAGTTTAAGTCGTGAAATATTTTGAGAGCTTGCTTCATGGAGCTCTTGACAATGTGACTTTGAGCAACGAACAGCAATGCAAAATTGTCAGCCAGCGTATCGTCCACATCTTGATGTTTATACTATATCTCCTTTCGCGAATCTTCGCCTGCAAGGGCTGATGTAATGATCTAGATCAGAAGGCAAAGTCCAAGTCTATAGTATGCCTATGTCGTCTGTTGAGCGACGTCTTCCCTAACATTGTAACTCATGAAGATTCATCTGTCTCAATACTTGATGGCGCAAGCATTCTGTGTCTCCCCAAATCGACTGAGCTATTCTATGACTTAAACATCTTCTCGCTGCCGAGCTTTTCATCTACTGAACATGGTCTCGCTCTTCGCTTGTCGGGATGCGGACAAATGCTACGCAGACAACCGCTCCAACCAAGCTGCTCGCAAGGCTGAACCACCATATGTCGCGGAGTGCTTCAAGATCCAACGACTTGTCAATAGCATGTGTCTGGCTGCGGCCTATCGTCTCAGCAAGCGCAGTGAATACTGCCGAGGAAAGGTTTTGCGCGGTGATGAGGAGACTCCCCGCCGAGCCCTGAAATGTCCGGGGGACGTTGGAAGTGATGAAGACCGAGATCGAGGGAAAAGACAGATCTGGTCCAAATGTGCTGATGAATAGCCCCGGGAATGACAATGCCCAGTGTATGGTATTTGGTGTCTGAGGCATGAAGAAGGCTCGACCAGAAGCGAAGGCAAGCATACTTGCAATCAAGATGAAATGGCCAGGTATCACATGAAGGGATTTTGACACCAGCCATGCCGCTACGGTGCCGCCGACCCCAATTGGGATGAGATAGACTGCTGCTATAATCGGTGGCTGGTTCTGGATCGTGAGAAAGAATGTACAGGCGTAAAAGTTGCATCCTCCGACAAATGCTCCGTAGGCTAGGAAATATGCAATCATCAGGGGCTCGTGACGAACCCGGATACTTTCCAGAGTCGGTTGTCGATCAATGGTCGTTTCACGCGGCTTTCTATAATGCCGAAGAGTCCAAAGCATGCGACCCCGACAACAATGAGAGCGTATGTATAAGGGGTCCAGTTCGTCGGTACGGCCTGTGTCAAGCCAAAGATTAAGATGCCACATCCAGCTGCCAAATTTGCACCGCCCAAGTAGTCGAAGTCTCCAAGAGTTGGATTATCCGAGTCTGCCGCTTCAGGCCGTAAACGTTGTCTTGCTGGGATGCACCAACATGCTACAGCAGTGCAAATAGCTGCAAGAATGGCTATCACCGCAGACACCCATTGAAGATCCGCGGAAAGAGCACCACCCAGGACCGCACCAATCGCAAAGCCCATTGGAATCATGGCTCCCATCATCGAGAAAACTTGGTTCTTGCGACGTCCTGGCTTGTAGACACGACCAAGCATGCTCATGGCGGAGGAGCAGAGCGTCCCAACTGCTAGTTCAGACATCGCTTGGACAACGAAGTATAGTACCTTCCGAGATGGATGGACCGAGAAGCAGCCGATGACATTCCAGCAGATCGTGAGCCATACAAACGACCCCACCGCCATGTGTTTAGGATTAGCCAAGTCGGCGGCGGATCCAGACAACACCACGGAAATACCGTTGGCTACGAGAAATGCGCCGATGAGCCATGGAGAGTAGGAGAGAGGCAGACCGAGTGCGTCTACGAGTGTGATCTGGTTGACGAAGCCGTTGGCGAGGAATATGGCGAATAGCAGTTGTCCCATTGAGCAAATGGCAACAAACCCTATTTCTTCTTGGAGGGAGGACAGGCCAGGAGGGAGACTTGACTGGGGGCGCTGGATGGGTGCAGCAGAGCCTTGCGAGCCCACAGGATTGGTCCGAGAGGATTCTTCATTGTTGTTGATCGATATCCGTTGCTGAGCTATTGTCTGTAGATGGGCAGCAAGTCTTGGAAAAGTCGGTTGGATATCGTGAAATAGCATGATCAAATCGTGGCACTGGGAAGGGCAGCTTCAGAAGTACCAGATCGTGGAGGCCTTCAGTTGTATCAGTGAGGCTTGTGCGTATTTACGAGCTGACGTCGGTGACGGAGTCGGTGTCGGACTGCTGCTTGCAGAATAACTCCAGCGAGCCTGTACAGCTTGCTCTGTAGAGCAATCATTGGCCAGTCGGCCGTGAAGTGTATGGTCCACTCCGGCAACGCTATTGGGATGTCTCGAGAGTGATCGGCATTCGCTAGTGAGTCATCTTTCACTCCGGATCCGACGACCGTCAAGGGCCCAGTTCGGCCACGGAGAGTGTTGCTTCCTGCTTCCATAGTCAACCTCGTTTGCCATGGTGTATCAGCTTCATGGTAGATCGGTTTTTGTTGAGAATTGCAGTTCAACCTGTCCGCGAGCGGAGCCTCTCTACCACCAGAACGATAGAACATCACAAAGCTTTGCGACAGCGTCCCAGTCACACGCTTCCGACGAAGACAGACTTGTTCATGTGCTGTTGAACCGATGGAGGTGAAGTGCATTCTGTCGCCCTGATTATGTCCGAGAAAGTTGGTATCCTGAGCTTGACTTCATCCTTTTCCGTAGGCAGGCTTCAGCCTCGCAAGCAGTCAAGCCCGGCTCATGAACACCTCACCAGGCATCCTGTTCTGTGCCGATGAATCTTGGTCGCCGTTGATTTGAGCGCAATAAGCACCTGCCAATATCGCACTGTCAACCCTCCAGGACGGCCACTCGAAGGAGTCCCCTCCCATTATGACTTTCCACACAAAGTTCAAGCTCATGTGACTTCTGAAGTTCGTTCAATACAATTTGGAATTTTTGCGAATGCGAGAAGGCTTACTAGATCTATGAAGCCTTTTAGTAACGAGAGCTACGATTTCCACAATGGGGTGGGCAGCCGTTAAATCAGGCTTCAAACGATAGATTGCGCGAGCTGTTCTCCTATACATAGCCCCACTGGACGTACATGTCGTTTAGGCGGTTACGCATATTCTATCCGCGTCAGCTAAGTGCACACGAGCTTTGCGTAGTTTCTCTTGCGGAGCTGCAGTATGGACAAGCAAGTTCCTGGTCGGAGACACCCGGGAGTGGACGAAACCGGCGAGCAGCTGGAACACACGATTACCGTACTTTCTGTGGGATCGAAACGAAGCCAATTGACTTCACATATTGTTTGGAATCATGAGAAGATTCAACCCTCAAGACTCGTGATCGCCGTCCGGGCACTTCGAAGGGGCTACGTATCAGCAGTCAGTCTTGTCAACAAGTAGGAGCATTCAGTTCAATTTGAGCATAAAAAGCTGGAGATATCCTTTCATTCTTCATCACGCTCACCTAAGACTTCCTTCCCGAGCCCGGACCGCCATTTTCAAACTCCTTTCAAGCACGCAATCTCACATAGACTCCTCACGGAACGATGCGGATGAATTGTCTCTGTTATGGAGTGCTCATGCTCCTGAGCCAAACGTTCGTCTATGCTCAAGTTGAGCCACCCGGATTCGAAGGAAGCGGCAATCCCATATCCTCGCGAGACAGGGTTTACACTGGTGACTAGGCATCTAATACCATCACGGTGATTGATCCGAGTGAGAACAAAGTCCTTGGAACGATCCCTCTTGGAGACGGTATGCCCTTAATGTTGCTGCTGATTTTGCGATCCTGACAAGACCCTTCGCTGTAGAACGACTCGGCAACGACCTAGGACCACAGTATGTCGACACTGTCAACACCCATGGGCTGGGCTACTCGCGCGACGGCAAATACATCGTATCGCTTGCGGTCTTGTCCAACACCGTCACAGTGGTCAGAACGTCAGACAATGTTATCGTGTCCAAGAGCTACGTCGACCGAGGACCACACGAGGCCTTCTTTGCACCTGACAACCGCACTATCTGGATAGGAACCCGGGGTGTTTATTCTGTCGATGTGATCGATGGCTTCAACGGCACGCTTCTTGACAGGATCTTCACGGCCAATGGACCAAGCAAGGTACTCTTCAGCGGCAACGGCACGATCGCCTGCGTCAACCACATCTTTGATGCCATCATCAGCGTGATTGATGTTCCGAGCAAAAGGGTCATGTACAACATAACAGGCCTCGCCGACAGCTTCTCGTCAGACATGATGATCTCGGCGAACGGGGAATCGCTATGGGCAGCTCACAAGATGACTGGCCAAGTCTCGGTCATCGATCTGGCGGCTCGTAAAGTCGTCGCAATCCTGGATACTGGCATTGAGACGAACCATCCGAACTTTGCAGTGATCAATGGCACAAATTACGGCTTTGTCACGGTCGCTGGACTGAATGTGACGAAGGTGTATCGGCAGCCGACGGCGGCAGATATACCCGTGCTGGTGAAGACCATTCCCATGACTGGAATACAGCCTCATCCGCTTTGGCCGTCTCCAGACAACAAGCTTGTACGTATCGAGACTTGCGTTTACGCTGAGGTCGATTGCTGACTCGGGGGTTTCAAGATGTACGTTGCCAATCAGCACAGCGACAATATCGATGTGATCGACACCAACAGCTTGGAGATCATCGATAGCTTCAAGATCGGACAGGATACGCAGAGCCTGCTCTACATCTCTCGCGTGGTACCAGAGAATTCCACTGGCTCCAAGAGCTTGAGCAGGCAGGGTCTAGATCTTCGAGTAGAGAACCGGCTACTGCCAGTCTATCCTTGCAACAACTGCAGTCTGCCATCCAAGGGTCCCGTAAGCCCGTACGTGAACACTCCACAGGCTCTCGTCACCGTCCGACAAACCGCTGGCGTGGACATGTTCGAGATCTTGGGGAGATACCTGGTGCCCAACGCTCTGTACACGGCATCGGCACTCTGCCACTCCTGCAGCGAAGAGCAAAGGGCTCCGCTGGTGACTTTCAATGCCAGTACGACAAGAACAGGCTGCGCCTTCAATGAGCAGGTTCTGGCCTTCCTCAAATTCTTCGATGGGTACCAGATGGACAGCATTCGGGTGGTGAAGGACGACTAGTGCATTTCTGTCAAGCGGCGCCGATTTCTGATCTCCCCCATCAGGTAGCCACTCCAAAGTAATGACACCCATTTGCCGCCTGCATGCTCTGGCAAAGCCAAGTACCATGCTCCTGGGCGAACCTCAAGATGTAAAAGCAGTCTCTCACGACGTCTCCACGCCTCTTATTACCCCACTGCCTGCAAGTCTGAAAGACGCTCAAGACGGTGCCACCACCGCTCTGTTCTGGTGAGTCTGGGGTCGTGACTGTTTGGTCCAGAACCTCAATCCGGTAAGTCGGACTCGCATCACAAAGCTCTCGCGTGCGACTCAAAAATTCTTCCTTGAATAGTGGTTGGCCGGGGCGATGGGGCCACTGGTGGACAAAGGATGCCGCTAGAAATGAGGAATAGAGGTCCCAGTCGTGAGCGTTGTATGCCTGTGCCATCGCTGTAGCAATCTTGTCGACATCTTCGCCAGCCTCGGCATGCGTGGGATGCATAATTGGTGCCTGGTGAAAGTTCTTGCTCGTATCCTTTCGCGGCCAGTTAAACCCCATGAGAAGAGTTACATTTCAATGTACCATGATTTGGATGTGAGATGTAGTTTGGCGCAGTAGCTTGCTTTTATGATCCTTTGTTGTCTGGGCTGTGGGCGTGAAGACTGGAAGGTGAAGTCGAAGTCCCAGATTGCAACGAGCTGAGACAGAAGTTGCTTAGTCAGTGCCCTATTAATAGATTGGCGATTGTCAAAAAGGCCGATGCTTCTGCAAACTTCCTGCACAACAAACCTGGAGTCGAACATTTTCAACCACAGCCTTGTCAACAGAGCATCGCCCATCATAAATGCCTCCACCGATATGTTACTGAAGAACTGTCGGCGATTGTGACCTCCATGATCCGACTTTGTCTTCATGACTGTGGCAAGCCCTGTCTGACGGCGCTTCGTCCATCCTGTTTTCTGTCTCGATGAGTGATATGAATATGGCCATGAGACAACTGTCGTCAGCGACGTAGTACACCCCAAATGAAGCCAGTTGGGGTTGTATATCGGCGTGCCATCCGTCAAAGGATCAAGGATGATAAAGCTTGGTCAACCTTTGCTAATCCCTCGCACAAATACCCTATCTCAGGCTGGAATGCTAGCGCTGTCGAAGCTGCGAATCCCTTCGTCTTGCCCATCCTAACATTCTGTCGTCCGTGGAATTGGTAGCGGACTTACGCAGGCCGAATTTGCCAAGGATATCAGAATGGAGGAGGTTGATCTTCTTATCATCGGCGCCGGCTGGCGAGGCCTGACACTGGCAAAGACATACCACCAGGTGCACCCAGATGCGAAGCTCTTGATATTGGACTCAGCAGAGACTCTGGGTGGCTGCTGGGCTGAAGAGAGAGTATATCCTGGACTGCACACCAACAATGTAAGCAAGCTATTCGCAAGACTCACATGTCATGCGCCAAGCTGAACGCCCATGCAGCCTCTTGGTACTTATCAATTCAGCGACTTCCCCATGACTGCAGAAGTGGCTGGGTGCCAACCCTTCCAAGCAATTCCTGGTATGGGAGTTCACAGATACCTCTGCGAGGCGGTCAAATTCTTCGACATCGAGCAATTCCTACGGGTGGGCTGGAAAGTGCAGTCTGCTCGACTGAGAGAAGATGACACTTGGGAAGTTATATCTTCCTCATCAAAAGATCCATCGAACGTGGAGACAACTATAGCTCGCAAACTGGTGGTCGCAACAGGTCTGGCGAGCGAGCCATACATGCCATCCTTGCGAGGACAAGAACGGTTCAAAGGCGTACTCATGCACTCCAAACAGCTCAAACCCAAGAGCGATGAACTTTCTACCGCGAGAAATGTGATTGTCCTGGGAGGCAACAAATCTGCATATGATTCTTGCTATCAGGTAGCTCAAGCCGGCGGGGTGGCGCATATGGTTCTCAGACCTTCAGGCGGCGGACCCAGTTTTCAGTGGCCGCGTCTGATGCAACTGTTTGGTCGAATGAAACCATTCCCAGTGTTGACTTCAACACGCTTCTTCACTCTCTTCGACCCATGGCCATTCTCCACGGATGCTTCTTGGATGCGGGACTTCCTTCATCGCTGGACGATCGGGCTGCATATCACGCAAGCATTCTGGAGCAGCCTTACGTCTGCATTTGTCCAAAGACTAACAGACGATGAGCGTACCAAAATGCTCGTTCCATGGGCGTCCACGTACTGGATGGGTACTGCACTTGGCACGCTGAACTATCCCACAGACTGGCATCAACTCGTCCGCGAAGGAAGGATTGTCATTCATCACGCTGAGGTGGTGTCACTTTCTCCAACAGGAGTAGAGCTGACAGACGGCCTGCTTGAAGATGTGGATGCAGTAATATGCTCTACGGGCTGGAGATCGATCTCACCCATACAGTTCCTACCGGGGAACCTGGATCTCGGCTTGACATCCCTACCAAAAGAAGCCGGCGACGAAGAAGCGTTATCACAAGCAGCTCGAACCTCCATCTAAAGCAACGGCCATACCTCGCAATTCCACCTCGAAGACTGGACAATCAAATCCAGACAGGCCGCGACGCTACCCCATGCAGACTCTACCGCTACATGATCCCTCCGACCAAGCGTTTCATCCAATCCCACAACCTCGCCTTCTTTGCAGCAGATAATCCACTGCACTTCGTGCCCGCTACGCAAATCCAAGCGCTTTGGATCACGGCCTTCTTCCACAACAAGATTTCGCATCTCAAGTCCAGTCGTCTAGACTTGGATAAAGTCCGCGAAGACACCATGCTTCTTACAGAGTACGAACGCCTGCGTCGTCCCAAAACCTCAGGAGGTGTCGGTGAGCGGTACGGGGAGTTCGTCTTCGATTGCTTCCCGTATCTGGATGGGTTGATGCAAGATCTCGGGTTGCGATCGCAGAGGAAGAAGACGTTGTGGAAAGAGTGGTTCGAACCGTACGGTATTGCAGACTTCAAAGGGCTGGTGGAGGAGTGGATGGAATCAAACACGGACTCGAAGAGGTGATAGGCAAGAAAATTGAACTCCATACATCTATACACCCTCCTGAGATCTATATCCCCTGCAAAGACCTCGGCCCCAGCGGCTGCAGCAGCAAAACCGCCAACACAGCCAACAACTCCGTTCCAAAGCCCTCAAACGAACTGACGTCCAAACTTGAAACCGCTACATTCTCCGTCACACAACCCGGCGTAACAGCTTTACCCTCGAACCTATCCATCAGGAACCCAAACGCCCCGCCAGACCCCAGAATCGCCTCCGCAACGTGCTCGCCGACGGCGTTGCGTGCGTACTGGATCGTCGCCCCGGCGGCGCAGTACTTGCTCACCAGGGCATCGGTGTCCGCGACAGGGCTGATCTCGTCGCCGATGGCTTTGTAGACGTACAGAGGAGCTTGCGGGGTTGCACGAAAGCCCATGCTAGCGCCATAGGTGATGACGGACTGTGGGATCGGGTCGTTGAGAGCGGCGAACCCGCCCTTGAAGTACGTCGAGATATCCTGGAAATCGAGACGGTTCTGTGCGTTGGTATCGTTCGTGCACTGGAAGTTGATGGCGTGGTACTCGGCGGCTTTCTCTGGGATGAGGGTTTGGGCGACGTAGTCTGAGACGTTTGGGTAGGCTTTGGCGATGCCGTTGATGCCGGCGAAGGCTTGGTAGGCGAAGATGGACTTGTTGACGTGTTGGAGGACGGTGGTGACGTTGGGGGTGAGGCCTCCTAGGGCGGCGCCTGCGAATTTGAGCTCAGGGGCGTAGGAGGGTTGAAGTTCGAGGGCCCATTCGCTTGCGAGGGCGCCGCCAGAATAACCCCAGAGCGCATAGGTTGCGTTGGACGAGACGCCAGTTACGGAGCCTGAGGCGAGAGTTGCTCTGACTGAGTCCAGGGTGGCGTATCCAGCGACAAGGCCAGCTACGTACTGGGCTTCCAAACCTTCGTAGTCAGAGGTGCTCACAATCCAGCCCTTCTCAAGCGCAGCAGCCATGAACAGCGGGTCGTAGGTGGTCTCATTGGACTTCTGCTGGAGGGTGTACGAAGGGCTGCAGTTCGGATCGGAAGAGTCATATGCTGTCTGATACGCCAGGACCTTGTCGTAGGAGGGGTTGTGGGGGATGATAATGGTTACAGCAGCAGCTGAAGCGTTGCCAAGGGCATCGGTCGTTCGATAGAGCAGCTGGTATGAGGTCTGGATGTTGATAGACGTGTACTGCTGAGCTGCACCAATTGGTCCGGGGGTTGTTCGCGAGCGGATGATCTCGCCTGGTTGTAGACTCCCAAGATCTGTGGGTGGTTGGTAGAAGGGGTCTTCGGTAGGCTTCAGTATTGCTCGTGGAAACAAGGACGATGGAGCAGCATGTGTGAAGACTGCTGTCGCCAGCAATGAGCCGATGGCTAGGAATGACTGCATCTTGAGACGAGACTCTAGGGCAAGCACGACTTCACACGAAGTTCAAAGTCGGCAACGACACCCTTTTGCCAGTACCTCAGCTGAAAATGATCAATCGAAACGCCCAGTAGTTGATGAAAGGTGTACGCTCTGCCTGCATGTTGCAACCCATCTATACTACTCGAACAACCTTCAACACTCCACAAGCCGAGGTGCGAAAGGCAGCACTGTAAATCTGCGGAACACATGTTCTTCGAGCGCCATCTCGCAGCTCATTGGCAAGCTATGAGATGTAGTCGGAAAGCTTGGCGATCTCTACCGTGGAAGGCAGGTGGAAAAGTCGGCTCTGTTTCCCAGAACGTCGAGTGTTTGGCGATCTTTCCAATGGCTTTGGCTCTGCTTCCGCTCGCTGCGCATCAGTGAAGGCGGTGGACCAAAAGCACTCAAAGCGCAGCCAGAATCTTGTTTGTGCGGGATGTGATCTTTCCGAAAGAAGATTGATCATCTCCTCGGCGTCGTATGAAAGGCATGGCAAACAGCTTTACTTACCGTTGTGAGGACGATTCAAATCCCCGAGACAACATCATCATGTCGAGAAGCTGGCTGGAAAAGTGTAAAAAGCAGGTCGTTCACCCACCTGACGAAAGTACTGCATCCTGCTATGTGATCGATTGAAGCAATCGCATTCGCGAGTCCGACAATGCCAATGCACCGAAGCGGATTCGAGCAACAACACAATCGCCGGGCCTTGGATGAACGCCGTAGTCTACCCGGGACACTACTATTGAACAGTGTCCAAGAGAACCAAGCCCGTGTATCTCGTATGACTTGCTAATGAGTGCAGCCATGTATCCCGGACGTAGCGCAGTTGTCGAAGGACCATGATATCATCGACCCCGGCCCATGGCTGCGAGAGCGTGGATGTTGCAGTGGCAGTGTAATCCGCGGTAAGGTAAAGCCATCTCCTATAAGCAGTAGTGCAATGCTGAAACCTGAGTGGCCGAATAACGTTGACTAAATGGACCAAGTTTTGCCAAGCGGTAAAAGTGACACAAGCACCAACATCCTGGTCAGCACGTGGGCAGTATTTCGAGATGGCTTCGTGATCAGCCGTCCAAGGCTGAGGTTTGGCGTGTCTGTTTGGCGTTTCAGCAACTCGTGCCAGCGCGATGAAGATTCCCAGACGCAAGAGAGCAATGACTTTGTTGGCGCTTGTCTAGCAATCAGGCGCAGAGAATGATCCAACCCCGGATAGCCAAGGCGAACAGTGCGTCACTGGCAAGTCTTTATCAGCCATCGATGCTTCCAAGTAAGACAAGATGAAACTGGGGCGAAGGCACTTTGCAGCCTCGGAGAATTCGGCTTGATGGCCATGGCGCACCAACCCCATGGCAACGAACAAGATACAAAAGCAAAGTCTTCGTTCTCTGATCCTCAATCGTAGAGTGCCAACCGTACATTACCTCCACAAGAACCGATAGAAGCACCCAAAGTGCATTTCACCAATCTTGCGTTGATCGGCCTCGTTGCTCCAGGCATTGCAGCACCGCTCGGGTAAGTGGGACAGAAAATGTTACACGGTACTGTGAAGCTTAAACCAACTTACAGTGTCCGCAATGGCGACGACAGCACTGTCGGGAAACTACCACAGGGGTTCAATAACGTCGGCTGGGGCGTTGTGACATGCTTTGGTTCCATCGGTTGCGGCGGAGACCCATTGAAGCGCGAAGCGTTGAGCCCGGTCGGAGACGATCAGTCGCTCTGCGACGCCATTGGAGGTTGTGACGGAAACCTGGAGACCCCCAACAAGCGTTCGCCACTGGTTATCGACGTCGACGAGTTGCCGCACCTTTCGCCCGGAGAGATCATCGGCATTGGCCCACAAGTCGAAGAGGAGAAGCGCGAAGCTCAATTTGCTGAAGCCTGTGTCATGCCATACGGTTGCAACGGGGACCCGAATGACGCACCTGCAGACTTCCCTGACCTTGGCCGACTGGCGGCAGACGAGAAGCGGTCGCCTTCAGACACTGTCTCCGTCAACCCGGATGATTTGGTGCACCTGGACCCGGATGAGATTTGTGGCTTCAAGGGCTGTGGTGGCGTTGTCGGAGTTGGTCCAGAGGTGGGAGAAGAAGAGAAGCGTGATGCTGCTCTGTATGAGCTCTGTGTGATGCCTTATGGGTGCAACGGTGACCCGAATGACGGACCTGCAGACTTTGGCCTTAACGCCTGAGAGTCTCGCCGCCGTGGTAGAAGGAGGAGGGGGACGAGGAAGATTGGGACAGTCACCACTGTACATTACCTGTAGACTAGCTCGTGGTCGAGGCGTGGATGACATGAGTGTCCTGCTGCTGACCGGAACACCTTGCTCTTCTTGCCCAGGCCGCGCTTCAGCTCATGGGCGGTGCCTCTCTAACTTCCAATCCATACCGCCCTCTTCACCGCAACGATGAGTGATCCCTGGCGTCCACCATCTCGTCGGACAGAGCGGCATTAATGCAAGACTGTTCGGCGGAGGCCGATAGTTGAGCCGCATGTTTTCCAAGTACAGCCATGGGCCCATGGCTCGCGCACTGAGGGAGCAATGTCGACCAGGCTCGTGATGATGGGCGTGTGAGAGGAGCGGTAATCGTGATGACAGACGGTCTGCACCTGCATCGACATCATCGACGTCGCTGGCCTTGTACGATCGGAGAGATGGCTTCCCGGCGCACAGCTGTGAACATTCACCAACAGCGACGCTAACAGAAGGCTAGGGTGGTTCCGATGTTGGTTGGTCTGACCTCGTGTTGTCGTCGCGTGAAGGAGGACAGAGGAATCTCACCCCAGCCACGCGCTAGCCAATGCGCTAGTCTCTTTTGGGCGTCTCCCAATCGGCTGCGCCTCCACCAAGACTTTGCATCTCACCTCACTCTACACCGTCTCCCGCCGCGCCGTCGTCTCTTGCTCCCACTTCACACGCATTGCAGTAGCAACCTTCACCCACTGCCCCATTGGCCTTGGGGGCTCACGGGCCCAGTGCCATTCGAACGTCACATCCCCCTTCCGCCTCGCTGCAACGGCCTACTTTCGTCCATCTTCTCCAGCGCTGCATGCGCCTCAACCGTCGACGAGAGACTGTCCTGACCTCCATCCTAGAGCGGCTCGTCGCTCTCCCGTCATCGAGCTGAACGCCAATATGCAGCCCTACGTCGACTCAGCGGGTACAGGCTCTTGTGGCTCGAGATTCGCGCTGGTATAGCGCATCTCAGGACACGCTTCGAGTGGCTCGCTTGCCTCTCGCTACTGGCAAACGTCACTGACAAACAGCCTATTCTGATGCTTCATACACTGGCGACTCTTTTCCACCGGCCTCGTCCGTAGACATCCATCCTTTTTAGCCCGGAAGGAAGGACAATAGTGCATTGCTAATTCTACAGACATTCCCTCTCCAACATCCATAGATCCCCCAAGTTTTCAGCTGAAGCGTGGTATATAGGCCTCTTTGCTCCGGAATATGATGCCTCCGTTGTCCAACGTGCCTCACGTTATGCCATGCAGTTGGCTGTGGAATCATCGTACAACGCCTTTCCCACCCCGCCAAGCCCGTTTGGGTCAATTCGCAGCGGCGTGAACAGTGCTATGAGCTCTCCCTCCCGCAGCCACACAACATCGTCCGCCCCTAGCTCTGAGTCGAGCTACCTCTCGGTGCCCAGTCGCCGTGGCAGCTTGGCGCAACAACAGGCCATCTCTCGGCACTCTTCCTCTGCCGCGTCAAACCCCAATGCCCGCGCAGGTACGTCTGACTCCCCATTGGCCGTAACCCTATCCAAATGATCCTTCCGACTGGTAATCCTCCTAGAGCACGCGGCTCACACGTGACGAACAGGCTATGTCTCACCCTACCCTCCGCTGCAAACACAGACGTCTGCATCATCGGCGGCCAACCCGATCGCTCCCCGCCCACACTTCCGAGCAACAACAACAACAACAACCGCTCAGCCTTTAGCGTCAGCTGCGTCGAGTACGGCCTCACAGGAGGAAGACGAAGACGAGGAGGAAGATGAGGAGGAAGAGTCCGATCCAGAGACAGTACGTGATTATACCTTTCATCTTTCTCCGTCCCCGTCGTCATTGCAAAATGCGGCTAGCCAAGCCATGATCGATGCTTCCAACATCACTCAAGTATGTCAAACTTCCCGCTCTGCTCACCTCAGGAACCAAACTTTTCCAAAGCATCCTTCGAACCTCGCAACCTTCTTATACAACAATTTACACCTGTTCTAATACTGGAGCTCCTAACCGGACGAGACTGCGACAATGGCTGTTGCTAACGAGTGTGATCGTCAGGCACAGAAGCTGGCGCTGATCGAAGCTCTAAACGAACATCGCGTCAACACATTGAGTGAGCTTCGACGAATTGAGCGCATCTTCGCAACCCTAGGATCATCAGATTTGACGCAACCCATGACTTCAGCCTGTATGATTGACATATTCCAACGCCTTAGTCTTGAACGCATTGGCTAGACTGACATGTCATAGGGATGTACTACGTCAACTCAAACAGCCTCCTCGCCGAAATCAGATCTCTCACCCGGCACTACCCCTTCAGGTTTGCAGTATTCCAAACCAACCTTCGAGATCACAACCTAACTCGATGCCAGCTCCGAATGCCTAGACGAAGCAAAACGACGAGTGCATCAAGATCCGGCCTCGAACCGCTCCTGGAACTACTGCTGGCTGGTCCTAGCTAAAGTCCATACGGATCGAATGATTCCCACATATGCCCGCGCGCAGGCCTCGCAACCGGAGATGTGGGGTGGTCGACAACCGCAGCCTGCTCAGGTGGATCAACTGGCTGCTGCGTTTGTCAAGGAGTGGAACTCTGCGCTGGCGCAGTTACTGCGGTACTGGGAGACGCCGCCGACTACGAGATCCCATGCGTGAGCGGCGTGCTTTACCTTTCCGTGAAGAGACTACATCTACGATGACTGGACTGGTTTCCAGACGCATGATATGACATACGCCATCCAAGAGGAGGAATACGGTACACGGTGACGGATTCCACATATTTCCTTGCTTGTGCGAGAAAGACATTCCTAATGCTGCCATTCCATTGGCTGACTTTCGTTTGACATGTTCCCTTGGCGTGGTGTTGGGGAGGCAAAATTGAAAGACTTTTTTCGTATTCATCTACTGTCGCTTCAGCGTGGAAAAGATCTTACTGCTTTTCGTTTTCCCTTCTCACATGCCAGGGTCTTTCAGGGCCTCGTCTCTCATTCTCACAACCTGTGCCTGGGGAATGTCCTAGCCAAGACATCCTCGCACGGGCTCCTAATGCTCGTATCATCGAATGCAGATGCAGTGGCCCGCTTTTTCATCAACAGGCAAGTTTGACTTTTCAGCCTTCGACCTCCACAGGCCGCGCAGCGTCAGTATCTGGCATCCATCCCTTGGGACGCTCGGCGCCTCGCACGACCAGGCCGTATCTAGAACAAAACAGTCAGCATATCGCCTTCCAACGCAAGAAGAGTACTTACAAAGCCCTCTCAACTTTTTCCACACTCGCCCTCATCACATCCATCTTCTTCTCACACTCCTTCCCAAAAGGCCCCCCACCCGCATTCATCCCCTCCAACACCGTCCTCAAGACCCTCAGATCATCCAGTACCGTCCTCCTCTCACTTTCAACCTCCATCTCACCCTCACTACTACCACTCTCGACCGCCGGTAAAGCCCCGCTTGTCGCCATCGCCGTAATAGCAAACCGCATCACCTCGCCCGTGAAATCAAACACCCCCAAGACATAATCCTCCACGCTAAGTCCCACGCCCAAAGCCTGCAATTGCTCTGCGGCCGCTTCGTAAGACAGCAGAGTGCTAGTGGTGAGGTAATGCGAGAACAGGGCCGCTTCCATGAACTCCTGGCATCCGCCGCTGATCTGCCGGGCGTAGCGGTGGGCGTTGAGGCCTTGAAGGTCGGCGGCGACAGAGCTGAGTTGGGTCTTGATGATTTCGTGGTAGGGGGTGTTGGATTTGGTTACGTGGGCCGGGACGGGTTGGGAAAGGGTGCGGGTGCTGCGAAGAAGTTCTGATGAGTGGATGGGCTTGTGAAGTGGCGAGATATTTGGGGGATTACCGTTGGAGCGTGAAGATTCTATCGAGATATTAGCATCAAACGCCATTCCATTGTGCATCTTCTGTGAATGTCCGTACATCTTCTTCGAAGCAGCAGTCACATCCCTTGAGGCCTTGATGATCCTTTCTCTCCGATCGTGATGTTCGTCCAGCTCGGCACGGAAATGCTCGAACATAGGCATGAGTGGCGAGGAGGATGTTGCGGTGGAGTCTGTCTTCTTGCCTGACATTTCGGCATGTGAGCGCTTGGGTGCCATGTGGAAGTGGTGAGGTCGTTGTGGGATGTGTTTGAGCACGAGACGGAAGAAGTTCTGTCCGACGCGACGGGACCGGAACAGCACTCATAACGCTTTTTCGATCGCGAAAACCGCTGTATTTTCACGGGTTATTTGCGAAACGAATGCGTACCTACCTTGGTAAGATACAGACTAAAGAAGAAAGTGTAGCCCGTGCAATATGCTCGCATATCAGACAAGATACCTATCACACAACACCTGTATCACTCCACGAGCGAAGACCCCAAAGTTATTACAAGACCTTGGCTCCGACTTATACCATACGCATATCACCACCGTACCACTTTCCCGGTGCCATCCTCATGTACGTGGGCCGAAGCGATCCTTTTGCCGGCAGCGTCACTAAAGCGAATTGAGATGACCTCCTTCGTATCGGCCGGGTCGTCGCGAGACTTGTGCGGCTCAGCTCCCCTGCGAGAAAGGTCAGCCTGTGGGCATTGCAAGCTGCATTGCCAAAGTACCTGATCTCCGCGTTTTGAACCGTACTGTTCTGCTCCTTGTCAGGGCGATCATGCAAAGCTCAAACGGCATACTCACACTCTTCTCGAACTGCTCGCAGAAACTCGTCACCTGCTCTTTCCATCCCGGTCTTGTAATGTGTGACGGCTGTGTCTTGCCGACGTACTGGATCAGGCGCTGCTGGCTCGATTTGAACATCTGGACGTCGGTATATGATGCGAACAATCCGTGCTACCATGGTCCCGAATCCCATGAGTGCAGCACACCAGGTAGATATGTCGCACAGCGCACTGTTTTGGCGCGCGCGAACAGTCGCAACACCATGTTCGAGGCTAATAAGCGGCCAGCGAAACGCTTTGCCTCACCAAGCGCTGCCAGGTCTGGGGACGGCACACATGGCGCCCAACTGCACTGGAGACGAAGAGAGCCGGCGTCTGGACATCCTCTGGGCGCATTGTTCCAGGACCAGGTGGGCGAGTGAGTGGTGAGTGGTGAGAGCCGCGGCGAACCTTACATGTAGAGGTTTTCAATCTTGACCCGAGACATGAAGGGTGCGGGCCGATTTCCAGCGCCTAGCTTACTCATCAATTAGGTAAGAATCCCGCTGAATCTCTCCCTGTCGCACGCGTCCCCAAACATTTCCGCATCGCGACCTCGACCTCCGCCATGCCCCTTTGGCCGGGATGTACCGCCGACGTCTTCTGTAGGCAGTGGCTCCGGCCTCCTCGCTGCGCTGCGCTGCACACCTCCACCTACAGAATCTTTCCGCGGTCCTGTGGTCTGTGGAGCCGACGTCAACACCGAGCGCTGCACCGCTCGATGACTTCTCGACGAACCCCAGCCCCTGACCATCCCTTCGAAGAGGAGTCTCTTCCAGGTTACGAGGCAGACCAGTTCTACCCGGTTCACATTGGGGCGACCCTTAATTTGCGATATCATGTCATCGGCAAGCTGGGCTTCGGGGCCAACTCCACCGTGTGGTTTTGCAGAGACACCAAGTAACATCGCCACATTCTCTTCGACAGCGCGGTGCTAATGTTTCCAGAAATGACCAGTACGTGGCTTTGAAAGTCTACGTCAAGACGCCCCCCTTGCTGGCTCACCGGGAACGAGTTGCATACGAGCATCTGTCGAAGCTCACGTCTGCCCATCCGGGTCAGCAACACGTCCGGCGACTGCTCGACCACTTCTCCATAGCACAACGCAACGGCTATGAGCATCTCTGCTTTGTATATCAGCCTCTGCAGACGACACTGTTCGACCTTCAGCGGTTCGCAGGAGCGCCAAAACCGTTTCCAGAAGGACTTGTCCAGGAAGCGCTAAGATCCTTGCTACAAGCCTTGGATTTCCTTCACACCGAGGCAAACATGGTACATTGCGGTATGTACTCTGACTCTATTCACCTGAGGCGATGTTACTTAACACTCCGGGTGCAGACATCAAGCTGTCCAATTTGATGTTAGAGATCGAAGACCCAAGCGTGCTATCTGCGTTCGAAGAGAATGAGCGAACCAATCCCGCCCCTGAGAAGATCATTGACACTGAAAGGTCTATCTACGCCTCGCGCAAGTTCCGACATCCAAAAGGGCATTCGTTTGGTCCGCTCGTGTTATGCGATCTTGGGGAAGCTCGAATCGGGTCGTCGTTCCCCTACACTGACATACAACCCGATCTCTACAAAGCGCCTGAGATACTATTTCTATTAGACTGGAACCGGAGCGTTGACATCTGGAATGTCGCGTGTGTTGTAAGTCGGCCTTGGTAGCTAAATCTGTCGCCATGCTGACCTCTCTTCGGGTGTGGGACATGATCCAGGCGGAGCACCTTTTCGATGGTCGTGACGAGGAAGGCCATCATAACAACCGCGTCCACATTGGTGAAATGGTCGGTCTGGTGGGACATCCACCCCTGGACTTCCAACGTCGAAGTGCACAGGCCTGGCGAGTGTTCGATGCTGAAGGTAAGCCGGCTTCCTGAGCACAGATAGCTGCACAATCTTCTGACTTCCTCACAGGCAAGTGGAAAGGCAATCCACCCCTTTCGCCCCAAACATTGGAGCACCGGTTAAAGACCCTTCCGCAGGGGAAAAACGAGGAGTTCTTGGTCTTTCTGCGTTCGATGCTACGCTGGCGACCGGAAGACAGACCAAGTGCGCGAAGCCTTCTCGAAGATCGTTGGTTAAGCAGCGGCTAGTCACGGGTTGAGAACTGAATGCTACTGCGCTCGCGCAGTGCTGTAGATAAAAATACCTTGTCGAAACCTCCATGGGCAATAACATACTTTCCATGTGGGCCATGCTGAAGATACTGTACCAGTCGAATGTTTTGCACGGCGGAAGCGAGTAAGGTGATTGAAATCCGTCGATTTTTGTCGACTTCGAAGATTCGTCCCAGCTGTTTTGGGTGTGGATGTGTCGCCCCCAGAGACGACTGCGCCTCGTTTCTCGGGCATACAACTATCCCTTCAGCTTCAGCCATGTCTGCTTCAAGGAGTCGTCTTACGAGACGCAGCTTTCACTTCACCAGCGACATGAACTCGTTTGTCACCACGAAACGGCTCAGACATTCTGTCACTGCCTATCCCAAGATACCATGAATTTGACGCGCTGGAAAAGCCCCCCTGGATCTTCGCCCGGTTCCGAACTGCTAGACTTCGCATACAAGCCCTTGAGAGGAGAGAACAGCATTCGCCTGGTCAAAATCAAGCCAGGGACAGGCCATACTGGCATAGCAATCGACCTTATCGACAGCTTTGTTCCCCTGCTAGGACAACGAACCCATCAAGAATACGATGCTTTGTCTTACACCTGGGGCGAAGGTCTCCAGTCCAAGTCCATCACCTGCAATGGACGCCGCTTCCACGTCACAGAAGCGCTGCGAGAAGCGCTCCGATATTTCCGAGATCCCATTCACGATGTCATCCTATGGATCGACCAAATCTCCATCTGTCAGAAATGGACCCTGGAGCGGAACAAGCAGGTGAAGATGATGGGAGACATCTTCAGTGGGGCGAGGAAGGTGCTGGTCTGGCTAGGTGGGCATTATGATGATAGCCGAAAGGGAATGCAACTGGCAGATCAGCTACTACGAGTATGCCGTGGCCAAGGACTGACCACCCTTGACCGAACACAACTGCGACGATACGGAATGCCTGAAGTGGGCAACACAAAGTGGAAGGCTCTGGAAGGAGTGCTGCTGAGGCCGTGGTTCTATCGGACGTGGGTTGTGCAAGAAGTCGTACTGAATGCGAACGTTGAGCTCACTCTTGGCGACGACGTGGCAAGGTGTTCTATTACCTGGGATGAGCTGGAGGACGTTGTCAGCCTTCTTGAAGGCCCGGCTCCGAGAGACTGGCAGTTGGATCTCACCATGAGTGCTTGGCGGCTGCCCTTCTCTCGCATCAACCGCATTCGCAAGCGACATCAGAGGGCAATGATGCGACGCACAAACGGAGCAATCGCAGAAATGGAGGGGAGTACAGCTCTGTTCGAAGAGCCTGAGTCCAATGACAATGACGAGTATATTCATGGCCAGGACGACCTCGATCTGCTGGAGTTGCTGCTGATGTCCAGAGATCTGGGAGCCACAGACCCTCTTGACAAGATATATGCGCTGCTGGGCTTAGCCGAACACAACATCAATCCCAATTACGACGCTTCGCCTGAACAGCTCTTCAATGAGTTCGCTCTGCACATCATTGGCGATGTTACCAGCTTGGTACCTGGCTCAGCTAGAGGTGCAAAGATCTCGGCCGCAGAAGCTGCAGTACGGAAAGCTCTTGTGTTGCTTTCCTGCGCAGGGACACCAAACCAGGAAAGACACGTACCATCTTGGACACCCGACTGGACTGCGGATCTGACTGCAAAGCCTCTGGTCTTCGACCGTGGATATTGCGCTGGTGGCGATACTTTCGAGATCGACTGGGACTTTGAGACGGGGTTGCAACTGTGCGGCCGCCTGGTCGATACTGTCCGCAGAGCTGGCAGCGTTCATTTGAGATATGATCCTAACCTTGAAGGAGCTGCTCTTATTGAAGAGTGGTGGCAGGAAGCTTGTGGCATCGCTCAATATCGGTCCTCACGTTTCCCGAGCAGAAATCGCGCTTTTCGAGCCATGTGTCGAGATCTGAAAATCAATGGTAAGATGTTCGTTTCACGGTCTTCAAAACATTGGCTGACAAACCTCTAGATCAGGGGTACTATCACCCTGACGGCGTGGACTCTACTGAACGCCCTACGCCCAGACGCAGACGGAGTCTCCTAGACGAGACAGATCTCAGCCTCAGTACAAGCATCGAGAATCCACGTCAGACTCTCACTTTAGGGCCTACTCGCGGGCGAGTACTCTTCTCTACCACCACGGGATACATCGGGCTCGCGCCACATGGGACAGTCGAGGGCGATCTCATTTACGTCGTGCTCGGTGCCAATGTACCTTTTGTCCTGCGACCCTTGACCGGGCATGATTTCACCTTGATTGGTGAGGCATACGTCCAAGGCATCATGCGTGGCGAGTTTATGGAAATGCAGCACACTGACACCGCCGACGACATCTACATTCGTTGAATATCTGTGGCAGGTCTCGACGCCTTAGCTCCGACAGATTACTGAGCTGCTTATCAACATTGGGCGGGTGTCACAGCAGCTGCTTCTTCATTCCAGGGGTACCAATGACTAGGGGTTAGGGTGAGTAGATGAGGTCGCCTCTTCTTCGCTCTCTTTGGGGCGAATCTTCAGGTCCGGATGCAACTCCCGAGTGAATTACACACCATGAGCGCAGCTCCTCGGGAAATGGCTCGGCTTCTCCTCGGGTTTGTGGTGGCGCACCAGGAAGTACGCCTCCGAGTCGAACGACGTCGGGGCGACGACTCTACAAGTGATACAGAAAAAGAGTGAGCTGGCTGATGAAGCAGCTGCGTTGGCCTTGCACACATGTCACCGCGTACTCAGCAATGACTTTGCAGAGATTGAGCGTGTGCAGAGGAGGCTGCTGACTGAATAAGCAGGCATGATCTTCTTCCATTGCTGCGAGGTACAGCTGCCGTGCCCAATGACGTCTTCCGAGAACCACAGCTATTAAAAATCAATTGGAGAAGCCATTGGAAATGTCCAACCCATCAAAGTTCTCCAACTTCTCCAATTGATCGCCACAGGCCGTCATCGTCGCCTATAAAAGCCGCTCGGGCGCCTCTCAAACAATTGTAATCCTACGCACAGCCAAAACCTCCTTCATTGACACACCCACAAGATGTCGACCTCCCACCACAACGTCCAGGAGCCAAACGCAGGCGACGACAGCTTGGTCAACCGCCCTGCGCCCAACACCCCCTACTTCACTCCTTTACAAGACCCGCCGGCGGGCACGGCGCTGGTCGACGATGTCAACGAAGCCCCTAAGCTCTTCAAGCCATTGAAATTGCGCGGTCTTGTGAGTAGACAATGAGAATATGGTGCTAAAATGAGGCTTTTACTAATATTGAATCACTAGACTCTGCAGAACCGTATTATGCTGAGCCCGCTTTGCCAGTATAGTGCTGAGGATGGCCATTATACGATGGTGGGTATTCCTTTTACGGCAGCCTTTGTTGGCACATCACTTCTCCCTTTACTTCTCGATACGCTTCCTTCGACATGTCAGATTTATCAGCATATGCTAACATGTATGTCAGTGGCACCACACCCACATGGGCGGCATCATCCAGCGAGGTCCAGGCATTTCCACTATCGAAGCGACCGCCGTCACTCCGCAGGGCAGAATCACCCCAGAGGATGTCGGCATTTGGAAAGACAGCCAAATCGAGCCCATCAAAAAGCTCGTCGACTTCGCTCACAGCCAAAACCAGAAGATCATGATCCAGCTTGCACATGCCGGCCGCAAAGCTTCTACTGTCGCACCTTGGCTCAGCTCGGGCGCTGTCGCTGGAAAGGAGCTCAACGGATGGCCTGACGATGTCTACGGACCCAGTGCTATCCCCTGGAACGAGCACCACGCTCCAGTCAAGGAGATGACGCTGCAGGATATCGAGGACTTCAAGCAGGCATACGCAGATGCCGTGAGGCGATCCTTGAAGGCCGGATTTGACGCCATTGAAATCCACAACGCTCACGGATACCTGCTCCACTCATTCCTCTCGCCCGTCGCCAACCAGAGAAAGGACAAGTATGGTGGTAGCTTCGAGAACCGCACTCGCCTGACTCTGGAAGTCGTGGAGCTCGTCCGCTCCATCATCCCCGAAGACATGCCCCTCTTCCTGCGAATCAGCGCCACCGACTGGTTGGAGGAGAACAAGGATTTCCCAGAGTCCTGGACTGGCGACGATACCGTCAAGCTCGCTCCTCTTCTCGCTGAGCGCGGCGTAGACCTTCTCGACGTTTCGACTGGCGGCAACCACCCAGCACAACACCCTCACACCAAGCCCGCCTACCAAGCTCCATTCGCGATCAAGGTTAAGCAAGCCGTGGGTGATAAGCTTGCTGTTGGCTCAGTGGGCTCTATCGAGACTGGAACGTTGGCCAACGACCTGCTCGAGAAGGATAACCTAGATCTCATCACTGTTGGCAGAGGATTCCAAAAGAACCCAGGCTTGGTCTTTGCGTGGGGCGACGAGCTGAATGTGCCCGTCAACATGCCCAACCAGATCCGATGGGGCTTTGGCGGTCGTGGGAAGAAGTTGCATGGGAACACGAAGTAAATGTGCACGACAACATGTCCAACCAGATCGGCTGGGCCTTGGATCGTGGAAAGAAGACGGATGGATTGAAGCTCGTCGGTTCCCTCACGCATCGCGCCCTCGTCCCCAGGGTATCTAAGGCTACTCGGGTCTTGGCCGTACTTCGAATGCTTTGATGACTGGCAAGTGGGAATGGAGGACCATGAGCAATAGAGAGAAAAGCTAGAAATGTCGCATGTGCACAAACAGAAGCTTAGAGTATAGGCTAGATCCATAGAGACTTGCACACATGATAAACCACCTTCGAACGAGCATTCCAAATGGCCCAAATTAAGTCGGAGTATGTCAGGGACCTTGCTAGTCGAGCCATCAACTTGGCGTTTGGTCGCACGAGATAATAGACAATCTCAAGTCGTTACGAATATATCTTGTTCTTGAACTACCGCCGTTAGATCCACTAGACTTGTCGTTTACCTCAGGAGATATATTGCTTAAAGCGAGGTGCAGTCGACCTTCTTAATTGAGTGTTCTTCTGGATCGGAAGTACCTTCTCCCAGAGACAGTCTATCGAGATCTTACCAAGAACCCTAGGACAAGCTGTAGCAGCCACAATGACGGCCATGCCCTTAAAAGCCGGGGGTGGTGTCCATGGCTGCTTTTTGACCACTCGTTGACAGTTGCCACCAAACTACGACAAAGGCCATGTTCTTGCAACGCGAGGCTGAAGCTTAATCCGAGTATACCAACCATATGTGACAGAGCTTCAAGGCAGCCGAGGTTCTAGGTGGTTAAGGATATATGTGACCAAGCCTTGGCATTGCCATAAAGGAGAGTCTTATATCATTCATTCATGATAATCACATCTCTTCACAATCACGATCCTACTTAGAAGTCTCGCAGCTATGAATTCTACATTCACGTCGACTGACTCCGTTACTTGGGTCAACATATCGCCCCACACAAGCAAGCTAGGAACTGGCGAGCTCACGGAGGAAGAAGAAGCTGAGTTGATCGCTTACCTTCAAGGACGGTCCATATCAACAGCGGATGGTCAGGTCGCAAGCGACACCGCCAATCTGGAGTCTCCGCACATGCAAGATCCAGAGTTTTGGGTTGAGATCCGGCGTCTCGAGCAGCAAAACCGACGGAGGCTTCTGGAAGACAAGAAGATCCACGCTGTCGCGCACTCTACGCCACAAGCTGGCGTTGATAGCGATGCAAAGCGTCGTGAAGAAGCTCGTGCTGCCAAGAAGATAGACGAGGCGCCGCGAACAGGCACTGAATACCAGAAGCATGGAAAGGCAGACGCGACAAACGAGTTCTAGAGAACGGCCGCATCGTGACAAGTCTCGGTGCCGCTCCCAACATCAAGCGCTGTGCCACATTTCTGCCTAGTAGCACCAACTCTCCACCCAATGCTCGCTAAGCGCTTAGGAACCACACAATACCTCCTTCCAGGCCTCAGCCTCGATACACACTGCGATCTTGTTCGGCAACAGGTACGATTCGAGGTCGTCATGAGAATTCAAGCGAACGAGTTGTCTATAGCCACGCACCACCAAGCGTTTCTCGCGGGCCTCGAAGATCTCTTCGCTACGCTCGTCGAGATGGATTACCTGCAACGCAACGACATCAGCTATCCACCAAGTGAGGATCTTCCTCTCGGCCATCTACATCGCACAGGAGTCGGAAAAGATGCCATAGATCTCATCTCTCGCATGCCACACCTTGCGAAGGAGATCTACGAAAACGAGTCTGCTGCTGGCAATGGCATCGAGCTCGCTCCATGTTCGAGGGCCGTCTCTTATCTGAGCAGTCAGGGCATTAAACTTGCCCATGAGGGAGATGAGCAGCTATTGCCGGGAATTATGATGCTCACGCGAGGTGGTCAAGACAGCGGCACGAGTATCGCATACGATCTGCGAGATGGTAAGTCGATCGTTGGTATCACCGGCATTATGGAAGCTGATCGTAAAGCAGAAAGCATGATCGAGTGGGGCCATACCGTGTCTTGGAAAAGTGTACGTCGGTTACCAGTAGAGAAGTACTTCAAGACCTGGATCGAGAAGTTTCGCAGTCTAGAGTGGCTTCCCTGGCATGATGAATTCGGCCGTATTATTCTGTCTCGACTGACAGCCTACGAGGACCATCTAGTCAATCCGTCAAAGATCAAGGAGAACGCACGACTTCGCCATCTGTCGCTCACAACAACAGGCCTCGTACCACCCTCCATTGACCAGGTAGTCGATGATCATGTTGACATCCTCAAAGCCGAGCATAATATGTCCTGGAGCAAGAGACTCGTATACGAGACGGCGGGATGGGGTCATACTTTCGATGTGGCCACTTTTCGAGCTGGACGAGAGGAATATGAACGTTCGTTTCGAGATGCTGTGAGTTTGGAGAGAGTTGGACCTAGGGGCCAGAGTATCTATGATATTCAGCACGGTGGAACGGTCAGGGCGTGGTATAGGAACATGGCTGGGCTCTATGCGGTCTGAGAGCCTTTTTGGGCTCTTCTTCTTTAACGCACGGTTTGGTCGATAAATTGATTGTTTGGCGGCAAGACCTATCGTCTGTACTTCAGGCCAGTCAAAGCTCGCGATCACCTGGATACAGGTATTGCGTGTCATACTGGCTTCGTAATCCAGTCCGGATGTATTTCTCGCAAGGACAACCTGTCGATCCCGTCATTTAGGTACTGTGCTCCTCCAAGCCACTCGAATGGTTGAGAACGCTGAGTCGCTGCCATAATCCGCGGAGGTGTCAATTTTCGATGGGCCGATGACGAGTCCATTGGAGAATTTTGTCTGTCTTCAATGGGTTGAACTGTGGGTATAGTGACGAGTCTCTATTGAACGTGGTTTGTATTTGATCAAGTAGATGTGCTCGGGAATGGCTCGATGGTTGAAAATTGATTGTCATTTCTTGAATGTTGAAGGAGGTTAACGTAGAAGCAGGGTGACAACTTGACATCATATGAGGGTTGTAGAGGCAACAAACACCTAATAATCCTCACGAGATCACGTTGTGTACGCAATCATGCCTGCGGTCTCGGCGTCAGCAACGCCGGGCGTTCTGAGTGCCAAAAGCAGCTCAGAACCCGCCAATGACGGCGTATTCGCATCCTTTACATAAGAACCCCATTGCGCAGTACTGCCCTCCAAACGATAAAGCTGATCTGAATTCGCATCCGGTTCTCGTTTACTTCGCGCAACATAGCCTCGATATTAGAATCTGAGGAAGTGCGTGACGTATGTCGGCACCAAGTGACAAATCCCAGCGACAGCCTCGTGGGTGTTACGTGGCTGAGCAGAGCCTCTTATCCTGGCCATGGATAGTCCGGAAGCGGATTCCATCAGATGACGTTTGTGATATATACAAAGCATAGGTCCTCTGGTGAGATCGTTCTTCAACTTGCCCAGTTCTTCTCGTTGTGTAAGGAAATCAAAATGGCTTACTGCTACATCGACGTTGCGGGAGACGAAGTCTGCGAAGACGATGCTTGGGACGATTGGGAACGCTGGGTGGTTCTAGGAACGGTGCTCGGCGGAATACTTCTTATTCTCCTGGGCTTTCTACTCTTTGCGTCAGTCAACCACCGTACGCAGTTGTATAGAAAATGCTGACCTTTTCCTAAAGATGCATCACGGCAAGAAAACGACAGAAAGCAGGCACCACGCCATATAAGGGAACCGCGTGGACACTGGGGGTCACACCTCCTGGCCATAACCCTCCAACATACACGAAAGACGTTGAGATGGGTCCTCAGCCTCCACCAGCCTATGCGACGGCTCCCAACGACCAGACTGTCCGACCAGGATATGAGCAAGGACAGCCAGTCTACCCACCTGCAGCACAACAGCCCTACCCGCGAGGAGAGTATGAGGCAACACAGTGAAGATGTTGGACAAGGTCAGGAGAGGGTGACACTCCGATCGGTAGCATGTGGAGCGGTGTTCGGTGTCTCATGAGCGAAGGCGATAGAACAGGAGTTACGACCGTTTCCCAAACCGAGGGACTTTTTCAGTACGCCAATATAATCGATGTTTCCTGCACATTTGCCAGTCTCACACGGCCACCTCAGTCTTGAGTTGTCAACGATGAATTAACAAAGTCATGATGAAGGGGTTGAGTCGCCAGCATGCATTGTTGACAAAGCATCGGCAGTGGTGATTTGACCGTTCGTCCGCAAGGCGAGAAGCAATAGAAAAGACCACCAGAACTACACCACGAGACCTTTAAACGAGCGTGCGAATGCGAATCCGAGCCTACAATGCTGTGTCCCCCCAAAATTTGGAATTACCACGCCATCAGGCTGCGCTAGCTAGCGAATACGCTCCTGCAGCTGTGACTCCCGACGAAGAGCTGAACTCCAGCGGACACCGCCTGGCTTGGCATACCCGTTCTGCTCAGCCGCAATGTCGAATTATCAAATTCTCCACGCAGTATATGATGGAAAGGACTCGACGATGAAAAGAAGCTGAAGACAAACTCAGACGCATCAATGGCGACTTCAGACAACGACTGCGGATCCCCGGCTTTCAGGCCGCGAAAGTCGCATACGAAGTCGAGGAATGGGTGTCTTGCTTGTAAGAAGCAACGACGGAAGGTAATAATTTTAATCCTCTCAAGTGAGTATCGAGATTGGCTAACACCAAGTCTTAGTGTGACGAGCTCCACCCGCGATGTTCCCGTTGTTCGAAACGCAACACGACTTGTCGATACGCCATGCAGCTCGACCAACAAGATCCTTCCACAAGAGATCGATGCTCCGTTAGCCCAGTACTAGCTGCGCGACGACCAGGTTGGCCAAAGGCATCTACGATCTTGGCAGCTGGCCTTCCTCCTTGCCTGAGCGTGTCCAGCAACGGCATGAGCATAGCGGATACGCTCGCGGCGACTGAGCTCGACTTACTGGCTCGCTACCTCACGCATACCAGTCATGTCATCCCTGTCGACAATGTAGATGTCTTTGCTCTGCAGGTTGGGATTCCGAACCTAGCCTTTTGCAGTCCACCTCTGATGGACTCTGTCCTCGCCCTTGCAGCTGTTTGCCGAGGCCACGAGATACTCAACGCATCGAGTCGAACTCAGCGAGAGCGCCAACAGCTTGAAGATTTGCTGATTCTATCGAATCATCGCTACGAGTCTTCATTACACCAGATGCAGGATCTGAGTTCTGATGCAAGCCAATACAACAATGTCCTCGCCAACGCCACCATCATGGTGCTCTATGGACTCGCCAACCACTATCTCCGGATACGTCTTGCTGTGTCTGACGATCGGCTTTCGAACGACTTCCCGCCTGCACCACTCCAATGGACCTCCTTGATACGGGCAGCTCACTTGGCATACACGGGCCTACTGCACTGCAGTTGGGGAGAAGATTCTGGTCTTGACTCGCTCGACGATTCGCTTCTGTCCTTGGACTCTCCAGACGATATTTCTACCAACGCAGGACATTTTGAGCAATCTTCATCACCTGAATGTAGCACTGGTGTATGGAGGAGGCACTTGACACAACCCATCATCGCTGCTACGTCGCCCTTAGCCGTACAACAACTGGCGAGTAGACTAAACGCGGCATCGTCCGTTCTCTACGATTTCAGAGACGTCGAAGAGGCAACTTCGACCTTGGCTTGTTGCTCCGAAGCATTCGCAGTGCTCTGCGATATCTTCAACGCAGTCACTGCGGCCTCAGAAGATTCTCCTATCAACAAGATCATGCTCACTGACCCACCGCAAAAGAGCCGCCTCTCCGCAGTGTCACCCTGGCTACGAAAATACGTTGCTCAAGTCACATCAGCAATCCCGCAGAAACAGCTTCGACGAGTGATCATGTCGTTTCTGAACCGAGTGCCCGTGGACTTTCTGGAGCTTGTTCAGGAGTTGCTCGACAACAGTGTAGATCCAAGTGCCTGCCCGGAAGCGTCGCAGATCGCACTGGATATCTTCGCTCACTGGCTTGTCCTTGTGACGTTGCTTGATGATGTATGGTGGATCGGCGGTATTGGAGAGTGGGAGCTGGAGCGGACTGTGAGGACTTTCAAAGTATTCGAGTTGGGGACGGATGTCGAGACTGAGTGGTGGCCCGAGAAGATGATGGTGATTAGGAAGGAACTTCTGTGACGATTGATGTATGTTGTCATTTTTATCTTGGATTAGACTCCTGGAAGTCTTTCCGTTGTTGGATTCAATACCTCTTCCTTTCTCAAAGCTCAAGCAAGTTCCTCAACACTCACGCCCTCCTTCTTAGCTCTCCTCTGCTGCCTTCCCCTTTCGCTCCACGGGACTATGTCATCAAGTCAGCTGAATAGTTCCGTCTGCGGCTCCCATCCAACCACTTACAGTGTATCACAGGAATGATGAACAAACTATTCGAATCGTCCGCAATACCCGCGTACATATTGTACCACGCCAGGAAAGCGGCCACGATACCAGTACCCCCTCCGCCCCTCGTCAAAGCCTCGTTCGGCATGCCTTCGGCTGTGTTTTGAGCGTCCATGTATGAGATGCCGAGAAGCAGGAAGGTGATCCAGACGGTGAGGAGGAGGAGGTTGAACATGACGGTGGATTTGAGGGTTAGCATCCAGAGCTGCAGAATTCAATCAACATCTTTACGGTCTATGAACACCTCTGCTGGGAAGGCATGGTGTGCGCGAATGTGACGAGTGCTTACCAAGAACGTGAAGATGAACCAACCAATTAAATACAGCCCGAAAGCCGCATAAAAGTCCCCAGAGTTCATGTACGAGTCTTCGATCGCAAAGCCGCCCGGTGTCAAGATGATACCTATCGAGATCCAGAAGCCGCCGTATGAAGAGAGAGCCGTACCACCAAAGGTATTGCCTATTGCGATCTCCCTGCCATCAATCAGTCAAAGGTGGTTGCGTGGAGATGAACAACGACGCACCACATGCCAGCAAGAAGCTGAACAAGCCCGCCGTACGCATACGCCGGTCCTACAACCTGCACAATCTATCAGCCATCACTCCTCAACTCTAGTAACGAAAAACATCTCACCAAATTCGGCGTCGCTAACCCCCTCGTCCCAAGATTCACCATCGAAAGTACAAACGTCGTCAACGCAAAACCCGAGAGCCCCAAAGGAACCTACGCCAATCTCAGTGTCTCACCCCAAACATATCCTTTCGACTGGAGTAGCATACAGGGTTTGCGAACTTGCGCTTAGGCGGCTTGTAAAGACCCGGCTGGAAAGCACCCCCAAAGGCGGACAGCCTCGTGGATGCAGAGTCCGAGTCGGTGTAGGAGTGGATGTGGGCGAGGGGGTTGCCGCCATCTGGTTGTTCGTGGTCAGTTTGACCACGTTGCATGGGAAAGGGAATCATACAATCGCCATGTCGATAGTGAGGTTTCTGCTCGATGTTATCTGGACTACTATCGTCCTTCTCAAGAGCCGTCGAATTGCCTTGGCCAGCCATCTTGACAAATTCTCCAAACGATAAAATGCGATGCGATGCAGTACAAGTAACAACAAGAAGTGCCACACGACCTCCAAGTACAACTTCCAAAACACAAGAAGACTGGAGACCTTCCAAATGCTTTCTTTTGCGCCAAATCCGTCATGACCTCACGCAAAACGTTGATATGGAGCCGAAAGTGCAATTCTCCAGCTCTGATTTGTTGTTCCAGATTGCCGTTCTACGATAGCGCGAACTTCAATCGCCGTTTAGCCCGTGATGGCGCGTTTGGAGATCTGTGCATTTTGTGGGGACTGATGTGGAGATGCCCATGGGGATGATCGTTCGATTTGATCGATGGGGCTTTATTCAATTGAAAGCTCCGTTTTTCGCTATTGATGAATTGCTGGAGTTGCCGTAATTGGCAACGCTTCTTTTCTGGCAACGATGATAGATCTCTCTTTTGTCTCGACCAGAGATGCTGGAAAACACTCATGACTTGTCCGACATGCGTGCGTGCGTGCGTGCGTGCGTGCTCGCAAATCGTGCATTCGAAGACCGGACAACCCTCCGGATTTAAGCAGTAGTAGTCGTCAGACCTGTCGTCGATTCAGCTATCTTCTGCGACCAAAAAGCCACCTGCAAATCAAGCCATCCGTTTCTCGTCTCCTGGTCACTTCTCCTCCTCCCAAATGCCCGCCAAAACATTCCAATCCAGCGCCGTCAAAATCAAATCCCGTCCTCTACTCTGCAGCGATCCCTCATTTACCAAAGTCTGCAATTCAGCTCCCTGCTTCTTCAACATGGCCTGCAAACTACTATCATTCCCCATCAAGACTCCATGACCGGCTCCAACCAGCGGCGGTAAATCATCAACGCTGTCGCCCAAGTACAATGATCTCGCTACGTCTCCTCGTACCAGCTTGCGAAGTAATACGATTTTATCACCGCCGTCGTGGAGAGGAGTGGGATGGTCTGCTGGGCTTGGGATGATGAGTTGGGTGGTGAGGATCTCGGGGCAGTAGATTTCGATTTTTTTCGGCGAGGTCAACAGGGTGGTTGGTATGATTCTTTCCCTGCTGAGAAAGGAAGTTGGCGTATGTTGTGCGGAGAACTAGGCGTAGCCATTGGGTGGAGAAGTTGTTGCTTAAAACCTACATGTATAACAGTCAGCGACCATGAAGATTGAGGGACAAGCTGAGGAAGCCACTCACGGTGATTGCACCACATCGACTAGCCGCCACCGCCCACTCCCAAAAGTCAGGACGGAAGACAACAGTCTCAGCAGCCGCTGGCAAGACGGAGGTGTTGAGGTGGCCGATCATCCCAGAAGCAGCGACACGATCAAACAGCGTAACATCAACATTACGCCTCAGCCTTGACGATTCGAACGCAACTTCTTCGGCGATGGTATCCTGGGGTCCATACTCCTCACTTGCACGAGTGATGTTGGCTTCGTATTCGGCGAGGAGAGATGCAAGCGGAGGTAAAGTCTGCTTGTTCGATGGTGTCGCAGCGTAGACGGCTTCGGCGAAGTTGAGGATTGTGTTGTTGACGGAGATAGTGCGAAGACTTGAGGAAGATTTTCCCAGGAGCAAGGAGGGTCTGGTCTGGGCGAAAAGCCGAAAGCTGCTGGGAGGAGCAGGAGAATGATAGTTGAGAGGAGCAACTCCATGGTCAGATGTTGCGGACTTGCCGGCAAAGGACTTCTCGTCGGGCTGGGCAAGACGGTCTCTCCAACGGAATCGGGGCGATGTTATAATTTTGTCGCTCATGGTCCGTGATCGGAAATGTCGTTCACGCAGCCCGGCGTGGTAAGGCTTACAGAACCATCGTATCTTGCGACAGATTTGTCAGCTTTTCGGTCATGGTTGAAGGAATCGGACGATGGAAAGGCTCTTCCAATTCTTACCAAGAATGATTCTGGAGCAACACATGAGAAGGACGGCCACGGAGTGTTGCTGTCGAGCCGAACACCACAAGAGATGCTCTGCGTGTGGAACCATCGGCACGTCCATGCATAACTCCATATCCATCGGAATTGGACTGAAACGTCCGGTAAGAGAGAACAGAGCTCATCGCTTGTTCGAAACGCGTCCATCCAATTTGAGTATCCAAAACGCTGCAAATTCATCACCACTCACTCACTCCGACCGCTTATCCTTCGGTACCTTCGGCAACGACAACCACATCAACAGCAAGATCGCCAAAATCGCCAGGATAATCGGCTGAAGCACCTGCACACCAGCCGCGCTGGCGATAGCACCCACTGCGAACGGCAACACAGCCGCACCGCCCATGCCCACGGCGGCGGTGAAACTGATCGCGCCGACGTGAAGGTGTTTCGGGAGGGTCTTTGACAGGATGACCACGGAGGCGGGGAACATGGGTCCGAGGAAGAAACCCAGCAGGGCGATTGCGACGGCGGAGACGACGAATTGAGGGACGAGCCAGAAGATCAGCTCGAGAGCCATGCCGATGGCGAGGTAGCCGATGATGGACCAGCGTTCTCCAAGTCGAGGGGTGATGAAGCCGAGGACTAGTCTGCCGACAGTGACACCGAGCCAGAAGCCGGTTGCTGTTAGAGACGAGTCGAATGCAGGTGCTCCTCGAACTCGTTGCATGAATGTGACGACCCAGCCGCTGAGCGCTACCTCTGCACCGACGTAGAACAGCAAGAAGATGGCAATGGTCCAGGTGACTCTGAGCTTCAGCGCGGCTCTCGTGCGGCCACCCTCACTGCGAGAGCTGGCGTTCTTTCGTCGGAACTCTGCGCCGTCTTCTTTCCAGAATGCAGCCACACCAGTCACGAGCTCCAGACAGCACAGTGCAAGGGGGATGTAGTAGTACTCATACCACGCAAGACCAGACCTGTCGACCATGGCGGACGCAATGAGGGGGGCAATTGCAGCTCCGAGGCCGTAGAGAGAATGCACAAACCCGAGCAACTCATTCGGCCGATCGAGCCCGCCGACCCAGGCATTCCAACCCGCATCGAGCAGTCCATTACCCATGCCACAGAAGACCAGCAGAACAACGATCACAGCCCACGGGGGATGGCAGACCATAACAAGGTACGTCGCTATCCGCATCGTGGAGGCCATGGCCGCGATTCCTCGCGGCCCGAATTTGAGGTGGATCCTGTCACTCGAGAGAGCTGCGAAGAGATAGCCGGGGAATGTGGCGAGGAAGACCAGGGACACCGTCGTGTAGTTGAGGCCGTAGTACTTTTCGAGCGAGGGGATGAGAGGCCCGTAGGATGCGTCGTGGAGACCGAGATTGAACATGGTCTGGAGCGGTTGTTAGCGGAAGATCTCGCATCTTTCAAGCATTATTCCTCACCAAGAAGATATAGGCCATACGAGCAACGTTAACCCGCGGGCTCCTCCAAGTCTCCTTCACTTCGACGGCATGGTCTTCAGGCGGTGTGGTCTCGTCCAACCCCATTTGCTCCAGTGAACGTCCAGATGGCGATGCTTGGTTGACGCCTTCAGGGAAGACATCTTCTTTGCCGGGCGTCTTCACGGCCTGTAGAGTAGCCGGCGGTGATTTGATATCCGCGTTCTGATTATGTTCGACTCCGCCATGTTGTCGAATGGAGTCGCTGACTACTGTCAATGTACTCGTTGAAGACATAACGGCTGTAACCTCAGGCACTTGGCGTTTCGATGTCAATCAAGTCAAAAGAGCAAGATCAAAGCAGAGCAGCAAAGGAACACACTCAAGAAGAATGAACAACATTCCTCTTAAACCAACTCGTACTCCACATCGACCTTTACCGAAGTCTCACCGCCAGCAGGGAGAATGCCGCAGCGGAGCAGCCAACTGGGGCTATTCACTCGGCATAATGTGTCATCGCCAAGGCTGCAAGCAAGCGGCATATACGGAGTTGGACAACACCGCTTTTGTGTCTGGTGAGCAACGGATGCATGGCTTGGCTCGGGACAGATTTCAGAGCAGAAGAGTGATCGGCTTTGAAGGCCGATGGGACTTCGGACCGGTTGGCCGTCGCTCGTACTAACGCTTGGATGAAAGATTTTCCGGCAGCCTTGAGTGGTATGTGAATGACGACTTGGAGGAATAGAGTCGACGAGGATGGGGGAGGTGAATACTGGAGAATGGGCTCAAGTATGATGCTTTCTATTCCCTGACTGACCGTCTCCTCAAAATACCTTCGCAAGCAAACCCAAATCAAAAGAACTTCAGCGTCAAATCAATCGGACTCAGAACACCTACATCCAACACGTCAGCCACTCCCTACTCCTCAAAGTAAGACTCACAGGAAAACTTACTAATCGGTAACAAAGGCTCCAAAATCGGACTCGTCACCGTACTCCCCACCGCAAACGTCCCATTAACACTCCCACTCCCACTACTAACCGGCACGGCGCCCTGGAACCTAATCGCATACCCCGTCGCCCCATCACAGGAGACATTATTCGCCACGACGGAGACTTTCTGGCCAGTGCCATCAGGACTCGCGAAGAGCTGCGTAGGAGCGAGGAGGGGGTTGTTCTGCGTGACGACGAAGCGGTAGGGTTCGTTGTATGTGCGGAGGCTGCCGTTGATGAGTTCGAAGCGGGTGAGGCCGAAGAGGGAGGCGCTGGCGTCGGTGAGGGTGAGGGGCGCGGAGGAGGGGTCTGTTGCTGTGGTGGGGGTGGAGATGCCGAGGAGCGAACCGGAGGTGTTGCGGGCGAGGAGGATGAATTGGTAGTCTGGGGGGAAGGTGCGGAGGGAGTCGCCGAGGCCGAGGAGGCCGGAGGGGCGGCAGAGGGCGGCGGTGGTGAGGATGAGGGAGGTTGAGAGGAGGGCGATGGCTGTTGTTAGGGGGTTCATGGTCGTTGGTGTTGATCTTTGACGGAGAGCTAAATCGTCAGGGCGTTGTGGGTCGTGCTCAGTACAGCGTTCTATGACAGTGGATCGCAAGCATCTAATAGAGCATATACGCTGCAAAGCAGCCAATGCGAACATCAACGAACCCCGCAAGCCAAGTCGAAGCGAATGCAATGCAGCCTTCCTTTTAAGCTTGTGATGTAGATCCGCGAAAGGCATCGATCGGCTGTGGCGTATCCCAAGTGGGCAATCTTCACAGAGCAGTTTTCCTTGCTTGCGGTAGGTAGGCAGGCACCATCGACACTGCGGGGTTGATTACAGGACTCTGAGATGCCATCGGTGACCATGTTCTTGCCAGTTGGTAACAAGTCAGTCTCCTTTTCGATAGCCGTCGCTGATATAGCTGGCAAAAGCTCGAGCAGACGGCGCATGTATTTCGAGAGTATCAAGTCTTTCGTCCCGGATCTCAGACCTTCCGTTGTGCAGACAGAGGTACATCGTATTCGCCGCACCAGCTGCACTGAGCTGCACTGGTTTTCCTTCATGCCCACCAGCTGGTATTGACGATATACACACCTCCTGCTTTGGGCGTTTGCCGAGTCAGCATGCGAGGTACGAGATGCATGAAGAAGTACCATGCTCTCTGGGCAGCCGGAACTGTACCTGACAATTGATGTTTCGTCCACGTGGTCGTCTAGAAAGATGCTTTGCCGGGTGCAGTCCCTGCTCGCGTGGCAGTGGATTGGGCAGATGAACATTGTGAGGTGAAGTTGGAACTCGGAACCGCTTGGCATTTGCCGCAGCTTGGCAGGTATGGTTGTCTACATTGATGTGAATTTGACAGGGTGTCGACATCAATCTCGCATCCTGAATGGAAGGTCAAGACGCTGAGTCGTTCCAGTAGACGATGCCTAAGCGTCCACGGCCTCACCAGCATCCCCACCCTTGCTCTTCTTCCCCTTACTCCTCTTCTTCTTCCTCGAGCCATCCTTGACATTCGAGTCTGTTGCTGGCTGCTGCTCTTCATATCCCAGGATCTTCTCGAAACCACCAGCCGGCTCATCTGGCTTGCCGAAAGTCTCCTTCCGCCACTGCTTCAGCCTCTGCTTCTTGCTGTACCTCTTCTTGTCCTTTCGCTTCTTCTCCTCGTCTCTGAACGCGGCCATTTTCTTCAAACCGGCGTACTGGTTCAAAGCCGAGTCGTCTGCGAAGAGAATGTCTCTGGCTGAGAGGCCAAAGGCTGTCGGTGAGGTCTCACGGTATCGGAAGCCAACGGGGGCTCCATTGGAAGATGCGGTCGCCTGTTGGAGTGGCAGAGTGGCGTCGACCATTTCTTCAATTTGCATGCGTTCTTTGCGGGCGGTGCGCTTGGCGTCGGCCTTCTCCTTCTCGCGGTCCTTCTTGTTCTTCTTCTTCTTTTTGGGCGAAGTCTCGTCCTCCTCGTCGACAATAGAGATGCCGCCTTCCTCTGCGTCCTCGTCATCGGTGAGAGCGATCTTGGCTGCCTCGTCCTTTTCAAAATCTGGAACGAGATCGCCAATGTCGATGTCGTCGTCCCACTTGGGCTTCTTGGGCTTGTTCTTATTCTTCTTGCTCTCAGCGTCTTCGTCGCCTGAGCCCATCTCTTCATCCTCATCGGCGTAGTACTGCTCTCCAAAACGCCGCTTCATCTCGGCCTCCCACTTCTCATCATCGAAGTCACCCTCGATGACGTCTCTCCACTCGTCCAGGTTGAGCGCTTCTTGCCCTCGGATTCCTGCTGCCTCCTTGATCCTCTTCACCTTCTCCTCTGCATCCTCAATCTTGAGCTTCCTCAAACGAGACTTCTCCTCATCCCGCTCCTGCTTCTCCGCCTCTTTCCGCTGCTTCTCCCGCTCTCTTCCCTTTGCACGACCCGTCTTCTCGTCTCGCCGCACGCCATACTTCCCGACATCTCTTGCAAACGACTGCAACTTCTCATTCGCCGTATTCGGATCCTCGAATCGCATGTTGTACGCCTCTTCAAACTCGTCCGCGCGCTTGTCGTCATCGCTGTCGTCGGATTCGAAAGCTTCCCAGCGCGAGCCCTCGCCTGGCAGCCATGCTCGAGCAGCCATGAAGTTGGAGAGGTATGTCTCGGGGTCCTTGTCCGCGGTCTTGATGTCGTCGTCCGTGATCTTCTTCCTAGGCTTCGATGCCTTTGGTGCTGGAAGGTCCTCGTGCTTGGGCTTTCTCTTGGCGACCATGAGTTCGTCCCCATCCTCGTCCTCTTCTTCCACGCCAGCAGCGTGCATCGATCCCACCAATTCTCGCTTCAGCTGCTCTTGCTCTTCAGCGTATGTCTGTGGCTTCTCATCCTCCTCTTCTGCGCCTGTGCGTCCAGCCAGCAGGTTCTCGCGATGGTAGTCCTGCAAATACATGGGCTTCTCTTTCTTGACCTCTGCTCCGCCATTCTGCTCAGGATTGAACTCCTTGAAGAACTTGACACTCTGATCGTACACCTTCGGGTCTTTGGTTCGAATGGCTTGTAGGGTCGCCATGATCTCGTCGTCTAGGTCTTCGGTCGCAAGCTGCGCATCGTCGTCTTCGGACTCGTCATCCTCCGAGTCTTCATCAGATTCCTCGTCTTCCCCATCGCGCTTCCTCTTGGTGGTGGAGACATTCTTGTACTTCTCCTCCAGCTGCTGCTTCTCCTCGCGCTTCTTGTTGTGCTCAAACCGCTTGGCGTACTCCTCGTTGATGTCGAGCTTGACGCCAGCCTCGTCGTCGTCGTCGTCGGAGCTGTCATCGAGCAGCTTGGCGCGCTTCTGCGGCCGGTCTGACTTGGCCATGGTGAGTTGCAGATGAAGTGAGTCCCAAAATTTCCGGCTCACTTTATTTCTGGTCTCAGCGATCACATGTCGGAAAGGCTTTCATTGGCCGCTAAGCGAGGGTGGCTGGGACCTGAGCTTAGCCCTGGAACAATCTCGAGAAATTCAAAGGCAAACGTGATCATTTCCCACATGTGCGCCCAGGGGAGAATACGCAGCATGGCCGCTACCACAGAGCGCCCGGTCAAGCGTCGGAGACTCGCACATGATGACGAAGAACAAGAAGAAGACATTCACCTCGCGCCACTTCCCGCTACTATCTCCAGGATTAAGAAGAAGTCCAAGGCGTCCGATACAACTACGGCACCTTTGACTGGGGATGATCCACGGGGAGAACATCAATCATTCCAAGCCTCTATGGATGCCGACGAGAAGGCCACTTTCTCGAGTCTTGGCGTGGATTCCTGGCTCGTCTCGTCGCTCTCCAACATGTCCATCAAATTCCCAACCCGCATTCAAAAGAACACGATTCCCCAGATCTTGGCCGGCCGCGACTGTATCGGAGGATCCCGCACTGGCTCAGGCAAGACGATCGCGTTCGGGATCCCCATTCTCCAGCAGTGGGCGAGAGAGCCGTCCGGCATCTTCGCCGTCGTGCTGACACCCACCCGCGAGCTCGCTCTCCAAATTTACGAGCAGTTGCAGGCCATTGGTGGCGGACAGGGCCTCAAATGTTTGTTGGTCACGGGGGGAGCGGAGATGCGAGTCCAGGCGATTGAGATGGCCCAGCGGCCGCACATCGTCATTGCCACTCCCGGCAGACTGGCCGACCACATCGAGAACTCGGGCGAAGATACGATATGCGGCTTGCGGAGATGCAAGTACATTGTGCTCGACGAGGCAGATCGACTACTCGCCAGCAGCGACAAGGGCAGCATGCTACCGGACGTCGGGACGTGTCTGGAAGTCCTTCCCCCACCCTCCAAGCGACAGACATGTCTCTTCACCGCCACCGTGACCCCGGAAGTACGTGCTCTGAAGGAGAGACCACGGACAGCCGACAAACCGCCCGCATACATCTGCGAAGTGGACATGGATTCGCTGGCCATCCCCGAGACCCTCACACAGACGTACCAACTCGTCAACGTCCTCCACAAGGAGAAGTATCTCCACATCCTCCTCCTCACGCCCGAAACCAAAGACACAACCACCATCATCTTCTGCAATCGCGCAGAAACCGCCAATCTGCTAGAGTACCTCCTACGTTCTCTCGAACACCGCGTCACAGCCCTCCACTCCAAACTCCAACATCAAGACCGCATCTCCAACTTGGCAAGATTCCGAGCCCGTGCGGCAAGGATCTTGGTCGCCACCGACGTCGCATCTCGAGGTCTGGATATCCCCGACGTCGGGCTCGTCATCAACTACGACCTCCCCCGCAACCCCGACGACTACATCCACCGTGTCGGTCGAACAGCACGTGCGGGGAGGAAAGGTACTTCGGTCAGTTTCGTGGGGCAGAGGGACGTGGAGCTCGTGCATGCGATCGAGGAGAGGGTGGGCAAGCAGATGGAGGAGTACAAAGAGGAAGGCGTGAACATCGAGACAAGGGTCGTGCGGGATGCTCTGAATGTGGTAGGGGACAAGAAGAGAGAGGCGATGTTGGCGATCGAAGAGGGACGAGATGTCAAGGGGAAGAGGAGAACGGGGATGAAGAAGAGTATGAAGAAGGGGTGAAAGTAGGAGATATCCCGCGGAATGCCATGCGACTATGTCTTGGAGGAGCATCATCGTCCTCTCGTCTTCCTCTCAGTTGCTGGGATCATTGTCCCCCGAGCTCAACAAGCACATCCAGCACCAATCCCCTGGATCCTTCCCGTGATATCGACCCTTTTCTCACCACCACTTCGACCGCCATCCTCTCCATCATCGCGCCCATTCACTCTCTCACTGGCACGACCCTCGCCTTCACTCCGTGTATCCTCCTCTCCCTCACCATCATCATATCCCTCCTCATCACTGCTCTCTCCTCCTCTACTTCCAGAAATGTCGGAGGAAGGAATTTGATGCCGTGTACGACCCTCCTCAACCTCCTCGCCGCTGTCGCCAGAGACCGACAACAGCGTAGGGTATGGACGTCGTCGCCGCGGGCGTAGAGTAAAGACCCCGTCGTGAGCTCGGCTGTCCTCTGTCCTCTTCTTCTCGGTTGGAAGGTGATGAGACTTCCTCCTGGACTTCCGGCTGCGGAGGGGATGGTGTGCCTTGACTGTTGCGGCTTGTGGGTGTTGTGCTGCGAGGTGGTGGAGGGCAGTCGCGGGGAACGATGATGAAGTCGTCTTCTTCCTGCTCGTTGGCGGTGCTGGCTTGGGTGGTTTCTGGGACCTCGCTTTCATCATCGCTGATAGGAATGAACAGCACGTCGTCCTCGTCCTCGTCCTCGTCGTCGCCAGGTACCGGACGATTCTGCGGGCTAAGGTTGAACTGAGGGCTGTCAGGGAGTTTGGGCATTTTGCGTCGGTTGGGGTTGGAAGAGGTCAGAGAGCTGAGCATGGTCAGGAGAGATCTGCTAAATCTCTTTTGAAGGTTGCGACATGTTTGCTGAGCAGGCAGCGAGGCTTCTCCCGCTGCTTCAGCTGTGTGGTTCTGCTTTGAAGTCAGACATGCATGTTTTGCTTCCAGATCCCGGGATCGTTCCAGCAAAGCGGTGGCCGTCGTGTTTGCCTTCATACTGCATCAGGGGCAAACGAATCCCTACACCGATGCAAGCAAAGCGTGCCGTTGCCCACGACCTTGGAACTGCAGACGCTGGACTACCTGAACAACCTTGAAGCTCTTCGCCCCAAGGCCAGTTCTTCATCTGTGTAGTCCCATGGCATCAGCTCAACCAAGCAAACCTCGATCTACCTCTTCTTCTTCGGTTTCTTCATCTTCAACGCCGCCCGGGTAACACACACAAAAAGCTCCTGGATCCCTTCCGTCGTCACAGCAGAGCACTCGAGGTACTTGTTGGCACCGATCTTTTTGCGGACGTCCTCACCCTGAGAGAAGTTATCAGCTTGTAGTCGCGGTCATATTCTGATATCTTGATGGTACCTGTTCGTGAGTAACAGGGCTCTGGTAGGTCTTCTTGAGCCATTCAATCGTCTTCTGATCGTGCCGAAGATCCTTCTTGTTGCCTACGAGGAAGTACGGCACGCCAGGATTGAAGTGGAGGACTTCTGAAATCCACTATTTTCCCGTCAGCTTATCCAGTTGCGTGTAGGTAAGGGCAGAACAGGCGACTTCACCTTCTCCTGAACGTTGTCAAGGCTATCCGGCGAGTCGATGCCGAACAGGATGATAATCGCATGGGCGTCGGGGTAAGAGAGAGGGCGGAGACGGTCAAAGTCCTCAAGGCCGCATGTGTCCCAGAGGGCGAGTTGGACCATCTTCCCGTCGAGTTCGATATCTGCGACGTAGTTCTCGAAGACAGTCGGGACGTAGCACTAAACATCGTCAGTCGATGGTTGTTGAAAGCCTTGTGTGGTCGAGGTTGAAGCGGCTTACCGGTGGATAGGATCCCGTCACAAATACACTACGCGGGCATGTCAGCGTCTCGAAGAACCTCTGATTGTGCGTTGGACCTACTGTAGAAGACACGACTTGCCTGACGCACCGTCGCCTACAATCACCACTTTGCGCCGAATCTCGCCGGTCGGTTCTACCACTGGCTCTTCTTCCTTCGACCCGTTCGCCGAGAAGAGTCTACGCCAGCTGCTCCGCTTGTCTTTTGTCGAAGTCGTCTTCAGGCTTCTCGAAGATGTTACGGTCTCGTTCTCAGTACTGGCGACAGAGACGTTGCTTGCGTTCGCAAGACCAGACGTGCGCTGGAGCTCCCGGGAAGGCTCCCCTGATGCCTTTGCCAGGCTGGCTGCATTCAGCTCTGGCCTCGGAGAATCATCGACTTTGGCTTCACGTATAGTATCGGAGCCAGGTGTGGTTACAACAACCTTTGGCTGGGCATCCTCACCATCGCCTGGCCGCAATTTGAAGAAGTTCTGGATCAACGGCAGGTCCAGGATATGATCCGGCAGGGCAAGCACATCTTGCAAGTAGTCATTCAGCTGTTCTATCTGCTGTTCGCGAGTGTAGTTGAGCTGGCCAAACTTGAGGGGCAGGACTCGGTGAGATAGTCCGGCAGCCTCGTTAGGGCAGTCGCACCAGAGGTCGGTTTGAAGGGATTCAAAGTCCTCGTAGGTTCGAGACAGATAAAGTCGCCAGTCGTTTTCGGCGTTACATCCCAGGAAGATTTGAGGCTCGTCTCCAGATGAGATGACGTACTCCACGGTCACTATCCTTGGAGGCCATCGATGGCCAGTACTGCTTCCAGTTGGTGATATGGGAGCTGATCGGACCGTGGACGTCTGTGAGACATTATCAAGACCGCTCTCTAATGAAGCTCTTGATGTCGTGGAGGATTTGATTGTCGTTGCTTGCTCCGGCTCTGGGTAGGTTTCTTCTTCAACTGTGTATAGAGTCAACTCTTCAAGGCCAGCGAGGTTTTCGTCATCACACGACATCCGAGTAGTCGGCGTGCTTGGGCGGATTTCATTGTTATTAACGGGGATCAGTTCACGGTTTGAGTCAGCATCCGATGAAGACGATGCCGAGATCGAATCATGGTCGGACAATTGATCTCCCTGGAGCGCCTCTGAGCCTGACTCGTCGTCCTTCGTCTCTGATACGGATTCTTGCGAAGCATTGGTTGGTTTTGAGTCCAGCAATGGTGCCACTTGTTCGATTTCTGGCAAGTCTTCAACATTGCACCCCTGAATATTATCCGATCCCCCTTCTTCGCTTGCGAAACAAGCAGTGTCAGCTTCATCTGGATGTATAGCAATAACCGTAGTATCTTCAACAGGCAATCCGAGAGACACGGCTTCTTCGTGCTGGGGCTCTGGGATTTTGGTGACATCAGGCTGCGGCGATGCCAACTTCTTCATCGACATGTCCAAGCTGCTCTCAACACCTGCGTTCGGTGTTTCTGGTGCATCGAGCGCGTTTCCACCCATACGTTTCAGCGTCACGGTGTAGGCCTTCACGTCGCCGACATTGTTATCGGCGGTAGAAATGGCAATGAGAAGTAACAGACAGCGCCGAACACCATTCTCTTGCTTCAATCTCTTGAATCTTGCCCAGGCCCTTCGAGCGTGAAGCTGTGCCTCCACGCGATCATGACTTTCGTGCATTACGCACGCCAGAAGATACACGTCATGTGCGTAATCAGCGTCGTCGGTCCTCAACAAATGCTTTCTGAGCTCGATCCTTTGGGTCAAGACCTTTTGAGCTTCTAGCCAGTTCTGTTCCGTTTTGTAGGCGTCGAGCAGGCAGCTCAGCACATCCAGCCGCTTGGCTACATCGTGCTTGCGGGTGGAGTCGACCGCTGGCAGTCGTTTGAGGCAGTTGGAGAACGACTCCTTGGCAGCTTTGAAATCCCCAACAGCCGCCTCTTGCTTGCCTTCTTCCAAAAGGCTGTCCACTAGATCGATCTCGACGTCAGACTCGGATTCGGAGCTGCCTTCGCTCTCATCACTCCATGTTGGAACATCAATCACAGATTGAGGAGCAGCTCGGGGTGTCATCTCTTCAAATCCATGCACTGTGTCGGATCTCATGTACCGGTCTATCGCAGGAATCTGTTCGGCCGGGAAGCAATCCCCATAGTTTGAGTCTGCGACTACGCTTCTTGCGTCATCATCTTGCTGGCCAGTTATGGTCGATGAAGAGATGATACTGGCAGCCGACTGGACACAGTCGCGTGTACTGCTCAGTAACTCCGCGCGGATTCTTTCCTGTGGGCTGGGTGTACTGTTCTGTGATGCTTTTATCGCGTCCAGATCGTGTGCAATCTTTCGAACATCACGACTGAGCTGACCAAGATTCGGGAGCAGCTGAGCGTTCGTCTTCTGGTAAGCCTCTTGGTTCGAAAGGATGATGGTGGCCAGTGACAGCTGCAGGGTATCTTGGAAGGACCGAATGTGCCCCCGAAAGGCCGTCAATCTCTCCTCTGCCATGTTCAGCCGGAGCTGCTTGCGTGGTCCATCGAGGAACTTCTTCGTCTGACCGATATCCAGGACGAGCTCCACCATTTGGTCCAGCATATCTTTCCCCTTGACGATGGCCTTCGACACGTTGCCCCAATGAGACGCCACATGGCCGGTTCCAGTCTGTTGTTCGGCGGTAATGACTGCGAAGGTCGTTCGCATCGATCCAAGTACATCTGACAGGCCGTCAACATCCTGCTGTAGGTCCTGTATCGACTGCTTTACGACGGTCACGCCATCGTAGAATTTCTTCAACTCCACGCTCACCGTCCATGTTGATTGTAGGAGGGCAGCTACACCGGTGACAATGCTGAGCGGGTCTGGCATTGTCACGGCGGGTCATGAAGCATGCTGTGGACACGGCGAGAGAGCGAGAGGTTGAAGGTAAAGTCTGCGGGAGGTTGTAAAGGCTGAAGGTAGTCGCGACAGGGCACCTGCAGCTAGCTGGCGCATGCATGGGCTGGACAACGCCACAGCGCCCCAGAATACCAGGCCAAGCGAATGCCAAGAATGTTCGAATACCGTCTCTTGCAATAGCAATCCATTGATCGTGTAGAACGAGTACGTTCGCGAGCCGTACGTTTCGTCCAGTTGTGTGATGTTGTACAGTCCCAAGTCGCTATCCCATCACCGTCGCTCTTCCTCAACCTCCCCTGAGTCGTGCAGCCTTGCCCGTCGCGTTGCCTAGTACAAGGTTAGCGACGATCAGTATCAGTCCTCCGTCATTCAATAGATTGTAGAGATGTGCGGTGGAATCTCTGAGCTGTCCGAATCGCGGGCGTTGACAATGCCGGCGGAGGAAACACGAACTTGTCTCAACTGCAACCTGCCTCTCCATTCCATTCAAGCATAGATTTTCGAAGGCTAGCAAAGACGCCATAGGACGAATCCCTGAGAGGAATCTGAGTCAAGTGTTCGTGATAAAGGCAGTCAAAGGCTACTAGAAATGCCTACCTTGTCGTCATCGAACGTGAAGCAAACAGCCGCTCATAGACCAAAAGCTAGGCCGACGCTCTTCATCACCCCTCCAACCACGAAACCAGAACGATTACAATCCACTCCATCTACAGGCCAACACCATTGCCAGCAACAACGAGAAGAACAACACGTCTTCCATCTCAAACACCAACGATAAGGCTGCCCCAATCCCATCCGATCCCTCCAACAACACGCCCGCCACTCCAGACCCATCCGAGCCTACCAACAAGAAGGACACCAACCCAACTTCATCCGATCCCTCCAACAGCAACGACAAGACCAACATGTCTTCCACCACAGACAACAACAAGAACACCACCCCAGCCTCAACCGATGCCTCCAACAACAAGGACGCCAACCCAACCCCATCCGATGCCACCAACAACCAGAACGCCACCCCAACTCCCTCCAACAACCCCTCTCCTCCCACCGACGACGACAACGACCTAACCGCCGAGCCCGAGCTGATCGAAGCCTCCGAAGCCTACGAGAAGTACACCATCATCCTCAACAACAACGCCATGCCGTTGCCGGAGGAGCTGGAGCAGAACGGCAGGTCTTCGACGAAGGTCGGCGTGCCACAGCAGATTTCGAGGAGCATGGAGGAGACGCGGAAGGACTTTCGGCGGAAGTTTGGGTGGCGCGGGTCGGGGGAGAGGAGCCCACCGGTGAAGAGGGAGATGGATGGAGATGATGAGGATGATGGCGAGGGTGGTGGGAAGAAGGGCGGCGAGAAGGTGAAGAAGGATTAGGGGATGTGATTGGTTTCGAGGGCTTAGGAGAAGGAGCATCGAAGGAGGTGGTTGAATTCAAGGGGCGCGATGGAGATGTCTCGTTGCGTACTGGATACTCTGGGTGGCGGTCAGCAGTCGTTGAGCCTTAGCGTAGCAATCCGATCACTCGCAACAGTTGCTCTTCGATGGTGATGAAGGCTCGGTAGTGGACTGAATTCAAAATGCCTCGTTGAGATTCTTGACCGCATGCAACGCCTTCTCATATCGTTGGTCAATCTTCACCTTTAGGAGTAGCGCGGGTGAAGTCATACACATACCCCTGGCCATCAGATGACATTGCCAAATCGTCAGACAAGTCCTGTCGTCCTTGCTCCCAGTCGCCACCAAACGCCAGAACGCCCTTTGAGTGCGCTGAAAGTTAAGCCTTCACAGCAGTCGTTTTGACTGCCTCAGCTGTCCTCCCCTTCATTCGTCTCAACTCCTCAATCTCCTTCTGCAATCGATCGATCTCCTCCAGGTCGTCCGGGTTGTGTACAGACAGAGCCGCTGGCTTTGTGGGTGTTATCGTCTTCTTCTTGACGATGCGAGAGTCTTCCTCATGCTCGGAGTCGGAGTCGAGCTGTGAATGTCAGCCATCTACTCTGAAGGGATATGGGAACGATCTGTGACCTACACTCTTGGGAAGAAAGTCGTGAGAGTTGACCATGGCCGGGCCATCGAGACCGATGCAGAAATGCTGAAGAGGATCGCTGGACAGGTCAGAATTGCAAAGGCACTGGCCACATATCTGGCAGATGGAAAGCGACATTTTTGTAAAAGTGGTGATGGTGTTGTCAAGATCGATATGGTTATGGTTCTTCGGTCGGATGGGCGGATCGAGTGGCTCTTATGAGTTGCTGTTGTTTGGATCGGATGATGTCCCAATTGTGCGGTCCTCCCAGGACCACTCTGCTCTTTATATGAAAGTCTGTTGGGGAGGTGATACGAGTGCGACGCGGACGTCCCCGGCCAAGTGCGCCAAGCAAGGAAGCGATAGGGAGTCTCGAGACCGGACAGGAGATGACAGCAGCTGCGTGCAACGACTGCTTTGCCACGCACGTCGTCGATTTTACATTTGTTCTGGGGACTGCTTGCTGTTGCGCATTCGTACCCTTCTTGCAATGTTGCTTGAACGCTGTCGACAATGCCATGGCAGATTGTTGATTGACTGCGTAATCCTGGGTGTCCACTGCAGTAACAAGGGGTCACTGTTGACCCATGTGAAAAGGCTATGATCTCAAAAAGAGTTCACTACCAGGTCTGGTTCGCAATTGACAACTCTAGCTGAGCCGTCAGGTTGACTCATGGAATAGTCACAAGCTTCGCGGGCATATTGTCAGGCAATATCATGCTTGGAGTTGTGGGCGTGGATCACGCAGATTCTCTTGGTTGCATAATGGAATGAGTGAGAGCCGAATGTCCTTGATCTCCGTACATCCTACAATAGCAAAGGCCTTCAAGTCAAACATGTTGCCTGATGCGGACGTTGAAGCAGCGGTCGGGAGGTGAGGCATCTACAACACAAGAGCTTTGGGTTGGCTTGTTGAAACATAGCAGACGCCGGGTCTGTTGGACCTCCGTGACATCACAGCAACCGGAAAGGTTCTGGGTTGGATGCGCTCGCAGTAGCTGTAACGGCTCGCGTGACCAGCCGGAATATATCTACCTGGACTTCAGCTTGGCTTTGTGTTCTTCCCACCAATTCCGACAGGCCAAATGCATATCCACCCCTTGCACCCACCACTCTCCAAAGCTATCATCGACGTCGATGTCGACCTTGGCTACACGTTCCTCTCTTTTCAGGCCACACAGTGCACAAGCATGCGGTGCAGTGAACCCTCCCTCGACGGCTTTCAAGGTCCTGACTGGCATCTGATCGCTGATCTCGGGCATTGGGGGAAGTTTCGAGGCCTTGCCAGCTGAAGCCGACGATGCGGTGGTCACCGCTCCCCTCAGCTTTCCTGATTGTGCTCGCCAAAGACGGAGGGCTTCTTGCGCTTCTTGTTCTTCCTTCGTAGCCTCTCCTTTGTCTACACCAGTGAGCTTCATGCCGCTCTTACCGCTGGCACCTGCTTGTCCGATGCGCATCGATTGAGATAAGATCTGGTCCCGTTTCCATCTTAGCTTTCGCCCGGCGATGATCCTGGCAAGCACCAATGATGTTTCAAGGTAGCTCCGTAGAAATTGATGCGTGGCAGGATGTGCCAGCAGCTCTTGTCTTTGCGAATGGTCCAGGCGTGATAGAGGCTGGAACAGTGCATCCTGTGCTGGTAAGAATATTGAGGGGAAAACTGAGAGAAGTATGGCTGGAGGAGGGATGTTCGTGGGTGGCAAGGCCGATTCAGACGTCGCTCTGGAATGCAAGGATGGCACAGAGACTGATGTAGTTTGAGAGGCCACCACAGGTAGTGCGTTCGACACCGGCTCTGCTGTCTCGAAGTCGTCCCAGGCATCGTCTTCTGCTTCTGGTTTCGCGGTATTGGTGACACTTGGTTCCGTAGACGGCTGAGTCTCGAAGTCATCCCAAGGATTATCATCAATCAGCGAAGACGTACGTGAATGATTGGACGTTTTCGTTGGCCCCAAGATCTCGTTCGCCTTACGCAACGAGTCACTTCGTGACCTGCCAATCTGTGTGATAGGCTTCAGATTGTCATCTAAACCCAAAAGATCCATTGACGGCATTGTAGGCGATGCTTGCTTCGCCACAGGCTCAGACGGGGGTACAACTGCGACAACCGGCGATGTGCTATTTTCAAAGTCACCGAAATCGTCATCGTCGTCGTGCTCAGACAGATTCTCGGCATCAAAAAGCACATCTGGAGCCTTGGTGGGAGCATAGCCCGACTTCTTCCGGAGTTTGTTCCTTGCTGGGGGAGGGTTTGCAGCCGGAGTTGCTTTCGCTCCAGACTGGGAGGCAGGTATAGAAGGACGTTTGGCGAGCTTTTTGTGTTGCTGATCCAGCTGAGTTTTCGACTGCTCCAGCACGGCTGTCTTGTTATTTGAAGAAGCAGGTTGCCCACTTGCCGCTTGCTTTGCCTTCGCCTCCTGTTCTGCGATGAGTCGCTTGGAAAAGGCCATAGCAGCTTCCGGGTCCTTTGCCAAGTTCGCTAGATCATCTTCTCCTGCATCGTACTCATCCTCACCAGGCTCAAAAAGGAAGTCCATATGCCCTGCGAATGGATGTTGCCCGATTTTGGAATCCGGCTGTGAAGAAGCTTCCTCCTTCTTGACCTGAGGGGGTGGCGATGCCAGGGCGTGCCGAGCCATGGCATCAGAAGACTTCGGTGAGGTTACTTTCATATCTTTAGGGGCTGGGGGTTGCTTGGCAGATGCATCTTCGAAGTCTCCCCAGTCGTCATCACCGAAGTCATCCTGGTCTTGTGTACCATCCGGTGCAGAGTCTACTTGAGCCTCTCCCGAGGGTGTTTGGCCGCCATTCTGCACACCCACGAAGCCTTCATTGGAAACATTCCAAGACTCCCGAGTTGGCTTATGTGGGCGACCCATAGTCGGTGGCTCTGGAGGCGGGTCCCCGAAGGCCGCGAAGAGATCCTGGGACATGTTTGCGGTGACGTCGTCAGTATCACATGTCAGGTCGGCGCAGATCACTCAAAGTGTCGTAGCATAGTTTTCTCTGCGCATACTGTACATATCCAAGACGATCCGGCCCAAGTTTAGTCAATAACTGACATGTGATGTTGCTAGGTGAGACTTGCAGTTGCCAGGCGTCGGTTTACTAGCGCCTCGGAAGCCGGCTTCTAAGCCCTAAGTGATGTCCCAAAATAGCTCTCGCCCTGATCGTGTTTCTTCCTCCACGATCTGTCTTCTCGATCATTCTCACACTTCCATCCACGCATCATATTACGAACCGCCGGCGACCTCTTCGAATAGAAGACTTTTTATCTCAGCCTGTCCAATACGAAAGAGCTCTGTGTTCTCTTACAGGATGAGGAAAGAATAGAGCACCAAACGTGGATCCGCAGAAGCCTTCTATATTCTCCATGGGGCCTCATCAAGAGATCGATGACCACCATTTCTGGATTTCTCTCTCGTGGCCTTTCCAGCTGTACCAACACCGCCCGAGCGCTTAGAAATCGGGATCATGTGAAGCGCTATTCAGGTGGGGAGTTCGAAAGACGGGAACAGATTTCTTTGGCTTCGCGGCTTTCTAACCGTTTTGAACACTCTATACGCCGATGGCAGAGACCCGCGATAGGCATCACTCTCGATTGGTACACCTGGAGGCATTGAAATGTCAGTTCGGTTCGTTGTCTCAGCTTACCCAACATTTTCGAAGATGCATAAATACGGACCGAAAGTCGTGCCCCAACGAGGATGAAGGCACACACGATATCCTCTGCCGATTGATATCAATCTCGAAATGTTCACGCGTCTCCAACTCTTCGCGGCTGGTACGTTTGCTGCATTGTACCACGGTGAACAAGTCTGCGATGGCCCTTATGTACTTTGCGCCGCTGCTCCATGCACATACCTTCCTGGCAACTCGTCATTCGCAACCTGCACGTGCGTTGGACCTTACACCGGACTGAATCTCGGCACGTCGAACGATACTTGCAAATCCCGTACCGAGAGCCTGATTTCAACTTTCTCGCTCCGAAATCCCTATGCTCCGCCTTCCCAGTATGAGACAGGGAGTGGAAACTCTGTCGACTCGGGGAGCAACGGCTGGGGTGGTTATGGAGGTGGTGGATGGAACAAAGGGCATGGGGGTGGAGGAGGTATTCCACCTGTCTACGCCATTCCATGCGTCGGATCGAACGCCGCGCCATGGACTGACTGGTAGATATTGATGCAGCATCGAACCGTCACTGACCAGATGCTTACCCTACTATTAGCAACGGTGCCCCATGTACTGTCGGCAGAAATGGAGCTGTCACCTGCACCTGCCCAGTTCAACCCGCGAGCGACAACTTCTACTACGGCAGCGAATGCCCCAAGAGCGACGATGGTCTCACAGGGCTTTGCAAGCAGTTGAGATCCACGGCGGATGCCCCTTCGTTTGCCACACGGGAGAATATGCCAAGCATCATCGAAGCAGCCACCCTCGGACCATTCTATGGCGATCAGAACCAGATCTCGAGTTGCCTATAGTGATGGCACATTTGACATATTGAATGAGGCAAGGCTAGAACGGCTATGACGATGTCCTGAAGGATATAATGAATTCAGCGCTTGGACGTAGAGATGTTAGCGAAGACAAGAAATGGGAACGACTAGCTTCAAGCAAGCACCTCACATCACCTTACGGTATCCGAGCCACTCCAGCATATTCCCTCGGCCTTTATCAAATGAATTTTGCCAAGCTACAGTCTCACTGATCGCTCTCACATGCATTCTTTCGTTCGACCGGTGTTCGGAATTGCGGGATCAGCCGCAGGTCGCGCTTCGCGTCTTCCACTCCAACGTCACTTTTGCTGCTCTCTGTGTGCGCACCAACACCACCGCCGCCGCCGACGACGGCTTGCAGCATTTCGACACTGGCGTTGGAGGGACTGTCACAAGCTGAAGTGTAGCATTCACTCGCTTTGTCCGCCATTGGATCCTAATCAGCGACGTCACCATCTTCTTCACCTCCGGCCGCTGAACTATCGACTGCCCTCCGCGATTGGCCTTCGAAAGTCTTCTCGCGTGTTGCACTGGGTGCGGCAGCATCAACTCATTTCCCTTAGAGAGCTATCTGAGGCTCAGCCAACTACGAACCACGCCGCCGCCCGCCGTAGCATCCCCTCCTCACAGACCAATCCTCATGACTTCTCCCTGAGCTTGACCCAAACGACACATTCATTCTAGCCGGGCCTGTGTGGCCCGGCGCTTAATGAGCCATGGACCTTGTCCAGAAGGTCGAGTGAGTCTTTTGACTTGTACCTGGCACACTCATTGCAATGCTGACAGAAACCCTTCCAGGGACCTCACGAGCCTTGACGAGGACATCCACTGGTTCTGTCCGCGAGCCAAGGACGACGAAAATGCCATCTACTACGACGAAGACTTTGGCGGTCTCGAGCCCGACGAGACAGAAGAGGAGAAGGCGCTGAGACTGGATCAAGTAAAAGAGGCCGTGGCGAGGAAAGAGAAGGCGCTGTTGGCATGTCAGATCATTGCGTTTGACGGTGATGATGCCAGACCATATCAGGAGAAGTTGCAACGACATCTCCAAAAGCAGTTGAGGCGCTGCGACATTTGCATACGAGAGTTTCACCGCTCGAGAACGTGGTTACGAGAGCAGCTGGAGAACGATTATCCACCCGAAGACGTCCAGGCATTCATGCACAAGTTTGACTCGCTGAATACCGATCGCATCGTGGCAGGTCTGAACAACCTCGCCGAGACGCTTATGGACCTGCCACCCGAGGAGCGGAATATCAACAATGCCGGCAATGAGGGTGTGTATGCCCTGTTCGAAGCGTTGCATTGCAAGCCGTTTCTGAATAGCGAAGAACTGCTCAAGGCCGTCTTTGACAAGCCCTTTCGGTTGGTGCAAACCAAGAAGAAGGTGACTTTGGCAAATGTACCCCCTGGCATGGTTACTTTTCTCTTCTCTGACAACCAAGATCGCTATCTCTGGGCTGAACGCAATTGCAACAAACTCAAGCGCACCCTACTGGCCAATGAGTTTGAGCACAGTGTCAAGCCTTTTCTGCAACCCGCAGCAGGACGAGTGCACATCACGCAGCTTGAACTCGACTTCTTGCCACGATTTTGGCGGGCCACTCGCATGATAGTGTCCAAGCTCGACAAATCGTTGATTACGAATCACCTCCGTGCCATGGATATCAACTTGTATACACTGTCCTTGGAACACTTTCAGCTCGAGGCGTCGCACTTCATCGACCAACTCAATACTTACAAGATGTTGCTTGAGATTGCTCCTGATGACTTCTGGGATGCTATGGGTCCCGCGTCCCCGCAGAATGTCGTGGATACAATCTGTAGGGCTCCTAGGTTCGAGCGCCTGTTGAAGGTTCCAGAAGAGCGACAACACGGTCCGTACGAGTACCTCAAGCAGCAGATGGCGTGGGTCAACGCATTCACCAGCAGCATCAAGCCGGCCAACCTGGTGCAGCCGTTGCGCACAATACTGGATCTCTTCTTGCACAAGTATCAGGGCGAGGAGTACCCACATTCCACGAGTAGAGTTACGTGGGAGATAGGTCTCTCTTGCCTGCTGGAGGCCATCAACCGTGTTGCTAAGGTTGTTGAGGGTGGACCCGTTTATACGCACCTGGTTGAAGCAGTCGCGAAGGACCACATTGACGTTATCCTCGAGGAGCTTGAGGGTATCGAGACGAAGACCGAGATGCAGGTGACGCCTACTCAGATGCTCGGCCTGCAGATTGTCGAGAACGTGCTCGCTCTGGACGTGAAGGGCTTGAAGAGAGACCGCCGCGTCATCGAAAAGACGATGGATCTGGACCACGAGATTGGGGTTACCAGTCAGAAGGTATGGAAGACCAGCATGCAGCACATCAAGCCTGGCTATCCTGTGCTCGTCATGTCCGTACTATCCGGTCTTACTGGTCTCGTCGAGCTGGAGACGATTCCTGCCAAGATCGTCAAGTCCGCTCCCAAGCAAGCAGAAGCCTGGAACAGCGCGCTGGAGAGAGTGCATGGGTACATAACCACTGACCTTCTGGACCGCATTGACTCGTTCGAACCCGATCAGTTGGTCGACTTGTTTCAGGAGGCTTCGGCAGTTCGAGGGGTCATGTCTCTGCTCTTCAACAGCAACGACCAGCTTCACAACTCTGCCCTGGGTCTCCTCAAAACGCTGAGTGGGGAAGACAGCAGACGAGACAGTATCATGCACGTTGTACAGATATTCTTCGGTACGGCGCTTGCGGCTGTGGCCAACACCCTCAAGCTTGTGTCTGATGCCAAGGTCTTCGGGCCTTGTATAGTTCTACTCAAGCTATGCAGGGACATCTACAGCTGTCTTTGCGATTCTCAAGATGGCATACTCCGAACCAAGACACTCTCAAACAACGCCGATGTATCTGCGCTTCGTGTGTTCTGGGTCCGAACTTGGGGTGTGCTGGAGACCATCTTCGAGCAGACTGAAACTTGGAGTAGTCAAGGCTATGATAAGACTGTCATGCAGGATTTCTGTCGCGAGACGATGGACTTTGCTGACTTTGCTTTCGACCAGTACTCAATTATCGCCGGTACGCTTGAAAGCAACAGCAAGCAAGGCGACTTGGACGTGGGAAAGCAGCTTCTCCAACAGCCCAGCAGCACATTCAGGTTCATCACGAAGTGGCTGAGACTTCGTGATGATTATCTCATCACTAAGGCAGTCAGTCTGACAGGCAAGATTCTGACCCGACTGCACGCTGTTGGCATCAAAGTTTCGATTAGTGCTGCGCAGTACGTCGAAGACATTGTCACCAGCGCATCGGTCAGAGATGCCAAAGTTAAGACTAAACTTACAAACCAGCACAAGGCGGAGCTACAGCGAGCACTGGAAGAACACCTCGGTGGTGCTCTATCGTCTTCCCTGGAGTCTGTCGGTGCTCCTCGGAAGAAACAAAGCTCATTGCAAGGCTGGGCTACTCCCGGAGAGAGCCGATCCGGCTCCACCACACCCATCACCACAGCGAAGCCAAGGGGTGTCATTGATCTCGAGAAATGGTCCAGTGCCGCAGACCGCAAGAACAAGGCACCAATGCAAAAGCTGCCCAGCCTGGCAACGCAGAGGGCAGCGCAAAAGCAGCAAGATGACCAGAAGAACTTCTTGCTCAAGCGAAAGCAGGCTCTGGCAGAGCAGGAGAAACAAAAGCAAGCCGCTCTGGCCAAAGCTAATCTTGGCGCAGGCAGTGGAGTAGCTGGCATCGGAAACTACGGCAAAGATCATTCTACTGCCGGGCAAACTGTCATGGTTGATGATGCCGACCTGGACTCTGAAGAAGGAGATGAAGATGAAGACCTCGACGACGACCTCTTTGGCGACAGCAAGAAGCCGAAGAAAGCCCAACGCCCACAGTTGGATGTCAGCGGCACGACTGGTCTGAAGCCGGAGGTCAAGAAAGGACCAACTCGCATTCAGAGATCCGCTCGCTCCTTTAAGGACATGCGTGCTCGTCTCGCGCCCGATCTAGGGCCACTTCACCGGGTGATACTGGGATGGGACTTCTTCCATGAAGGCGACTTCCCTCCACGATCGAACGAGAACGACTTCTCCGCCGTCGCCAACTCGTTCACCAATCCTGTCACATACCAAGAGACGTTCGAGCCGCTGCTCCTCCTCGAAGCTTGGCAGGGCATGGTCAAGTCGCGAGAGGAGAACAGTTCGAAGCCGTATGAGATCAAAGTCCAGAACCGCAGCAATGTGGACCAATTCATCGAGATTAGCAGCATGATCAGCCATCAAGACAATCGAGACTTGTCGCTTCAAGAGGGCGACATAATTTTGTTCTCGAAGGCCAAGAAACCTGCAGACCAACCGGAATCGCCAAACTGTCTCGCACGAATCTACCGTGTGAAGCGACAAAAGGCCCACCTCGAGATCGTCTACCAGCTCATGTCGAGTAATAAGCTTGCTCCGCAACTGACAATGCAGACCATCATCTACGGGCTCAAGGTTCAGAGCATCACTCCACTGGAACGCGAATACGGCGCACTCAAAGGTCTACAGTACTATGATCTCTGCAATCAAATTGTGAGAGCTAAGCCGTCTCCGCGGATTACGTTCAGCGATCGGCAGATCTCGCAACTGCAGGATGTCTACAACCTGAATAAAGCTCAGTCGGAAGCTATCAATGCAGCGCTCGAGAATGAAGGCTTCTCCTTGATTCAGGGTCCGCCAGGATCTGGCAAGACGAAGACCATTGTCGCGATCGTTGGCGGATTGCTTTCCCAGACTTTGGGCAGCAGCACCGTTGGAGCGACCAGAATTTCGATGCCCAAGGCCAATGGCAACACTAATGTTCTGGGAGATGCTCCCTCGAAGAAGCTCCTGGTCTGCGCACCTAGCAATGCTGCCGTAGACGAGCTGGTTATGCGTCTAAAGGAAGGTGTCAAGACCAAATCAGGTGCTCACCACAATATCAATGTGGTTCGTATTGGTCGCAGCGATGCCATCAAGCACGAAGTTCAGGACGTGACGATCGATGAGCTGGTTTCCAAGAAGCTGGGCAACTCACAGATGGACACGAAGCAGCGCGAAAAGAATGCTGAGATTTTCAAAGAGCACGAGCAAGTTTCCGCAAAGCTGCGAGAACTCTATGATCGACGGAATGCGTCTGACAAAAGAGAGAACAAACTCGAGCCGGCACAGCGCAAGGACCTGGAAGACAGCATTTCCGCCGTCAAGCGCCGGAAGGCTGAGCTTGGCACACGCATTGATAGCGTCAAGGACCAGGAACGCAACGCTGGCCGAGAGCAAGAACTCAATCGCAAGAGAGCGCAGCAGGCTGTGCTTGACGAGGCACATGTCATTTGCGGCACCCTAAGCGGTAGTGGACACGACATGTTCCAGAGCTTGAACATCGAGTTCGAAACCGTCATCATCGACGAGGCAGCTCAGTGTGTTGAGATGAGCTCGCTGATCCCACTGAAGTACGGATGCATCAAGTGTATTATGGTCGGCGATCCAAAACAGCTTCCGCCCACTGTCTTTTCGAAAGAAGCTGCCCGGTTCCAGTACGAGCAGAGCTTATTCGTGCGAATGCAGAACAACAATCCCGATGAGGTACATCTACTGGATACGCAGTACCGTATGCATCCCGATATCAGTGTATTCCCGAGCTGGACGTTCTACGATGGCTTGCTCAAGGACGGGAACGGCATGGCTGCTCTGAGGACGCAGCCGTGGCACGACAGCGCTTTGCTTGCGCCATACCGCTTCTACGACGTTCGGGGTCAACACCAGTCTGCTCCAAAAGGTCACTCGCTCATCAACATCCCGGAAATAGATGTGGCGATGGCGCTCTTCGACCGATTGAGGACCGACTACAGCAACTACGACTTCACAGGCAAAATCGGCATCATCACGCCGTACAAGTCGCAGCTGCGGGAGCTCAAGAGACGCTTCACTGACAAATACGGGTCCCAGGTCGAGGAGATCATCGACTTCAACACCACAGATGCCTTCCAAGGTCGTGAGAGTGAGGTCATCATCTTCTCCTGTGTGCGTGCCTCACCAGCGGGTGGCATTGGTTTCTTGCAAGACATTCGTCGCATGAACGTCGGTCTCACACGAGCAAAGTCAAGTTTGTGGGTGCTTGGTAATTCCGACAGTCTGGTACGTGGACGATACTGGAAGAAGCTGGTGGAAGATGCGCAGGCCAGAGACTGCCTCACAACTGGCGAAATCATGAGCATGCTGAAGAAGCCATCCAGTGCATTCCCAGCGAGCAACTACTCCTCAAACACTCGTTCCATGCTGGATGTTAACGCACATGTGGCACAAATGAGCAACGAAGCCGAGTCGAGGCGATCTTCTGCAAGTGTTGCTGCAAATGGTTCAAGGAAACCTACACCAACCCCTGTCGTGAAAGCAGAACCCCATATCAAGACAGAGCCTCAAGTCAAGACTGAGCCCGCTGATCCGGACAGAATGGACGGGGTGACGTACAAGTTTGAAGATATACTGAAGGCTAAGAAAGCTGCAAGCCGCGAATCTTCAGAGAAGAAGCCGTCCGACGACGTCGACATGGAGGATGCCGACGGTACTCCGAACATGACAGCTGACGGTCGTGCTATGACCCCAATCAGCAACACCAACGGTCCGCGCAGCGCGTCTGGCTCGCGGGCTGAAACACCCTTATCTGCGACGGGAGATGAGGGTGCAAATGGCACTGCGCCTGGCGCTGCAACCAAACCTCGTGGTGCGGTGGTGCAGCAAGCCAAGCCCTTCGTGCCGAAGAAGAGACCAGCTGCCGCCAGTCCGTTCATGCCAAAGAAGCCACGAGCGCCTCCGCGATGAAGAGACTCCTTTCAGCAGGTACAGCGGCTGGCTGGAAAAGATCAAGCAACTTGCCTACATATGCAGGTTCAACCCAGGGTTGCCAGATGGTGGCGCGATGGTGGAGCTCGGCCTCTGAGTGTCAGGAATGGTCACCAAAGTCAGCTTTCCATCCCTCAACTCTGCAGCTGATCACCATCGCTGAGCTGATGCCATAGCTTTCAATGCATTCGCGGAGACAGCGACATTCCGAACACTTGGTTGAAAGCTGGAGCTCACCTGCAGCCAACGTTATAGAGGCATGGCCTCGAAACAGAAAGAAATGGATAGACAGAAAGCAGTAAACTCGTGAAGTACGGTAGCAGCTACGTGAAGTGACTGGACAAATCGTCCAGGCCAGTATGTCGGTCCTCATCCCTCTCTTGATCGAGAGATGAGAGATCTGTAGGCAACCCTCGCCCAGTGCAACAACCGACCCAGCCGCGGAGCGCGCCTGTGCGATTCCTCATGCAGCCCCGAGATTTCTGAATCCATGCAAGAGTCCTTTCGAGAACTGTCAAAATCACCCGCCGACGGCTCTTGCCATGCGCGCGGTTACAGTAGCAGTGGCGGCATCATTCATCATAAGATGAGGCGGCACCGCCTTTGTTTCGAGTCCTGCTCGACGTTGCGCTCGATCAGACCAAGGTGTCATTATGTGGGTGCAGTGGCTTTTTTGACGCTTCATCAATTGTTCGATGCTGGGTTGAGTAGACATGACAAGCGCCCCCTTTTCGACGCCCAAGTTGCACGGGGTCGAATTCGAAAAGCGTGCTGCAAATTGGGTGCGAGGTTGTACGGCAGCGGGTACGTCGCACAGAGGATGGATGTGGTGATGCCGGCTGGTTTCATGCGTGCTGCTAGTTGTGTGACGTGAGATGCTGGGCGACGAGAATTGGACCTTGCATTGCATGGATGCTGTGGTGCGTGGTGAGATTTTTGCGATGGAATCTCGCTGACTTTGATGAATGAAGGGAGTTGAATATTGAGAGCTGATGCTGTCGTGATATCAGGGAGTAAAAGAGATCGGAGCCACAGCCTTTCCCGCGCTGAGCAACGGCCGGGCCTTACAAGAATTCCCACTCCCAACACCCCGGTCATCACGCTGTCTAAGACAATCAATCACCTGGTGGCGTACCACGGCACACGGATCCCGAGCTCGTCATCGGGTTTCCTCTTGCCAGCTGAGAGAGTCTGAGCGTCGCCCGCCGGCGGCATCACATTCTCATCTTTGTGCATCGGTCCAGTGAATCGCACTGCCGCGGCGGCACAAGGCAAGACCAAAATCTGCTGTGTGCTGCTGGCTGCCTTCTTGCTTCGGTGGTACAGTGCCTCTGCCAGGGCGTCGACGCTGGCGGTCTCGTCGTCTGTCTCCTTGCGGCATGTCTTTGTGAGAGTTGTGTTTTCTTTTCAGAAGATTTGTTGCTTGTTCGTTGTGTGCGAGGGAAGGCAAGAGACTGGGTGTTATTATCTGGGCTCTTGCTGTACCTGCTGGTTGTGTTCGTGGAGGAACTTTGCGTTCTTCAAATACACCACTACCTGCAGGGGGCCTTTCTGTTCGACCTCAACGACGAAGCTTGATTATCGTTCCGCTTCCTGGACCACACCGATCTCTCTTCTCTATTCTTGTTTGCTACCCTTTTCTCTTATCTTGCTTTTCGTCCCTCGGGACCTCTCTTTCAGCTCTTGTCTTCCTCGAGGATGACAACAGCTACCACCACTGCTGCAGCACCCAGATGATCGACGCAGCACATTCTCGCCCAGCGCCACCCTCAGCTGCCTGAAAGGACCAGCTCTCTGCGACACCCGTGAGTTGGCATGGTTCCCCCAAGTCAGGTGACGATTTATCTGAAGCACGCGCACAGGCAACAAAGGGCCGCACCCCTCATTCTGCCCTTCCGGAGTGGCAGATCCAGTCAAATCCATCGCAACAGCCGGCCACGCACACAGCTCGTGTCCAATGCAGCTGTCCGCGGTGCAGCAGCAGCGGCGAAAAGCGAACGTGCCGACCTTCGCCAACCACACACCGCGCGCGTGGGAGATAACAGCTACCGACCCCTCCTCGCAATCTCCTGGCCTTCCCGACATGTTCGGCGCCCCTACAGGCATGACCATTGGCGCCGAACCAGGCTATTGTGTCAATATGGGTCAGGCTCCCTCCTCGTCATCCTCCTCGAATGCCTATGAGCGGGAGAGGATCCGCAAGGCCAGCTCGACTATCCTCCGCGAGGACTCCATTCAGCAGCGGTTTGAGAGTGCTTCCACTACTACTACCGACGAGCATTATTGGTCGTCGACGACTGTGCCGCTGTCCAGGGAGGATTCATGGTCGATGAACTACGACTGTACCACTCAGGCTCCGTATTCCAATTCTTCGAAGAGGGACGACGATATGATCACCCAGTCGAGCTTGGTCAATCTTCCTCACAGTGCCAAGTCTTATGATCTGGCGTTCTTCTTGAGGACGACTGGGCCGACGGCGCCGCATCGTAGGCCGAGCAAGGTTGAGCCTCCGAAGCGATCGGTCAGCGGCAAGAATGCTTTTAGATTTCTCAAGCGAGGCCAGAAGCGAGATGTGACGCCTGTTCAGAGTGCTAGTGATAGGTTGGTTGATGTATCGTGAGCTGTCAAAATCGAATGCTGACAAGGATTTCCAGATTGAATGGCGTTCTCAGGGATGAGGGTGGGCTTCTCCTGGATTGTGTGGAGCAAAAAGTCTCCTGGACAGGTACGTGGTTGTGGTAGCCAGTTCAATGTCGGTGGGATGCTGATGTCGTTGACCAGGCAAACCGTACTTGGCCCTGCGACTATCATCACCGAAACTCTCAGATGTCATCGAACAAGACAATGCTGTCTCAGACATGGCTGGACCTTCGACTTCATCATATCTCAGCCCGGACATACTGGACTCGAGGGTGTCGATCTGCTTTCATGAGGATTCCAACAACAGTGACATCCTCGACAGCTACCTCCATGCTTTGAATAAGCAGCAGTATCAAGACGACCCTGCGATCTCAGACGAAATTCGACCTGCAACGTCTTATGAAGAGGTCGCCAGCAGGCTATCGCGAAGATTCCCGACCCCGATCAGGCCTGCGGCATCCAACCCTCCGACTCCACAACCTGAGTCAGGGTCCATGGCAGAGTCTTACTCCACTGAGCTTGTCGACGATCCAGTCGGCAGACAGTCTTATGATACTGCTCGAGCACTATCAGGTCAAGCAACTCCAGGGGCCGAACCATTGACGCCGAAGATCTCGTTGCCAAGAGAGGAGTTTCCAGTCAAGCATCCGAGCCCAGAGAAGGAAGTCGAAATCAAGCAACCAGTGCCTCGCCGACTTGGAAGCTATCCTGTCCTCATGCAGAGAGCATCGAGCATCGCATCGACCCTTGGCCCACCACGAAGCTTCTCCGATAGTCCTGGCCCACCGCCACCCCGCAGCCCTCTCAGACTCAGGCGGGACCCAAGGACGATCGAAAGCATCATCGCCAGCCATGGCTCTGAGCGAAGGGCCACCCCAAAGATTGCACCCAGCATCAAGTCCGCAAGCGACTTTGACTTCGGCATGGAACCCATAAAAGCCACCGTCACCACGGAATGCACTGGCCCCATCAAGAGGCCCAAGTCTCGCAACAAGAACTCCAGCCCTCGCCGGCGGATCGATCCCTTGAACCGCAAGGAGCGAGAAGAACGTGTTCGAGCCCGCAAGCTGCGTGATCGACCAAGTGTGAGCAGGACCATCGACTCTGTCGTTCACGCACCAGCACAGGCAACTCGCCAACGACAGAAGAAGATCAGACCACAGATCACCATTCCAGACTTACGTCCGCCGCCACTGAGAGCGCCATCTGCGGCCAGTCATGCCAGTGCGTCGAGTGTAGCTAGCTGGAAGAAGGTTACGCAGTCTACTCAGACGCCGGTGTCGCCAGTGCCGTCCCGGACAACCGATGAGGATGACAGGATGAATTACACGCCAATCTCACCAACAGCACAGACTGCCGAAGAAAGAAACTCTGAGTCGGGCATGAACTTCAGCCCGGTAATGATGGTTGCAGAAGAAGTGCCAGTGCCAAAGACCAAGCCTTCACCAAAGCCAACAAAGCTCATTCTCAAGGAAGGGAAGACGTATGCCCCTCGACCTCGCTCGGCATCGTATTCACGGTCCGCAATTCAAAGACGAAGTCGAACGAGTGTCAACAACAGCAATCAGAACAGCGTCCATTCATCGCCGAGGTCGAAGAGCCCAGGCTACGAGCGAGAAGAAGACGACGTTCCCCCTTTGCCATCACCGCCGCCGACTCGGGCCTTGCCACCAACGCCACCAGCTTCTGGATCCGAGAAGACAAGCAAAGCGAACAGCAAGGCCAAGGTCGTTTGCAAAGATCTCCCTACCGTCCCGTCACACGACGTATCGCCAATTTCATCCACCTCCTCGAAGAAGGACAAGGAGAAGTACCCCCACGTCGTCACGCAGCAAAGCAAACACGCCAACAGATCCTCGAACCGAGCCGCCGCACGAATGGATGCCCGCCTCGAAGCACTCGAGAAGCAGAACGCTCTCCTTTCCGCAGCACTCATGGCGGTACTTCGCACAAACGGCGCTCTGAACGGAACAATCCCCAGTCTGCTGGAACCTGAGAGCCCGAAAGCGGGTCCGATGGCGTGGGAGTCACGGGTCGCGAGGAGGAGTGCAGCGACCACAGCGACCAGCCACACGGCCTCGAGCAGCAACGGGAGTGCTCTGGAGATGTACATGAGCACGAGGAGGGGGAGCCGTCATGGTCATTGATTTCGAATTGCTCTGCTGTACGGCCCTTGATGAAAACACAGATGTATACTTAGATCCAATATGATACTATAGGATTGCAGTGGAGGCGTGGCAGTAATCATAATCCTCAAAGCAGGCTTTTTACATCATCACGGCACCTTTATATGATTTCTGAAGCTCTTTCTCCTTTTCGGGTTGGATCATGCCCATGGCGACGAAGCAGTCTGTGCGTTTAAATTCTTGCACGAGTTCTTTGGTCAGGTCGAGACGGCGGTCGTAGGGTCTCGGTGCGTGCTTGATGCTGATGGTGCGATTGAACATGGTGAGTGTTTTGGTGGATTCGTTCGTGAGACCGAGTAGAGCAGCGTTCCCGGTGAAGAGAAGTAAGAGGGCGAGTTTGCCTGCTGGTGTTGCGTTGAGGGACATGGCAGCGCTGATGTAGACCAGAAGCGTTGCGAAGCTCACCAGTGAAGACTGAAGGAATGTGGCGTCTCGCAGCCAGGCCCCGGACGTTATAGCTTTGACGTCGTCTGTTGCGCCTTGGATTCTGAACCATCGATCCTGACTGAGGAGAACGAGGAGATCACTTTGGACGCCTGGCTCCAGGGCGCCGAACCAACCTAGCTGTGCGCGGCGACGGATGATGGAGACGTTGATGAGGCGGGACAAAATCAACAGACCGATAACAGCGGTAGTTACGATGTCTCCAACGAGCACCACAATTCCAGGTATGCTAACAGAGAGCAAGAGAGCCGACACATACGCCAATCCAGAACCCGAAACCCTGGCTCCTGTTTCCTGTGAAGAAGTCACGAATAAAGTCGTAACATGTCCCGTCTTCCCAACTCGCTGAAGGTAGTGTACCGTCGCCGGATTCTCAACACGAAAGACATACCCGGTCGTCATAGCCGCACAGGCTGGGTACTCGCCCTTGGTCAGATCCGGAGCAGTGGCTTGCCTGTGCAGGCCGGGAGCCAGAATGAAGATGTCCAGCCATGAGGAAGTTCCAGTCAGGGTTGTTCGTAAAGGGACGGTGCTGAGGTCTGCGAGGGCGAGAAGTCCGATGGGACCGAGGATGGATGATATGTTGGACAGACTCTGTGAAGATATTGGTTTCAGTGGGTGAGGGAGGGAGGGAGGATTTGGTCTTACCTCGAGCGGGAGGTTCGTTCGGATGGCTTCCAACATTTCGGTGAGAACTTCTTTGAACAACGCTTGAATAGCTGTTGTATTGTTCTTGCTTCTCGTTCGATAAGGCTGAGAGTAGATAGTATAGCTCGGGTCTAGATATTTGATGATAGGCGTAGATACGTCCTGGAAATCCTGGAAATACACCGATTCGAAACAATTCACGCAGGTAGGCCCCAGAGTCCCCCTGTGTCTGTGTATGTACAGCGCTGACAGAGTGCTGCCAGAGCAGGTCTATGTCGAGGCTGAAGATGACGTGGTGGCGAACGTTGGGGAAGCTCTCTCTTGGCCATTGCGATGCACGTGCCTCCACTTTCGGCAAAGAGGACATGGGTGGCAATGCCTAAGGACGACAACACTGAAGGCAGCAGAGATACGCACAGAATAGGAATGCATCGGAGAGCTGAGAGAAAGTCGTCGCCTAGAACCAGATGTCAATCCAGGCTGTGCTTTTCGCCAAGTCTCTCCTCGCATGGGAAAGCGATGCTACTATGATTCGCTGCGGGTCCCCTGATGCGAATGCGCATCGAAGCAATATGCTAAGCGAAGATATTCTGTTTACGCAACGAGGCTGAACGTCTCGCACAAGTCGCACATATCGCTCAGAGATGCGAATTTCAACTTGGCGTGTATTCAAAAGGAGCAGTGTTTCCTCGTTATGCTTCAATCAAGATCTAACATTCACCTCTGAACACCGTCTACCCTCGTATTTCGCAATCTCATGACAATGGCGCCTCTTCCAGACGACAGCGCTTGGTTCTACTACCCCAACACCGGCGCAGCAGCCTTCTTCTCTGCCTTCTTTGGGCTTCTTGGAGTCGGCATCAGCTTTCGTGCCTGGCAAGGCGGCTTGAAGAAGTTCTATTGGGTTGAGCTGATCGGAGTGCTCTGGGAAGTGGCAGGCTTTGCCGTGCGTGCAGCAGCACACGACCGCACGACCGACGTGGTTTGTCTTCATGGTGTTGATCACAATTGCCAGTAGATCTGCTGACCTTTGAACCAGGGACTCTTCGCCGCACAACAATCACTTATCGTCCTAGCGCCGCTGTGGATCGCGGGCGGGATTTACTTGATATGTGGTCGTATTATGGCCGCCGTATCCAAGAAGAGACGTATCTTCGGCATACCAGTGCGGCGGATCGCACTTATCTTTGTCACTTGCGACATCGTCACGCTGCTCGTCCAAGTGAGCGGAACCTCGATCGCTGCTGGTGTTGAATGGGAGGGCTCGCAAGCGGATGTAGGCTCGCACATCATCACGGGCGGGCTTGCGGCGCAGACGGTGACGCTGGTCTTCTTCATTGCCATCATCGTCAACTTCGCAGGGGCTCGCTTGCCTTTCGCTGCAAAGAGAAACGTGCACTGGCTGCCAGGGTTTCGATCAGCCTTCTGGAGTAGCCTGATGATACTCGTAAGTCTCCACGTCTTTGAGGCCAAGTTCAACGCTTACGACCTGCATCCAGTTACGATGCGTATACCGCCTGATTGAATTCGCCATGGGCGTTGACGGATACCTCTTCGAGCACGAGTGGCCATTTTACGTGATTGAGGCACTCCCTATGGCCGTTGCCGTCTGCGGACTTGCGCTTGTCTATCCGCCACATTATCTCCAAGAGGCCGAGAACAGTGAGAACATAGAGGTACGGGATGCCGAGATGAGCTAGATTGCGAGTTTTATATAGTCAGCTCGTCGGTGTTGGGGCACGGCCGATTGGTGTTAATATGCAGACTAGAATATTCCAGCTTATGTCGATTGACGTTTGGACATTGTATTCTCGATCGCATGTGGATTTGATACACTTCCTGGGGTAGCCTCTGAAGCCGGATCGATGGTCGCTGAAGCTATTAGAGCTACTGGATCGTGTTGCCCATGGTTATTGCTCAACCGCCCGAATGGCAATTCGAGCTGTAGCCATGGTTTCAAGAGCTTCTCAATTGCCAGGAAATGTGCCTGCAAGGACCTGCTACTGAAGTTTGAGATATCTGCAAAGCGGGCAAAGTCGGCCGCAGACATTCTTGTGAATGCGTCGTAAATAGCGATCAGATGGCAATAAGACTCGAATGGGTTGTTGATCTTCTCGAGGATCTGACTCATGTGCGTCCAAATAGCCAACTCGGTGGATGTGAAGGTGCAAACGCTGGCAACTTTATCCAGACTTGCTTTGGTGCTTTCGACTCGTGATACATTGGTCAATGGCGGTGCGTCAGAGAGGCGCTCGCGCATGACCTTTGCATGATCATCTGAGCTAATCGTGCGACCACCCCCAGGGAAAAGGGGTGACGAGAAGCCAGAGTTCATAATTTGCATCGAGAAGGAAGCACAGCTCCGAACCAAGACCAAGAGCAAACTCAGAGAGTCTCCCATGTACGACGAACAGAATGTGAGTGCATATGCAGTCGCAAGCTGGGCATTGAGCTTGGTCATTCTGTGATCATTGTCTGTCCGAGACTGGCCAGCGTCTTCACAATGGATATCGGTGAGACCACGCATTGCTACGGCTCTGTGTCTTTCGACTGCCTTTTTCAGGTCAAGGTTGGTCCGCGCATGAAGGTGAGAGGCACCGAGAGCCAGTATAGCATGCATCAGGAAATCATGCTCCTGGGCAAAAATTGGAATATCGTTCTTCCAGGCATGTTCGCCATTCAATGGCAAATGAGGAAAGCTGGCCGTCATGAAGTCGTGAAAGAACCTCATGTCACGAAGACTGAATCCACGAGACTGATACTGGATCTTGCCGATTTTCGTGGATATCACCTTCGCCTCTTCGTCGGGATACACGCAGGTGAGCCCGGTCTTGAGGCAGTTGGTGCACTGCGGGCGGCTTTCGCAACACTATATAAAATCAGTCCACTGAAGTCCAACGTCGTGCTTTGACCGTCACCTTCACTTTGCGACCTTTGCAGGTGAAGCATCCGCGCCGAGACTTGCGATGAGCCTTGATGGCCCGTTTCCGTGGCGCCAGTTCGCTTGAGCTTGATGTTGTACTTGTCGAGCCGTACATCGCGGAAGAGTATGTTCACAAGTAAGGGAGAGTGCTGCGAAGATCAGTCCTCAACCTGAACGATGGTATGTCTTGTACTTCTACTTGTTGGGCACTGCACTGCCTTGTTCGCATTCGCGTGAAGATCACCAAGCCATCCACGTGGTGCGGAATTGCCAGGCGTAGTGAGATCCATGGTAGCCATGGCGCAGCTTTCAGATCTGAATGGCAAATGCTTGAAGGGATATTCTCAAGTATCGCTTTTGATGACGATGTCGGTCTGTCGATGCGCGAAGGCGGCCCTGCGGATTTTGATAAGGATGGTCGGGGTTTTCGTCCCACCTCTTTTGTCGACTGATGTGCAACCGCCGGCTAGAATACTTAGGGTCTAGCGTGGAGTTAATGAGTGAAGGATAAGTTGACTGCACGTCTTCAGGGGCGGTCTGTCAGGGCCAGGGCCAGCATCCTGATCTATCACTTTGTACCATGCAGCCTATTTGCCCGCAACACCATTCTTCTCTCCCACCCTTGACACAACGCAGCTGGAACGGCTCAAATGCCCGATTTGCTTCATGCAGCCGCTCTGCATGAATGGCGCAAGCTGGACGCTACCCCTACCAGCTGAAATGCACTCGGTGACACGGTGCCTGCCATTTTGGCCCCCACGGCATGGTCTGGCCGATCAGGTCTGCCGATGATAGCGGCATAGCGTCCACGTCCCGATGGAAGTCCGCTCTCGATCGTGCCATTGGCGATGGAGTCGGCTAGGGCACGATCCCGTCCTTGTCCATGCGGCTCGGCATGAGAGGCGCCCCCTCTGCTCCAAGGCCTACTTCTTTTTCAATCCGTTCGAGGAGCAATAAGTCTTGCCAAGCTGTGAGCCGACAACTGGACCGCCATGCAGGAATACAGATACTCGGAACACACGCCGATACGCCATGGCTGCATCCGTCTCCTCAAGCTTTTACCGGGACATCGTGGGACAGATCTCGAAGCCAACCTCGAGATCCGATGGATACGTCAAAGTCGAGGAAGCCTAGATGAGAATGCCGTCAAGGATCCTGAGCCTTATGAGGCCCTCTCGTACCACCGGGGGCATAAGGACAACGCCACCAAGTTTATTAAGATATTGGCATGGAGTCAGTCGTATTTCATACGCATCAAAACAAACCTGGATTGCGCACTCCGGCACCTTCGCGATGAGCGAGAGCCGAGATTCTTCTGGGTCGATGCACTATGCATCAATCAGGCTGATGACGATGAGAAGACAGTCCAGATCTTGCAGATGTCACTGATATACAGCAGGGCTAAAAGTGTGGCTGTGTGGCTAGGAGAGGAAGAAGATGGCAGTGCGCAGGCGATCAAATTCATCCGGAAATGTCTTGGACGACTTTGACAGCCTGGTCCAAGACTCCTTTGCGTCGCAAGACTAAGCGGCTTTGTCGGAGTAGATGCGGCGACCTTGGTTCAACCGACGATGGATCATCCAAGAGATCGCCCTTGCTAAAGAGGCCACCCGATACTGCGGAGAAGATGTCTCTTGGAGAGATTTCGCGGATGTGATATCGTTGTTCGCCTACAAGAAGTACGAATTGCGGCAGCTGTTCAGGGAGTCAGCCGCGCACCGCAATCATCCTGACTACCTCGGCGATCTCAGTGAACTTGGTGCGGTGAGGTTAGTATTTGCCTCCGACAATCTCTTTCGAAAGTCGGAGCAAGGCAAGATCATGGAGCATCTCTTCTCACTCGAAGCAGTGATGTCCTCAATGTCCGCATTTGAGGCTTCGGATCCGCACGACATACTGTATGCGGTCCTTTGGCTGGCCAACGATGCACATCCCGTGGCCAAGAACGCAACACAGGTCATGGGCCTAAGGCCTCGAAATCCTCCCCCATCTGCAGTAACTTCGCCAACCGGATCTCCTACACAAGCCTCCAGAAACAGGAAAGATTCGATATCTGACCAAAACGGCACAGCTGAGTCTGCTGGTCCCAGCAGGCTCGTTACCAACGGAGAGAAGCCCTTGCAGAGGCCCGTGACATTCCAGGACGATGTCGAAAGCAAGCCACAGCACTTAATACCCGAACGAATGGTCGAACATCGAGTCCACATGCGCCGACTCAGTACCCAAGGACACGACAGCGATATCTCCAAGAAGAAGATCGCCACGCAGATGCTCATGAATTCTTTGAAGAACAGACGGATCATTGTCGATTACAAGAAGGATGTCTTTCAGGTCTGTAAAGATTTCTTGGAGTTCACGGTGCGGAAGTCGAGATCATTGGATATGATCTGTCGTCCCTGGGCCCCGGATGACTGCCATTTACCTTCCTGGGCACCACCGTTATCAAAAGGTGCCTTCTCACCAGGTGTGAAGAGGGTCCACCGAAGAGTCAATGCGGATCCTCTTGTCGGAGAGCCTGGAATTGGGAGCAAGCTGTATCGGGCTTCGAGTAGTTTGCAGGCAGATTGGTCGCCTAAAGCAGACCATGAGAGGGCACTGAACGTCAAAGGTTTCGTACTTGATTCAGTCTTTGAGAAGAAATCGCCCGCAGCAGCCGGCATTGTTCCATCAGAGTGGATGGCGGCAGGAGGCTGGGATGATGTTTCCACACTGCCGCCAGACAGTTTCTGGCGCACGCTGGTGGGAAATCGAAACGCTTATGGCCAACGACCACCTTCACATTGGCGCCGCGTGTGTCGAGACGCTTTCACGCGCAAGCCTGCACGTGGAGACCTCAATACCAGCGAGATCATAATGTACGACTGCCCTTCTGCGGTGAGAGAGTTCCTCGAAAGGGTGCAGTGCATGGTATGGTCACGAAGGCTTGTCGTCCTGACCAACATGCCAAACGCTTTGGCTCTGGTCCCAATCAACACCAAGAAAGGCGACCTGATCTGCATTCTCTATGGCTGCAGCGTACCAGTCGTCTTGAGGAAGTACATCGGGGGCGTGCCAGCGACGAAGCAGCGAACGAGATGCCAGCACCCCGACTGTCCAACGAACATTCCACATCGCCATCACCGCGATGTTGTCATACATGCTCAGAATGGGGATACGACCGTTCTGAAGAATGGCAAAGTTGTCGATGAGTACTATGAGTTCGTCGGGGAAGCTTACGTGCATGGCATGATGGATGGCGAAGCGTTTCATGTGAAGAGGGAGAAGAAGCTTGTTGTGGAAAGCTTTGAGCTAAGATGAGCAGTCTGAGATGGACAAATGGCGCCCATGCTGTCATGCAACGATGGCTGACTTTTGCGAGATGGGACTGGTGCTTATAGTCTCTGGGCTTCGACACATGTTTCGGGAAATGAGGGTCCACGCGGGTCACTGCACGAAAGTCTCCCCAAAGGACGACCGAGCGAGGCTGGCTAATGCATGGAATACCAGGAACACATCTTCTTTCTTTGATCGGTGTGCGCAAAGATGCGACTCTTTCCCATAAATTTAATGCGACTTGACGCCCTTCGAAGGGCGGTTCTGCGTAGGCGCTGAACCTGCAGCGCCTACGCACAGGAACTCGAACGATCAATCCGAGCTGCAGTTGGCCTGTTCCAGCCGTGCCGCATACTGCAAGTCCCAATTCCACTTATCACCGCAGCAGATATCAGCTACCGCCAGTTGCTCGCAAGACTATCATAGTGTCCACGAACCATGGCGCCACCAGAGATCATCGAGGATTATTACATGATCCTTGAAGTGGATCAAGATGCCGCGCCTGGGGTGATCGTAGCATCCTACAGAAGACTAGCGCTGAAGCGCCATCCCGACCGCAGTAAGAAGCAGAATGCTACTGCTGAATTCCAACTGGTATGTTACCGTTAGCAAGCTCAATGAAAAGCTTATATGCCTCTTCTGTGCGGGAGTTGACGATTGAAGCTCCAACAAGCCTACGACACCTTGAACGATGAAAGCAGACGGAGTGCATACGACCTCATCTATCCGTCTATCGGAAATACACAAGCGCCACGTACGCCCGCTGTTCCAAATCCACAATCGGGGCGCCTGAACGAAGCGAGTCAGATCATCATCCTTCAGAAATCGAAGCAAGAGCGCAACGAGGTATGGCAGGTCAAAAGAAAGGCATTTGAATCGTCGATTCGCCAGATGCAAAGCGTCATGCAGAGCTTAGTGCAGGATATCAAGAATTTGGACAGTATCACCGCGGCAGAAGCCGCGGCAGAAGCTAGGAAGAATAGTTGGACAACCTGTTTGTTGTCATCACTGTACAAGACGGTAGAAGACAGCGAGGAGGAAGTATGTCGTAAAGACAGAGCAAAACAAGAAAGGAGAATTGAAAAAGACATGAAGGAAAGGCGACTGGAAAAGAAGAGGACGGAGGTGATGAAAGAGGAGAGCCTACTCGCAACAGCGATGAGGGAGGTGGATGACGCAGATATGTTGGATGACAGGAGGATAAAGGCACTTTCGAACATCATCCAGGCCAGAGAAGCCGCGGAAAGGGCTGAAAGGGAACGAGTGGAGAGAGACAGGATTGCCCGAGTTCAACAGCAAGAACGAGAGCAGTGGGAGAAGTTGGCTCGTCAAGCATCCGAGGCATCGCAAGCCCGACGAGCAGAAGAACGTAGACGTCGACAGGAGCAGGCTAGGGAACGACAGCAATGGGGCTCGCAATTCGATGCATCTCGTGAAGGTACAAGTCATAACAATTCATCGGCTTGCTGCCATGACGGCTGGTGGCCGAAGATTCACGGCCGTACAAACTGCCCCGAGTGCGGCGACCTCTGGACCTATTTACTGCAGTGTCCGGGCTGTCAGATGAATGCATGCCCGAAATGTCAAGGTGCGATTCGGAGAACCCGCAACGCGCAGCGAAGACGTCCTCAGCCGAGAAATAGAAACACAGGTTTCGACTCGGATGACTTCTACTAACTCGCAACCCAGAACTTCTGGGAGTTATTGGACTTATGACTTGATCCTGTTCCGAAGCATTTGGAACCTCCAGCGAAGCCGCGAACGGACTTTCTGTTGCGTCGATGATCGTATCAAGCCCAGGTGATGAGACCTCCGTCACCGCGCGAAGTTAGCTGCTCAAGGGGTGCGCGAGTCTGTTGTGCATATCAGATCTGCTTCAGCACCCTCGTCGGTGTTCTCTGCTGCTCCACAGAATTCTCCTCAGCAAGTTCCAATTCTGCAGATTGCAAATTCATAGCAGAGGGCAAACGGCAAACGCGCACCGACGTGGGAGCCAAGCGACGACTAACACATCGCAGGCGGCGAGCAGTGCGTCGTCAGGGGGTGGAGCTTAGGCTGGAAATGGCTCGCAGCAAGCAAATGGTCCACAGCAGGCTGGCCTTCTTGCTCATCCTGGCGTAACGGTTCCGAGTACTGCCTCTCCAGCTGCCCAGCAGATAACGGATGCCTCGCAGCAGCCACAAAAAAGGCCCCGCAGTCAAGACGACTGGAGAGCAATCTTACACGGGGTTTTCAACTCGCGATCTCCTCCTACCATTCAAGGCAAGATATCAGAATGAACGCTCCACTGTAGCAGTATCTCCAGTCGTTCTATGTAGCGTCCCAGCTACAAAAGCTGGTGGCTGGGGATCTGGGGATGTCTCTCCCCACCTCCAAGCGAAGTGCCAAGCCATGACAGTCCTTTCGAGTGAATGAAAGAGCTGTGTTACCAAACCTGTTGAGATGACGAAGGCCTGGACATATTCATGTGATAAGTGACACGAAGTGAACGGTTTATTTTTGATTCTCACGTACTCACGAGGAGGATGTCGCATGCAGAAGGCGCCAAGGGCCAATTGGAGCCGACGAATCGCAACGTTGCGGAGTGCTTGGAGGATGCGGACGCATCACCGATCAAGCACCCATCGCTTGTTGTGAACACCACCACCACCACCACCTTCGTTCCGCGGCCTGGTTGTCGCCTTCTTGTTCGTCGTTTGCTGCCTGTTGATCTTCTCATTCGTTTACGCTGTGACTTGTCACGGATTTCTGTCGTTCCTGGAGAACACTTGCCGCCGCCTACGGAATGCAGTCCGTCTAGACCTCGACACAGGACCTCGAGCCGGCGGGTGGCCGTTGAGACTGAAAGATGAACCGTGCGAATGACGATGGCGATAGTGGCGCCACCGCACGACGACGACGACGACTTTGGCTGTCCATCAACGATGAGCAAGAGAGCTGGTTTGCGCAGCGGGTTCAGCAACCGGCAGAGCTCATATACCAGAGATATTTCGTAGAGCTGGTTCTGCGCCAGAAACCGCTCCCTCCCTCCAAAGAGGGCCGACATGTCCCGCTGCGAGCATTACATCAAGAGCATCTCATCGACGAGCGTCGCGGCCATGGATATATATCGAACACGATACGGTCCTCACGATACACCTTCTGGGACTTCCTGCCGAGACAGCTGATCTTCCAATGCACGCGCCTGCATAATGTCTTCTTCATATGCATCGGTGTGCCCCAGACAATCCCGGGACTGTCTACAACCGGAAACTATACGACCATCCTACCGCTCACATTTTTCATCCTCTTGACTGTCATCAAAGAGGGCTACGATGACTACTGCCGGCATCGAATGGATAACATTGAGAACAACCTTTTGGCGACAGTCCTTCGGTCGAGCGATCATGTCAGCGATGAGCCAGTGGCTACGAGGCGCTTGGAAAGAGCTGTGTCGGCATTCTCCGAGTTCTCAGTTCTACGATGGAAAGGCAAGGCTGCGAATGCTGAGACCGTGGAAGAGAAAGAGCTCGATCAAGACGATGAGATCAAGTGGGCCAAGACCAAATGGCATAGCGTCAAAGTTGGAGACATCATCAAGCTGAAGCGAGATGAGCCCGTCCCTGCAGACATTGCTCTGCTCTACGCAGACGGAGAGAATGGCGTCGCCTATATCGAGACCATGGCGCTGGATGGAGAGACAAATCTCAAGAGCAAGCAAGCTTTGCCTTCGCTTTCTCGAACATGCCGTAATCTGAGCGACTTGAAGAACTGCCATGCTGAGTTCGTACTCGAGGACCCAAACAAGGATCTCTACGACTTCAATGGCAGAGTGACGATTGGGGACGAGACTCTACCACTCACATTGAATGAGGTAGTGTTTCGAGGAAGCATCTTGCGGAACACTGACTACGCCATCGGCCTTGTGATCAATTCGGGCGAGGAATGCAAGATTCGAATGAACGCCAACCACCACCCCAAGGCAAAGAAGCCGCGATTGGAGAAATATGCCAATCAGGTCGTATTAACCCTTATCTTCTACGTCGTGATCCTCTCCGTCGGATTTTCAGCCGGCTACCTCATGTGGCACGATGACTTCGAGGATAGCACCTGGTACTTGCAAGACGCCGCTCCACAGTTCAAGCAGATCATCGTGGGCTTCCTGATCATGTTCAATAACGTCATCCCGTTAGCACTGTACGTGAGCTTGGAGATCGTGAAGATCGGGCAGATGCTCATGGTGCAGAGCGATGTTGAGATGTATGATGAGGATTCGAACACGCCGATGATTTGCAATACCAATACGATCTTGGAGAACTTGGGCCAGGTCAGCTATGTTTTGTCGGACAAGACTGGGACGCTGACCGAGAATGTTATGCGTTTCCGAGGCATGAGCTTGGGCGGTGTTGTTTGGATGCATGGCAAAGACTCTGGTGGTGAAGGTGAAGCGTCCAAGCACGACGAGGCTGATTTAAAGCATGTCGTCAAGATGTCAGAGGAGGCATCCAAAGACAAAGCAGGAAGCCCGTCCCCTGATGCTGTGGGTGTTGTGGTTGAAGAGATTGAAGTTCCGACTCCAACTCGTGAGCGTTCACAACCTCGAGTGTCCCAGGCCCTTTCTCGCCCATCTCTCAATCGCACACGTTCGACCCAGACCCAACGAACAACGAAGGAGCTGCTCGACTTCATGAAGCACGATCCGACATCTACAGTAGCAAGGAAAGCTCGCGAGTTCATACTTGGCCTTGCCATCTGCCATACCGCTTTGCCGGAAGTCAACGACGGCAAGATCGACTTTCAAGCTTCATCGCCTGACGAATTGGCGCTTGTGCGTGCTGCCCAGGATATGGACTTCCTTCTCATCCAACGCTCCTCGCAGCGTATTGACCTGAACGTCGGCGAGGAGACGGAGAGCTATGAAATTCTGGAAGTCATCGAGTTCAGCAGCAAGCGTAAACGAATGTCGATCGTCGTGCGCTGCCCCGGCGGCCGCATCTGGTTCATTTGCAAAGGTGCAGACAGCGCCATCATTCCTCGTCTGCGACAGAACGAGTTGGCAGCGAGGAAGTCACAAGAGGTTCGACGTAGCATGGATATCGGACGTCGCAAGCAACGCAAGAGTGAACAGCACGAAGCGCGAAACAGCCTCGGAGCCAGACCAAGCTTGGGGATTCGCGGTAGGAGTTCAATGGATATTCGCCCTTCTTTTGGCATCAGCAGAGTCACGCTTGAGGTGCCTGGCATGGATCATGTCGTTCGACACAGCTTGCAGAACGACTTGAAACGATTCGAGAATGCTGATGACTCTACACTCTTCACCCGATGCTTCAAACACATCGACGACTTTGCCACGGAGGGCTTACGAACGCTGCTTTACGCGCACAAGTACCTCGACGAAGAAGAGTATGCAAGTTGGAAGAAAGTGTATCAAGAAGCCACCACTTCTCTTGTCCATCGACAGGAACGGATCGAAGCTGCTGGTGAAATGATTGAACAAGGATTTGATCTTCTAGGCGCTTCAGCTATCGAGGACAAGCTTCAGAAGGGAGTGCCAGAGACGATTGATCGACTACGACGAGCGAACATTCGTATCTGGATGCTCACAGGCGATAAGCGGGAGACAGCCATCAATATCGCGCACTCCGCGCAAATATGCCAGCCGTCATCCCTGATCTATATCCTCGATTCAACAAAAGGCGACCTCCCCGGCCAGATGAGCGAGATTGTAAACGATGATGACACGCATAGAGTGGTGGTCATCGACGGACACACTCTATCCATCGTCACCGCGCAGCCCGACCTGCGCCACATATTCTACACAGTCCTCATCGCCAACGTCGACTCATTCATCGTGTGCCGGGCGAGTCCTTCACAAAAAGCCGAAATTGTCAAGGGCATTCGATCTCGTCTCCCCGCTCTCACGCTCGCTATAGGTGACGGAGCCAACGACATCGCCATGATACAATCAGCCCATGTAGGAATCGGGATATCGGGCAAAGAAGGACTACAAGCCGCCCGCGTAGCCGACTACAGCATCGCTCAATTCCGCTTCCTTCAACGCCTGATCCTCGTCCACGGTCGATATCAGTATGTCCGAACTTCCAAATTCGTTCTTTTAACTTTCTGGAAGGAGATGTTTTTCTACATGATGCAGGCGCTTTACCAGCGCTACAATGGCTTCACTGGAACTTCTCTGTACGAATCTTGGTCCCTGACAGTCCTCAATACCCTCTTTACCAGCCTATGCGTTATAGTGCCAGGCATATTTGAAATTGACCTGCGTCCCGATACCCTCCTGGCCGTCCCCGAACTCTATGTGTACGGCCAACAAAACCAAGGCCTAAACCTCAAAATGTACGTGGCCTGGATGATCCACGGCGCGGGCTGCGGCATCGCCGTCTGGTACATTATCTGGGCCTCGTACGGACACTTCAACGTCATGGGCGACAACGGCCTCTTCGCCCTGGGAGACCTCGCCTTCACGCTCGGAATCATCTGGACGAACTGGAAACTCTTCATGATCGAGACGCACTACAAAACGCTCATCGTGGGGATTTCCTTCTTCATCACCGTCGCAGGGTGGTTCGCGTGGAATGGCTTCATGTCGGCGATTTATATGAACAACCTCTCGCCCTACGATGTCAAAGGTGGGTTTAGCGATACCTTTGGCAAGGATGCGAATTGGTGGTTGACGATGCTGGTGGCGTTTGTGGTGCTCGCGACGGCCGAATTGGTGTATCTTAGTGTGAAGAGGCGGTTGATGAGGGAGGGGTTGTGGTTTGGGATGAAGGGCGAGTTGGAGGCTTGGCAGGAGATGGAGAGGGATGAGAAGGTGAGGGAGAGGTTAGGGAGGGTTGCGAGGGGGGAGGATCGGGATGAAGATTATGATGGGGTGGAGGGCTGATGTGATTTCATGTTTTCGGGTGGTTTTTGGTTGGCGATACCCCTTCTGCGAGGCTGGGTTTGGTTTTTCTTGCGTCCGTTGTTTGGAGAAAGAATAGATAGATCTGATGAGTTTAGGAATCACGATACGATGTACATGGCACTGGAATGATATGATTAAATAAATCTCCGAAACACTTTCGCTTTGAGATCGTTGTTTGTTCTTCATCGATCGAACGACCCTACTACTCACCCTCGTCGTGGCGCTCAATAATGTATGCTCCATCCCTCGACGTCGTAAGAAGTCACTATGCTCCTGATGATATTTCGGATTGCTTAGACAGTTCGTTAGCGATGGGGATAGTTGTGCGATTTCCCCACGATGTACATAGCAAGGCACTGGAATGATACGATCAAATCACTAAATATTTTGCTTGTACTCGAGTTTCTCGTTGCTCTCCGTCGATCGAACGATCCTACTGCGTACTTGTCCTCGTCTTGCCGCTCGATGGAACCGCCATCCCTCCAACTCGTAAGAAGTCACCATACGCTTGAGGGTTCTCCGGGTTGTTCAGCCTATTCGTGAGGAACGGGGATGATGGTGCGTTTCCACTTTTCGGCGGAATGGAGAATGTAGAAGGTAGGAGTTATGCAATATGTTACTTACGCAAAAGATTTGAACGTTTTCATCAACATTTCATCTATCCTGATTACTCCATTTCGTCAATTGGCGCTCTTTGTCTCCAGCTATCGATCCATCAAATCGACAACTCACCTTCGTGGCTCTCCAGCCATCCATCCCAAGATCCCTTTTGGTGATCATGCCACCGGCATGCCTCGCAAGACCATGGACGATTCCGTTGGGACGGCGAATATCTAGATGATTCTGAGGTGGGCATGACATGTTGGCTGCTATGAGAAACTTGTGAAAGTGAACGGATCGATGTCTCATTAAGTCTTCCTTCCATCATCAATCTATCAATCTATCGTTTGGCTAACCGCTTCCTTGTCCGCCAACGTATGAAGCAGAAAAAAACGAGAACGCCCAAAAATGCCCAAATGCTGCAACTGCAACTGCTGCTCTAATAAGAACCCCTTCTATAAACCACCCTTTTATTTTGTCGTCGTATCCCCATTCATGATCAGTACCAATCAACGCCTCCCAGACACACTTCCCTTCCTTCATCAAAGATATCGAAGGAGAAGAAGAAGGCCTCCACGCCGATTGAAACGCCATACACACAAAAATCCCATAGCCTACCATGCTACACACACAACCTTCCATGCCGTGCGTGATGTTTAAGCCTCATCATCCGTATCAGGCGGATGCGGCGTCCCCTTGGGACTATTCAACCACTCGATATGCCTCAACCGCCTCCTCACCTCGCGCTCCTTCATCTGCGCCCTCGTCAACTTCTTCTTCTTCTTAGCCTTGAATTTCAACTCCCCGCCTTCTTCAGCCTCGCTCTGCGCGCCACTGCCGATCGGCGTGCCGGTCGCGCTGGAGACGACGGAGCTGGCGGCGGCGGAGGAAGCGAGCGATGAGCCCGGACGGGAGCCTTCTTCGAAGGAAGAGAGGTTCACGGCAAGGTGGCCCTTTTGGGTGAGTTTGCCGTCGACGACGTGCCATTGTTCCGGGCAGAGGGCGCCGACGAATTCTTCGTTGTGAGAGATCATGACGACGCCGCCGCGGTAGTCGCGGATGGCGACGGCGAGGCCTCCGAGGGAGTCGCGGTCTAAGAAGTTGGTCGGTTCGTCGAGGACGAGGAGATGGGGGTTGTTCCTAAAACCACATCAGTATCAGTGCTTCTCGGGGAGTTGTGTCGTTTTGGAGGGATGGTACTCACCACATGGCACCCGCAAGAACGACCTTGACCTTCTGTCCACCACTCAACCCGCTAATCTCATTGTGATTCGCAATCTCTGGATCCAGACCAACGTCCTCGAAGTGCTTCGCAATGACCTTGGGTTCCAGCTGTCGGAATCCCAACCCCTCTCTGCTGGCCTCGTGGTCGTCGAATTCCTGGATGAGTTTCTGGTATCCCCACTCCATCAGCGTCTCGCGGGAGACCATGCTGTTGTGCTTGGGGAGCCAGCCGACCCACTTGACTTCGTACTGGAAGGATTTCTTGTACTTTTGTCGGCCGATCAGGGCTTCGACCTGTCGCATGCCTTTGCCTTCGCCGGTGTCGACATGTTTCTCCATCTGGGCCTTGTCTTCGGCGGTGAGAACACGGGTTTGCTTCATCAGCACTTCACGATCGTCTCCGTTGGCATATCGCCATTGCAGGTATTGATTTGGCGTCTTCTCCAAGTGCATCTCGACGTGCTCAAGAGCGTGCTGCTTGATGTAGCCGATACGCAGGTTGGGGTGCTTCTCGACCTTGCCATCTTGTGGGATGACCTCGCCAGTGAGGACCTTGATCAGGGTAGACTTGCCAGCACCGTTTGGACCAATGATGGCGACTCTGCTGCTCAGCGTGAGCGATGCGCTGACATCCTGCAGACTGGGTTTGGGTGCGTTGGGGTATGTGAATGTGCAGTGCGACATGCGCAAGATCGATCGAGTGTTCGATTTGACACCGGTGAGGATACCAGGAGGTGGGAACTTGAACTGCACCTGCGAGTCACTGAGGGTGTAGTAGCTCTTGGCTTCAGGTCGGACCTTGACCAAATCCGCAAGGTTGCCCTTGTAATGCACCAACTTCTTGGTCTCGTAGTTGTAGACATCCGTGCAGACCTCGTCCAGGAATCCAGAATCGTGAGAGACGATGAGCGAGCTGATCTCGGTGTGGCTCTTCAAGTACTCCTGCAGCCACTTAACATTTCCAACATCGAGATGGTTCGTCGGTTCGTCGAGCAGGAAGACATCCGCACGCATCAACATGGCTCTAGCCAAAGCGAGCTTCATCTTCCAACCCCCAGACAGACTGCCAACTTTTTGCGATTGTCTGCCCTCAGGACCAGATGTGAAGCCGACCTCTTCCAAAACCTCCGAGATACGTTCCCTACTCTCACCCTGCAACTCCTTGTCCTTGCAGCAGTATTCAAGAATAGTCAAGTCGGCATCCTCGCCCTGGTTGTGCTCGACGAAGCAAGTCCTAACCTCATCTTGAGGCGGGAAGCCCTCGAGCTTGCCGTTGGCAATCGCTCGCATCAAAGTCGACTTGCCGCATCCGTTTCGTCCACACAGACCGTAGCGGTGTCCCTTGAGTAGCCGCAGATTCGTGTGTGACAGCAAAAGCATACCACCGTATCCCAGTGAGAAGTTGGCGTTGACGATCTCAGTCTCGCCGTCGTCCTCCTTGACGGGCTCGCCAAACTTGCGGTTATCCTCCTCCACCAAGAACTTGTGCATGGTTTCTGCAACGAGCTGTGCCTTGCCGTCATCCATCAAAGGCGAAAGGTAAGGGGTGATGTTCTTCTCGACTCGATCGAGCATACGCTGGTTGGCGTCTTCCGCGACAATCTCCGCAATGTAGTTCTTCGCCACCGCCCACACTTCAGCATCGCCAGGGTAGTTTAGTAGACCACCATTCTGCTGAACTTCCTTTTCCAAGAGCTTGAGAATATCTTCAGGCTTTGTCCGCTCGATAGCAGCCGCATTCGTTTTGGAATCGCCATTCTGCATCTCACCCATGGCCTTCATCATGACATCGTACGCCCGCGCTCCAATCTCTCGCACCTCAGGGAGAGACGCACGATCTCTGACGGCTTGGATACCAGGCTTGAGCTTGGGCAAGAAAGCCCTGGCCTCAACAGGATCATGCACCAGCTTGGTCAGGTTCTCGACAACGACGGCAGTCTGTCGCAGAACCTCCTGCGGTGTAGTAGGTGTGTTCAGTGCACGCTCGAGTTGCGGCGTCAACATGGCCAGCACAGGCGACGTGACAATCGTCACGAACGTCGTCTGGCTGAGCGCATGAATCGCCTTCCTCTGCGCCTCCGCACTCGGATCCTCCATGCTCTTGATCAACAGCGGTATCCTCGGCGACACATCGTCGTTCTGCAACAGCTCAGCCAGACTGTTCATCGTCTTGATCGCCTGCTTCGACACCTCCGCCTTGAGGTCGTGCATGCCGTTCTCCACAATCGGAATCAAACCCTCCAACTTCCTGCCCATAGCATCACGCAGCAAGTCCTTGTTCTGCTCAATCTCTTTACTCTCCATACCAATCTTCGCATCGTCCGCCATACGACCCATAAGCTCGAAAGCGCCCACCGCGCCCTGCCACTTGCCCGTGCTCTTACGCAGGTACTGTGTCAGAAGCGGCAGCAGACCGTAGACCTTCGCCTCGGCAGACAAGTGTGCGTACAGCGCATCCAACGCATATCTGCCACCCTCCTTCACCGCCGACTGCCGATCCGACAGGGCATCCAGCACACAGCTCACCAGGTTCTGCTCTTTCAGGAGGAAAATCACCTCGCTGAGTCTCGCCTTGGGCGGGAACCGCTCGAAGATGGCACCGAGGGCGAACATGGCACCCTCCCTCTTCGCCGCCTGCTTCTTGTCCGTCGCAGCTTTCGCGACTTCAGGGAGGATGTTGTATGCGGTCAGGCCACGGAAGCCGACGCTGTTCAGGAGCAGATCGGTCAGGGCGTAGGAGGCGTCGAGGGATTCCTGCGACGTCTTGGACGAGTAGATGGATTTGGTGAGCTGGGCGACGTCGTCGGCCGACGGGGCGGCCGTCTTGCTGGAGACCATGACGGGAGGCATGGGGGGCGACTCGTGGTGAGGCATCCTCGGCCTCGAAGATGCGTAGGGGAAAACTCCTGTTCAGCGCTGATCCGGGCTGAGTCTGTCGGTGAGGACTGCGTGGCACTCGAAATAGCAGCTTTGTCTGCTGGATCTCGCGAGTCTCTGCCGAATCTAGTCGGCGACTCGCAGAAGTAGGTATATTCGCACAAAGAAGAAGGAGTGGAGAGTGTCGGCGGGTGCAAGATCAGAAAAAAGGTGCGGGCAGCTGGGCGGGAATTTTTATTGAAGCGACCTAGCCACTGCTGGGCCACTGAAAGCCCACGAGCCGCGATAAGATCTCGGATGTACTGCACCCCACTATTTCTGCTTACCACAGGCCCGAATCACAAGACAAGTATAAGAACGGTCGTGAAGGTATAATCTCATCATTCAGAAAGCCCGCTCGATGCAGACTGTGAGATCTACTGCTAGATCTATATAGTGCCCGTTCCTCCCTCGACGCCGATGTCATCATCAAGGTCGTCGTAATCTCTGTTGTCGAGAGTCTTGTCCTCTATCATTCCCTATTGCCCACTATTCCAATGCGCAAGAGATCGTCATGAATTAATGCTGTCGTCCTCCCAGCGTCACTTCGCTGGCTGAGAAGCAAACTCCGCGTGCCATGCAAAACTTCCTTTCAATGCTCCGTATCTCGCCATGCAATGCCATAATGTGTCGCCTTGGCACTGAACAAGGCAGTGTATTGGGGTATATGTGTCTTCCTGGTTTCCTTCTCTTGTGTGCTGTTGAGGCTGTCTATTCCTCTACTGACGAGAGTTCGTCTGCGCAAGAGTCCACTCGTCCATTTCTTGTGCTGGAGTCAATGGGTGATTGCGGCCATATGAACCAGATGGCCCACCACCGAGTAACGAAGCACGCTGACTGCCTGGTCGTGAATCTGCGATATCACCACCGAGGAAGTCGCTGTTTCTGTTGCTGTCCGAGATGCTCCTCGCCGCACTTCGGTTGTAGCCGTAGCTACCTGCTCGAGGACGAACCGCTGGTGCTGGTACATTGCCGATCGTATCTCGAGTGCTCACATCGCCTCCCACTCTGAGTGAGTCGACACTGGTCTGCGGCTTCAGCTTCACAGGCATCGTCGCACTACGCGATGGTGTTCGAATGCCCTTGGCTGATGGGGGTCGAACGGGGTCGTCCTCTGGCACGTTCCGCTCCATATCGATGGGTGTGCTGTTGCGGTCTGGAACGTGAGTGTCGACCGGCGTGAAGTCTCGTTGATTCCAGCTGGGTCGGTGTGGCCTTGCGCCGTACGGCAAGTTGGTCTGGCTCATGCTTGCAACACTTGCGGCGCGACTGTTAGCTCGGCTGCGGTTGACAGGTGTGTCATTCCCGCTGCGAGGGCCAAATCCTGGTGTTGAGGGTACCTCCTCGTTGACGCTCATGTACGAAGCGTTGGGGTCAAAGGACCGCATCTCGGAGACAAAGTCGTTATCTTCATCTTCAATCTTGTTCAGCCGTCGAACGGTCTTCATCTCGAATCCATACTTCGGTTCTTCAGGCGGCGGCGGTGGCTGCTTCTTTGGCTTTGGTTCTCGTGGTAAGTCGTTAACGGCGCGGTCCAGGTGGTTGAAATACTTCTCACGCAGGCCATGCCATTTCCTCGGCCGGAAGTCTTCCTTGTTACGTGAGACAGACATGTACGAGCTGATGGCGCCGATGATGATGGCGATCATGGTGATGATGGTCAAAATGCCTTGGATGACGATGATGACAATACCAATGACAGTCGTGATGATGCGGCCCAAGTTAAACTGCACATCAAACGCAGCCGAGAGTGCAACGGACGTGACTTTGCTGAAACCCAGGCAGTAGACAACGAGCAGGTTGAGCCTCTGGCCCTCGAATGGTCTCGCCCAGATGATGAAGCAGAAGGCCAGGAATTCGATGACGAGCAGGCCGAAGACTTGAGCTTGTGCGTAGCCGGAAGCACCACCGTAAAAGATAGCCTCGAGGAAAGTGTAGAACAGCCATGCAGTGAAGAACCACCAGCGTGTGCGCCTAAAGCGAGACGCCAACCAGCCGAACTTCTTGGTATAGTCCTCATCATCGTGAATGCTCTTCATGTCACCTTCGCGCTCCATGATACTGCTGAGAGTGCCGGCGGATGCCATGCGTTTCCAGATCGGTTTACTGCCTGACTTGTCTTCATTTGCTGATTGTTCGCCGGACTCCTCGTTGACGGTGGTGTGAGCGGTCTTTTTCAAGCCGAAGCGTGGGATGGGCAATCTGCCGGCAAGCAGCTTGTTACGCTCTGACCGGGGGCCTTCGTTGTAGTCGGTGACATTCCACTTGTACCAGACGGCGTATGCAGAGATAGCCGGGAGACCAAGGAAGAAGATAATGAACACAATCGCCGCAATGCCCTTGACACCTCCCGAGGAATCGTAGGTGAATTGGAAGATGGTGAGGAACATCATCATGAACCAGCCAATGAAACAAGTTCGAAGGGCAACCAACCCGCTGTACCCGAGCCAGTGATCACGGAAGAACTTGAGGCGGTCCTGCTTGATCCATTTGAGCCTTGCAAGCGCCTCCAAGGTCCACTTGAAGATCATGACGGCAGCAACCACGATGACGATCAGAATCAAGAACCACAGGAATCCGGTCATGAAAGCATTGCTGACGGGGATGCCCTCCTCGGCGAGAGTTCCTGCAAAGCCAGAGTAGTTACCTGGTAGAGGCAGGCCGTTCTTGACGGGATGACCATACCAGTGGTATCCTTCGCTGGCGTCTGCGAGAGTGTTGTCCCGACGTCGAAGAAATCCCTCAGCAGTTCGTCGGACAATGTCGCGCTTCAATACCGTCCTTGGGTCGCGATTGTAGATTTCTGAAGCGATGTCGCGGAAGAGCGGGTGGTTGGCCGCACGCTGCATTCCACCACTAAGCGCTCTCTTGTAGATTGAGCTGATGTCGTACCCTCCTCCTACTCCCGAGTTTGGTGATCCTGCTTGCGCGGCACCGACTTGAGAGGTATTGCCAGTGTTCTGGCCAATCAAGTTGTTGATGCTGCTCTGCATGCTTGAGGTGTAAATCATGCCTCCTGCCCATGCAAAATTACTCCACCAGGCCACCAGCACAGAGGGCCAATTCACGGAGAGCGCTCCCGTGAAGAAAATGTGCTGCCAGACCGAGAATACAACACCCACCGACAGAGAGTGCGCGTAATGCAATCGCATGGTCGGGACAGCTTCTCCGTAGATTGCCGTGGCGAATGAAGCAATCATGGCCACAAAGGTGAAGACTCCCAGAACGCTTCCCACAGACTCAGGCTGGCCAAAGGAGCCGCCATTCGTGACGACCGCCGAGTAGCAAGCAATCTCTTCGTGCGAGGTGTTGGAGAAGATGCGCAGGATCGCCTCTCCTTCGAAGTCGGGGATGGTAAGAGCAATAGCTGGAATATTCGCGACGTCCGATGGTGCGACAGGGATGATACCACTGGCGGTGATGGGTACGCTCGAGTTGATGGGACAAAGACTGGGCCACGGTCAGTATTCCACCGCAATACCATCCCCCTTCTCACTCACCTGTAGATGTTGGCATTGCATGGATTGAACACCAGATCAAATCTGTCCTCTCCATAGGCATATACTCCAATGTACATCATCAAGCTGTCGTTGGCGATGCCCGAATTTCCAGCCAGGTGAAACAGCACGGTCATATTGTCCCGATAGTACGCCGCATCGAAGCGAGTGACATTGATGGAACTGCCGCCCAAACAATCTCCAAAGTTCTGGGTGTACAGCGAGGGTTTGCGGTTGTCTTGCAGGTAGACGGTCTCGCCATCTGGGCTCTGGTATGTGATCCATCTTATCCCATCGCTCGTGGTGCCGTTGGTCTGGGCCAGCACAGTTGAGAGGCATGATACAAAGGCGAAGAGGGCCAGCAAGCCCATTCGTATCCGTGGGATCATGGCGCGGATTGTGTGTGTTACGTGGTCAGGGATGACCGAGGGCGAGGGGTTTCGGTGGCTCGTATAGTCGACCGTCGCTTAGCGGGATTGGTATTGTTGGGTGTCCCAACCCAGCGACCGTACGCCGCACGCAGCTGAAGAGCGAACGACACGCAAAGCAGGGGATGGTCGGGGAGTATGTCGAGGTGGATATGCGAAAGTCGCTGCAGGATCGGGAGTCGGTCGGTAGGTGGCCGGGAGTCGAGCGGTGGGCGGATTGATGGCGGTGATGGCAGGGACGACGATGCCTCACGACAGAGCGAGACCGGTTTGCATGTCGAGCGAGCGACGGGGAGCGGGATGGCCAGTAGCGACGGAGGTGGTGGTGGTGGTGGTGAGTGAGTGAAGGGGAGTGCGAAAGCGCAGCAGCAGCAGCAACCATGGAGGTGGACGTGGATGAATCCTGTGCTGGCAGTCGCAGGTAAATGCATGCGAGGGCGTCGCTAGCGTGAAGCCTATTCTGGAATGTCGTCGGCTGCTTCGGCATGACATGCACGAGAGAAGAACTCATTCATTCACTTCATCATTCCCAATCAACAGTATCGAATATGGACACCGGTGACAAGTGTTGTATTCTCAGTGAATACAGCGTTTCTTGTCGACCATCCGCCGTTGTCACAGGACAACCAGACCTCGCAGGCTGTCCATCCGGTATGCGCACCACATCGAGCCCTATCTCGCCAAGACGTGGATAGCGTCGGGCGCGCAGGCGCTTGCGTGCCAAAGACATCTCGCAAAGATCGGATACAGCAGTCGTCGGTCCAAGAAGCGAGCGACTTGCACGAAAGTCCTGCTTGCTCGCCCAGCCAGCTCACATTCGAGCCGTCATCCACTCAAGCCATCCTCATCATCATCATCACCGCGCGGTACATACGAATCTCCTTCTCCAAATTGTCCCCAACCGCCCACACCGTTGCACCGTAAGCGCCGCATCCTTTTATAAATACCCCCAATGCCTGTCCAGTGTCCACCTCTCAAAACCACGCAGCTCTTCCAGCTCTCGGACACTGGCAACACGCAGCGTTCCGAAGGAGCATGCTGTGCGACTGCGAGATGTGAGCGGAACGGCCATCCAGCAGCGCCGTGCGCGTTCCGCCGCGTAACTTCGTTCCTGCATGCGTCGCAGGAAGCAGAGCGACCAGATGTCCGGAAGAACTGGCCGTCGTGTTCCCCCTCTCTCTGCTTGGCGCCGAACGATTGCGCGGAGTTTGGACAAGAGAACGGACGACGCAATCGACTCCGCGGTCCAAGACGCCATCCTCATCATGGCTCAGAGATGTGTGAAGACGGGATACCACTTGAACACTGACCGACTTGCTTGCTTGCTTCCAAGTCGCTTGCGTTGAGAGCCGCCGCGATGCTCTGAAAGCTCTCGACATACAGTAGCGCTCCATCCATCCCACCCACCCGCCCACCCTCCTTCAGCTTCGCAACGAATACGAAGATACACATATCTCTCCATCTACCAGCCCTACATTTTCCGTCAAAACCGCCTCTGATGTAAACACTCACACTCCGCGGACATCTCGTCCCACCACCTCCACCTCCATCATACCAGCAATGCGGGCCATCGCGCGAACATCCGCCGCAAACACGTGCATTGGAAAAGCTAACTCAAAACAAGATCGGCTCGAGCCTATGTATGCGAGCAGCTCTGGCAGAGTTTGGCGCCATTGGGTACTTCTCGACTTCCTCTTACCAGCCTCCCGATCGCAGCGTTGTTCTTTCGTATGGTAGGCTCTTGGAAGCTGACGAGTAGAAGAGTCTTGGAGAAAACAGATGGCTTGTATGTGGCTTTTGTTCTATTCGTATTGCTTACTCGCCCAGCCATTGGAATCCTTGCGTGCGGCACTGAGAGGAGGATTTCTCCCAGAGCTGTATCAATCCTTCACAACAGCTACATACTGCTTTCGTGCGGTGAAACACTACTCAGTGACATGTACCTGTTACATCTCATTCGCAACAGTAGTCAGCTCGACCTTCTTTTGGGCCATTGTCCTTGACGTCCAATGCTGTCCCACTTTGCCTTGTGGGAGGCAGAATGACTGCACCAGTAGCATCCATAACATTCTCTCGTGGCAACAAATGCTCTTCCAAACATTGCCTGAGACTGGACTTTTCTCTCACAGCCTACTCCACCGACTTGGCTCTGCTCGAGATTTGGAAGTCTTCGATAGGCAACCCCCTAAACCTCTGTCCACAACTCCTCACAAAGATCCCATCATCGAATCAGTTTTGTAGATGTACACCAAGTCTCCATCGTTCCATATTTCCATCTCCTCACCCACCCAAACTCTCCCTCTGCCGACTCGGCCACAACCACTCCCTCAACTCGCTATAACTCCACCTCACCCCCTCCTGCACTTTTCCCTTCGCTCTCTCTCCAACCCCCTTCGAATCAAACCTCGCCGTAGTCCTCACACAAACCGTCGCATCCTTATCCATCATCTCCAACGTCGCGATCCACTCGTGCCCATGAACCGGCATCCTCACATCCTCATCCGTATCATACGCAGGCCGCACGCGAATGACGTGGAAATTGTTCGCGTACGTCGGTTTCTTGTAATCGATAGACACCTGCGCCGGTTCAGGAAGCACAGACGCTGGATCGACTGTGACAGTCGCATGATTCCCCGTCCCAGGCAGTCTCTGCGGCGCAACAGCCGCATTCGCAGAGGAATCCCCTCCTCCAGCGAGGTAATTCGCCAATGTAATCTTCTCCTCCATCGCCGTTGCCAGCAATCCTCCATGTGTAACCCCCGGCCATCCACTCAGCGCCCCACCGAAATACACCACTGCGACAAGTCTCTGCTCGCCTCGATCCCAGAAGACCCTCTCCACAGCTAGACCCTTCGCGCCTTGCATCGTGTTGATAAACTCCTTCTCCATCCCCTCACTAGCAGGTAATATCTCCACCCATCCACCCTCTTTCCCTTTCAGCGCCTTCGCGACACCTAAACACTTCCCCCGCAGGACTTTGACTTTGAATTCCTCGTCGATGCGTTTGTTCAGGTCCGCGAGCAGGACTCTGTCTTCATGCGTCCCGGCTGATGGCATCGGAGGAGGGGCGATGTTGTGCAAGGCGAAGAGGCCGACGCCTCCGCCGGCGAGGAGGGAGAGCGAGGCATAGAGGATTGTGGTGCGGTTGCGGCGGACTGGAGAGGTGGTTGTGGATTGGTGGCGGCGGAGGAGGAGCTGGTAGCGGAGGGAGAGGGTGGGGCGGAGGGTACGCTGGAGCGGGCCGAGGAGAGACATGTTGAGAGTTGTGAAAGTGGTGGTGAGTGAGTGAGTGAAGATGGTAGAGAGATTCATGGGTTCTGCAATGGCTCGGCTAGACTTGCTTCTGCTGGACAGCTCTCGACTTCACCTCACCTCGACCTCGGCGAGCACATGAAAGTGAACATCAACCAACTCCAATAGTCACAACACATTCAGAGAGCAAACATTCTTCTCGCGTCCCCTCCCACTAGTTTCCCCAATCTCCTCAACATCCCAACCCGAAAATTATCCCTCATGGACACCTCCCCCATCTCCCTCCTCCCAAGAGAACTCCGAGACATCATCTACGAATACGTCTTCACCACTCCCTACGCCGTGACCCTCCAATCGCAACACATCGAACATCCGTTAACCAAGACATGCTCCCAACTCCGTCGAGAAACACTTCTCATGTACTTCTCCCTCACACGCTTCAACGCCCATCTCGACGACGGACCCCCGACGCCGCTGGCCAGGTGGTTGAAGACGATTGGGCCGGAGTTGGCGTTGCGCGTGGAGGAGATAAACGTTTGGGTATGGCTCCTGTGTTGTCGGTTGAGGTCCCTCGTCTCGTCCCATCATCACTGACTCCGAATCTCAAGGATCTCCACGACCGCAACGCCACCCTCTACGGCGCCGCCGCAACAGCCCGCCTTCTGCAACACGGCAACCTCCCCTCTGGCAGACGCTATATTCTGCAGCCCCTAGGCGATCGAACCCTCAACGGCCTTGTCCCAGGTCTTCACGAAATCGGCCTCAGTATCCTGCGGTTCTGTGTCTTGGCTGACGAGGCTGGAGAAGGGGCACAGGTGGAGGAGACGAGTGAGTTTGCGATTGTGAGGCTGAATCCTCCAGTGGATACTGCGAGAGGAGATGTAGATGAGCGGGTTTGAGTAATTGAACAAAACGCTGAAGCACGAAAGCATGGTTCTCAAAGTGTGCCTGGGGAGAAGAAGTACAAATCTCGCCTAATCATCTGCAATGCCCAGACATCATGCCAATTCCCATTCCCTCCCCCATGCCCTAAACCATCAAAGCCACACAGCTCATCAAACCTCCCAGCTCTGAATCTCGTCCACCCCACCCTCACTGTCATCGCCATCACCAGCATCCTCCATCTCCGCCAACCTCCTCTCCTTCGCCTTCACCTGCTTGACCCCCTCCTCCCACACCCCCGGGAAATCCCTCGTGTGCCGGTAGCCCACCACATTAACATAGAACCCCGCGTCCTCGTACGTCGCCTCCGGATCCCTCACCCGCGGCGGCAACGGCAGCACAACCCACGCGCCCCCCGCCCAGAGGAAGCACGCCCGCTGGGCATTGAAGCACGTCTTGCAGGTGTACAACTGGGGCGAGTCGGTCGTCCAGGCGCGCGAGCTCGTGCAGCCCGTCATCCAGAGGTGGCCGCAGGATTTGGCGGGGGAGGGCGGGACGAAGGAGCGCTTGGTGGAGCCTAGGCTTTGGCGGCGGGCGTGGTATTTCGTGAGGGAGGAGTGCAGGGAGTGGAGGACTGCTGGGGCGAGGTTGGCGAGGTGGCCGTATTCTGGGAGGCCGTTGTTGCGCTTGTCGGTGAAGGGTTTGAAGATGTAGGAGGGGAAGTAGGCTGTGATGGTCGTTTGCAGGTCGGATAGTCCGGTTGTGGATGATCCCAGCTTGCGTTTCTTCGTTGGTGGGAGCTGCTGCTCGTTCTGGCAGTGGATTATGATGGCGAAGGGGTCTGCTGTGGAGTTCGATGGTTGTTCGTGCTCTCTCACAAACAAGGAGTCGTTGTCTTCTGACTCCTCGTCCGCTTTCATCTCGTCTTGATCCGTCATTTGAACTTCAGAGTGCACTTGCTGCTCCAACCTTCCCCCAAACCGAGCACACAGATCGTTCTCATACTCAACATCCCTCAATCCCTCTTGTACTGGTTGTCTCTGCTCAAGCTCCTTTTCTTGCTCAGCACACACAGTCTTCTGGTGCTCCAGGGCCGACTTCAGGCTGGCGATCGTGGCCTCCTTCGCGTTAAGTTCTCGAATGTATCTCTCCTGGTTCTCCATTAGCTTCTCGGTACGTCTGGTGTGGAATTCGTTGCTCTCCATGAGTCGAACAATGAACGCCATGGTGGAGGAAGACATGGGAAGGCTGGCTCCTGGTTCCGTGTCGCCGTGCTCTGGTTGTGGTGTGTCATTCGTCAGCGAGCTGGCTGGAGTCTCTGGAATATCGCCTCTGGATGATGTCGAGGTGAAAGGCGAAGTGCCAGTGTCAGCATCCATCGAAGGGGTCGGCTGTTGCCAGTGGGCCATGATGGCTTTCGGTGTGGTGTGGAAAGTTGATGATGGCAAGACCAGGACGTTCTCGAAATTGTTGCTGGTTTGAACAGTGGTTGTCGACTGAAGCGAGAGTGTCAGCTGCAAAGGCATAAGCATGTGCGTTCAGGCTCCTCTCATTTCGCGGGAGTGCTTCGCCGCAACAAGTTTTCTCTTGACAAATTTCATCGTCGTCCTATACTATGTAGGTGGTGAGTATATAGAGTTGGTAAGATTGCTTATAGGAAATTTGGATGTTGTAGCGATACTGTAGCAGCAAGAAGTAACAAGCTGGCCAGGAAGTGTCGCTCGTCTTTAGGATTCACTGCTGGCAAGCAGACAGCATGCAACAAAGGAAAAAGTAGAATCGATGCGCGTCCAGTATTCCACTCTAAGAACGGTCCAGACGTGAAAAGAGCAGTTCGTGCATTTGAGAAACTGTTGCATAGAACCACAAAGTAATCGCGGTCTCCATTGTTGCATTTCTGCGACTGTTTCCTTTCATGGTGCTCAATTGTTCTTCCACAAATGCAATCTCATGGTCCATTGGGAGCGTTGCTCGTTATCGGTTCTTCGTGAAGCATCCGGAAGCTATCAGTATGGTCTCCCACGCAAACGTAAGTGTGCGGGCTCGTTTCGGGGCCTCTGAGGTCGTCGAGCACGCTGGCCAGAAAGGCTCGCTAGCTTGAGAGCAGGCGTCTAGATCCAGAATCCGTAGAGACTGCTGCTCATCGAATGCTCAGAGTACTGCTCATTGAAGGCGTGGAGCACGGCCAGTCGCATAACCCTTTCCATCCTCTGTCATTCAACCCCTTCCCCTCATTCCCTCCCCTTCTCCTCCCTCCCAACAGTCTCCTCCCCCAAAACTTTACTAGCAGCCATAAACCTACCCAAACAAACACGTCAGCACATCTCCTCTCAAAAACAACACCCTTCCCAACCAACACAAACCAGGATAAGTACTTACATCCCCCCAGCATAACCCCCCAACCCCTTCATACTCTCCGCCTGCACGGCCGTCATACGCAGCAAATTCTCCAAATCCGACATATTCGCGGTGAGCTGCGCGAGTTGCGCGTGGAGGTGCGAGAGTTGGCGGGATTTCGTGGCGGTCGTTGCTGCTGGTGGTGGTGGTCCAGCGGCGACGGAGGCGCGGGATTGCGTGCGTGTGTGGGTGATGGTGCCGGGGGTGCGGGTTGGATTTTTGGAGGTGGACATTTTGCTTTCCTGTCGTTGATGTGTTGATTGTTGAGGTGGGATGGGAGGAGGAGGACGTGTTGTTGATGTTTGAAGCGGGATGGAGATGGGGAAGGGAAGGTGTAGCCGAGGGCTTCTGGATCTCCCTTCAACTTCAACAGTCCATCTTAAAGAGAAACATCACACATGTTCAAGTACGGCTCCTAAAGAAACTCTCAAAAAATGACAACCCCCAAAACCCGCAATACAATCCTCACCGGCGCTGTAGCAGCCATAACAGCCACCGGAGCCTGGTACGGCGCGGGCCTCAAAACAAGACAAGAAATCAAACATGTAATGATGAAAACACCCTCAAATCCCCAACACTTTGCCCCCAATCATAATCCCCCAAATCCCCCAACAAGATCTAACTCCTCTATGCAGGAAAAACGATCCGTCCTAGAATCCACCCTCGACGACAAAATCTCGCAATTGGAACTGACGCGCGAGAGATATGTAAAGCAGAGGGAGGAGTTGCAGGCGAAGATTGACAGATTGGCGGATGGGAAGGGGGTGGGTGGTGGGGATGGGAGGATTGTGCCGGGGCGGTGAAGGGGGAGGATAGGTTTGGGGAGATGGCTTATGTTGAAGTTCTGGATTGGGGAGAGGGAGTGGCGAGGCCGGGAGATCGTGTTCTGCCGTAGAGGCCTCTCCGGAGTTGGATGCTTCTGTCGAGCACGACAGGTATAGCCCCACTCCCACTGAAGGCAGACGGGTTGCCGACGCTGTTCACGCTGGACCATGCGCTTCAAGTGTGCGAGTTGCACAGGCTCACAGCCACGGACTTGACGGAGATGGCTAGCAGCCATGGCTAGCAGCCAGATCGGCTTCGTCCGGCAGCCAAATGCATTACGAACGATGACAATGGTGATGATGGAAAGAAGAAAACGCACGATCGGTCTTCCAACACCATCTTCGCTACCTATGCTACACACAAGAAGCTACTCCTCCAAGCTCGGCCACTCCAGAAGAGACTGTAGTCTTGACTGTCATTATCAGGTCTCGATTCATCGCGTCCGCCTTTTCATTACAATCGACAAGCTTTTCGATTTTCACTTTCACCGTGAAGTTGATTGAACACAGAAGTAATGATACTGCTCTCTGGTCGTAGTACGATAGGGGAGACTGCCAAACAGAAAGCAACAGCAACAGCAGTAGCACCATACACGCAATATCCTCGCTTCAACCGCACATGACGAGTCGAGTCCAGCGCCCTTGTGACGACGCCGCCGCCGAAAACGCCACGCACCGCACCGTATCGCATATGCCCATTCCCAACATATCTCGAGGTATTCTTTTCCATCCCATAAACTTCTCGTGACGCTGGTCTCTTGCGTTGCCCATCTCAGTCAGTGCGTCGTAGCGACATCTTACTGTCGATGAGTTCGTCGCGCAGAGACGGTATGCCTTCACGAGCCTCCTATCCTCGAGAGTGCATCTGCTGCTGCGGCGGCATGGGGTAGGCGCCTTGCTGGGCAGCTTGCTGTTGCTGGAGATATGCCTGATACTGGAGGGCTTGCTGTTGGTCGGCGGTCATGTAGGGTTGCTGGGGCTGGTTGCGGGGCATGCCTTGGGCTTGCATGTTGTTGGGCATGGGCGGTGGGGCGGCGTGCTGCTCTTCGGGCGAATCGACCGTGGAGCCATCGCCGTTGACGTCGTTGGAGTCGGCGGGCTCGGGTGCGTTCAAGCAGGCCTGGGATGTGTTAGTATGGATGTGTGTGGATGCCATTGGATGGAGGAGTCGCGCCTACCTGGATGAGGTTCTTGCCTTCTGGCTTGGTGACGAGCGGCTGGAGTTTGGGCGTGGTGAAGGTATAGACCAGCCCAGTCTCGGAGACGACGAGCAGCAGGACTTGCGTGCCAGTGAGGACCGACAGCTCGTAGGCCTGAGTCGCGGGTCAGTGTGGATGAATCGCACGTGTCAAAGCGCGTCAAGGGCGTACCTTCTTCATGATGCCGGCCTTGCGCTTGGAGAAGGTGATGTGGCGACGCGACTTGTCCTGGATGAACTTGATTTCGATCTTGCGGCGCTCGCGGCCAGGCTTGTCGTCGTCGTCATCGTCGTCGTCCTGGGCGGTGGAGGTGCGCGGTCGCTTGACGCCGCGGGCCTCGACGGTGCCGTTCTCGAGGTCGTCGGCGTCGTGGTCGTTGGCTGGGTCCTGGCTGACGATCTCTGCAGACATGGCGGTGGTGGTGGGCGGCGGTGGTTGCTCAGAGGCTCGCTATGCTGGATTCGGCGAGTGTGGAGATGGATTGCCTGTTTGGAGCTTGCGCAAGTAGTTAAGGCTGGATGCGAGCTGTGCTGTGCTGGCTGGCTGGGCGGGCACGGGCGGCGAAACTGGCGGGAATCGTTGGTGGGGGTGGGCTGGGCCGATTCGCCGGTGATGGGTGACTCTGCACGCTGAATTCGGCGGCCTCAGTCAGGCAGTCGGTCGGTGTCTACGCTGCAGCGCGGTCAGTGGGTGGAGATGGGGGAATGCGAGCAAAATGCGCGAATGCGGCCAGTGTCTGGTGCAGGGTGGTCGGTGCGGTGGTGATGGCTGGGCAGGAATGCAACGAATGCGCGACGCTGGCAACAACGACGCCTGCCCGCCCGCTGCAGCCCCCCAGACCAGGCAAGCAAGAGAGACACACGCACCAGAAGCGACTCCCCACAGCGACAGGAGTCGGGTAGCAGCAGCAGCAGCAGCAGCCAAGTCTTCGCAGAGTGTGGTGGTACAGCGGGCAGAGAGAATGCGGCAAATGGCTAACTCGCTGCGGCAGCAGAGTCGAGACGTCAGCAAACTGAACAGGTTAAAAGATCGAGCAAAGAGGAAAGGCGCAGCACGAGAACGTTAAGGGGCAAAATGTGCTTTAAAGAGCAGCGCCCGCGGTCGCTGGTCTGTGTCGTCCCTCCACTCAGCTCTCGCTACTAGCGCAACGCCGCCTCTTAGTAATGGCGCTTACCAGGAACATGCCCGTCTGCCTCCGCCCGCGACAACACAACTTACACTCGGATCAATCATTCTGCCCAACCCCAGATGCGATGGAAAGTGCTTTGGGAGCTGCTACTTCCTATCTCAGCACAGCAACATTCACCTGTCCTACATCTTCAACTGCAAAGCGGCAGGCGCGACCGTCCGAATCGCCTGATATCACCAGCACTCAGAGTTCACGCTTGCACAGCACTAGTGCAAGAGCATCTCAGCTTGACGATCTCCTCATCAATCAAATCCGCATCCGTCCAGTCGTTTCGTCTCTCCATCACCCTTCGCCGAACGCTCGTCCTTCAGCTGAACGACGACCTACGAATAACCAAACAGGCAGGTCCCGCCCAGCGCCTCGCATCAAACTCTAATCTATGTCTTCATCACGTGTAGATGCATCAGCCGCATGCGGGTCCACCCGCGCCACTCGAGCGATGGATCGGCTCTCCAGCACTTTCTTCCCTATTGCTGACCTTTCACATGCTTCTCGGACATTATCCACCACCACCTCCTCCTCGCATCTCCTCGTCGGATATCGCATCGTATCGGAGCCCGAGTAATACTGTACCTATTCGTTCCTCTCTCCATCCATGGCATGTTACCCGAGCCATCCCGCTTCGAGGCGCCAGACAGCGGATTCCTAGCATGTGACAGCCAGGCATGCTGCATCCTCATATAAGCATGCGGGGTTTCATCGTTCACCTTTCTGCGTGAGTTTTGCCATTTCACACTTCGACACTTCTTCAGTCATGGAATTCTTACTGTCATTTGCATTGTGGGCTGTCGCCTGTCTTTCCGTTTCACTTCTTTTCGAGCGCTTGGCCACGCGGATCTTGATGTCGGGTGAAGAGGAGGGAACTCGTTGCGCTGCCGAATTGGAGCATGCAGTCAGGGAAAAGGCTACGAAGCAGCGTGATGCTGAACAAGCTTTGAGAGAGGACCTCATTACCCTTCGATATGGCCTGGCTGCGAACGACATTCTGGAATGCAGCGATCGCATCTGCTATTAATTGTTGAACGATTACGAAGCTCGCGGGAAGAGAGCAGGGACTTTGATGCAGAAGCTGAGGGGTCGTCTCAACGAATTCGTTCGCCTATCGTTTACTGGAGGTTGTGGAACAATCCTCCCTCGAGGTCGTCCACTATGCTTATGGTTCCATTACGACACCGATGGGCTCACAGATGGACTGGCCTTTTACTATGTTGTGGTGAAGGTCTCATGATACTATGACAACATATCTCTGCAAGACCTCTCCACTGCTTCGAGCACAATCAGCCTTGTCTGGAAGACCTCCTGGCTCAGCAGCTAGCGACTTCATCTCGACATCGGACGAGTCCTTTTAAAGTGATGCCGCCAGTCAAGACTATCAGCAAGGAAGGAAAAAGCATCGCAGTCATAGACGTGAAAAGATATGTCTATCTGCAAGGTCCACATATGAAGATGGCAAGCCAGCCACCACGCTACAACCCAGTTCTACCTGTAATTGGCAACGAACTCGACCCTCATCTACACCTCATTGCCCATCAACCTTCGGCTTCACCAACCCCTCCTTCTCCGCCCGATCAACCTCCTCCTCCCACGTCGGCCACGGAATCTGGAACCCCTCCAAGATCCTCGTATACCCAATCCCATACAACCTCCCCACCGCCTTCGACTTGGCCATATCGACCGTCTTCCGATCCTCATCCACAGCCTCCTCCCTCACCCAAAACCGCACACCCTCCAAAATGGCAATCGCGCTCGACACCGACCCGGGGTTCGCCCGAGACTGAATCTCATAAACATCCTTCAGCTTACACTCCACCGCAAACGCCGCCTCCGCAATCCGCGACGCCTTGACGACCTCTCCCTTCGCCGGCGTCAGCCCGGAAAGCGCCCACTCCGACACCCCATGCGGCGCCTGAACCGAACAAGCATTCCCCGCCTCGATGATATCTTCATTCAACAGATTGATCACACACTCCCCCGTCTCCCGCAGATTCCTCAGCGTGTCTTTGCTCTGGTCCCCGGAGACCGCCTGGCTGACCACAAACGTCGGCGGGTCGTGCGACATGGCCTGGAAGAAGGAGTACGGCGCGAGGTTACTGCTCCCGTCCGCGGAGAGCGTGCTCATGACGGCCGTGGGGCGGGGGATCACAGCGGAGGTGATGAGGCGGTAGTTGAACAAGGGCGAGCGGCCTTCCTCGAAGGGGTCGATGGGGATCTGGCTGGGCGGTGCGGCGGTCTTGGAGGCGCCATCGCCGAGTTTCCAGGCGGGATTGAGCGTTTTGTGCCAGGAGAAGCCGGAGCGCGTGGTGTCCCAGTCTGGTCTTTCGGATTCGGTTTCTTTGAAAGGACGTCTGGCGCTGTTGGCAGCGAAGTGCGCGCCGGGGTTGAGGGTGGTGGAGTTGGTCATTTTTGGCTGCAAGCACGATCGCTAGGGAGAATTGATCTTGTGAGAGATGTTTGTAGGCTTGTACCATCACATATGTATTTATATCTCAAAAAGAGACCTTCCCCATCTGACGCCATAGCTCTACCTCCCCAGCTCACCGGCATAGTAGTACTGAACAGTTAGCCTATCAGAACCGCTGAATAATTGACTTTCCTATCCACTCTACCTCAGCTTGGAAAGGCATAAGCCCGGGTGGGTAGAGCGGGCGGCACTGCGTAGGCCGACGGACCCAAGAGCCATTCGCTTCTTCCACCCCAAATCTTCGTTTGGGGGTCATATCGCGATGCATTCTTACTACGGCCATCTAAGCGGTTTGCTTTGCTTTTCGCTTGACTGCTAAAGCTCACGATTAGAAATGTTTGATTGGAAATCGAATTGGAAGGCAAGGCAAGTTTGTCCGAATCCTGGGCTTACCTCTTTCCTGGAAGGGTAAGAGGGTCTTCCGGTGTCTTCCCGTAGTCGTAGTAGTTATGTGAGAGAAAACGTTGTCACGTTGAAACCAAGCGAATTTTAAGAAACAGAAGCTGTCCTTGTTTTGTCCGGCCTAAGAGAAAAGCATTTCTTTGGCGATTCGAGGTCCATATATCTTTGGCGAGTGTGCTCGAAGAGGTGATTTGAGTGCTTCTACACATTCACTCACTCACTAACTATCACGGATGTGGTGGCACGTGCGTAGATTTGCACACTTTTTGCTTTCGGGGTCGCCCTACATCTAGCCGATATGAGGGATCCTCGACGCTCTCGACACTCTCGACACTCTCATCTTCCCTCCATTTTCTCTCTTTCCCTCCCTCATCTCCTCCAAAAGCTAGGCAACAACTTCCTAACATCCCTCCTCCCTTTCCCACAACCCCCTCCTCTCCCTCTCCCTCTTCCCTCCCCAACCAAAAACATTCACCTCCGCCGGCCCAGACCTCTCCCGAATATCCCCGGGCACACACTCAGAGTCCACCTTCGGCTGCCGCGCGAAAAACTCATCATACTTCGCATCCATAGCATCGTACAAGTACTTGACTTTGCCGTTGGGAAACGCCACGCGCCAGGGGTTGCGGCAGGAGTCGCCTTTGCATGTTTTGGTGATGAGAAGGAGGGTGTCGAGGCGCGCGAGGAGTTGCGGAAAGGGGCGGGAGAAGTATTGCTTCGCGTACGCCGCTGTCGCTGCTTGAGAGCGGAGGGGGTTGGACATTTGGGCGAAGTCGTCCTGTTCATCACTTTCATCAGTCTTCTTCATGCAGGGTTTTTGAGCTTGTGATAGGGGGAACTTACATCCATATCGTAAAACTCCTTCGACCCATCACACCACACCGAGTAATAGAAATCCCCATACGCCGTCTGCAACCGCACCGACTTCCACACATTATTATACACCTGCGCGGCTGTCGTCTTCTTCTGCTCCACACTTTCATGCGCAACGTCAGAGTCCCAGAACGCCACGTTGACGGTCTCTTTGCGCTTCGAGTTTTTGAGGGCGTTGGAGGTGTATTCGATCACGGAGCCGTCGAAGTCGGGGCGTTGGGGGATGTTGAAGAGTTTGAGGATCGTTGGGGCGAGGTCGGTGTGGCTGGATACGATTCGGGAGGTTTGCTTTTGTGGAATGCCGGGGCCGGTGATTAGGAGGGGGATGCTGATGTCTTCTTCGTAGCCGCAGCGTTTTCCGGGGAGCAGGCGGTGGTTGGAGATGTGGTAGCCGTTGTCTGGGTGTTGTTAGTCAAATCTTCCTCAGAGGGGATCTACGTTTTACCAGACGTGTAGATGATGTAGGTGTTGTCCAACAGCTTTTTGTCTTTGAGTTTGTCCACAATCATTTTGACCATGTCATCGATGCCAGCGATACTTCGGAGCCGGGAAGCATGGTGTGCGTCACCAGCCTTCACTTCCTTCTCTGTCAACTTTCTCTTGTTTGCCACCCAAGAGGCTCCACTACAATTGCGTTAGTTACCCTGAAGTTCAAAGTCCAGAGCACTGCCATGCTTACCTCGATACGTCGGGATTGAAGTTCTTCCTTCTTGGAGCTACTCGATCGTTGAACAATCCTTTCTGTGCGGGCATTGGAGGTGGGTTAATCACAACACCACTCTGCGTTATCTCGACGTGAGGCGCGACTGTTTCGGGTCAGGCTATGCACTCGAAACAGTAGTCAATCATCCAAATCGTGAGAACACTCACCTGGAGCCACCATGAGAAAGAATGGTTTCTTGGACTCGGCGGCATCGTCAAGATATTGCAAAGCCTTGTCATTTGTGATCTTTTGCGTGTGTACACCAGGCTTTTTCACGACCTTGTTCCCTTCATTCCAGATCGAATTCAAGAAATCGTAGCAGCCAGGCTCCAAGAGCATACTAAAATCCGTCGATCCCCTCGGCGCTGGCGTGTAGAAGTTCTCGGTCGTATACGCATTCATGAACTTCCCGACATAGTACGTATTGATACCAGCATCGCTGAGCCAGACTTGAAGGTAGTTCTTGTTGAGGCCTTGATTGACGAATTTCGGCCACCCACCCCAAGGACTTTCGAGGCCGGTGACATTGGTGTTGTGTGCAGCCTTGCCGGTGAGGAAGTTGACTCGTGAAGGGCAGCACCAGGAGACGGTGCAGTAATGGCGTTCGTAGGTTATGCCTCTGTCTGCGATGAGACTCTTGACGTTCAGCATGACTGACATGGAGTCTAGGAGTATGTCTACCTTTCTGGTTAGAACCCTCCTCCAGTGCCCGATTTTTTGACAGCATTACCCTGATCATCAGCCATGACAACGATTACGTTCGAGGTCGCTATAGTAGCTAAAACTGCCGTAGCGAGTACGATGAGGGCCATCAACTGTCGTGGACTCATGACGGCTGGATGCGCCAGGCTTTAGAAACGAACTGTGTGTGATGAAGCGCCTCATCGCAGTTCTTGTCAATATACACAATCTATCTCCATACTTCGCGTGCATTGCTGCGTTCGTGACATAGTCCTTTGTGTCTTTGTTTGCATATTGCGGGGCAATACTTGGAATGCTAGTGACAATGGATGCCGGAGCTTGACAATAAGAGAGAAGACTCATGGTTGCTGGCAGCACAGAGTACGAGCGCGACAGAATCTGGCATTCTGATCGGTCGATGTTGACAGGGTGAGGTAGGTTCGAAGGAGGACAGGGGCTGCCAGCTGGTCTGAGAATTACGCTGTCTCCGCTTTAAATCCAATCGGGTACCTTTGCCCCAGCCACCACTATATACTGTACTACATATACGAACAACTCGCCCGGCCTATTTCAAGTCACATCGCTGCTACCGCCGCCCCGATGCTCGCTAGCCATGGACAAAGGCAAAGCAGCTGGCAAAAGGGTCACGCGGGCGAGCACCAGCAGCAGCAGTGCAGAACGTGCCAACGGCCGCTATACGAAAATGCGAGATGAAAGCAACCGTGTCGACAGCATTGCGCTGGACGGCGAGGCACTCCAAACATTCGACAACTGCGCGGCCGTCTGCGATGCCCTGGTAACGCCCTCGTTCTCTCTGAACGCTTTCTTCGCTTTCTACGACGCCTTCACCGCGAAGCACGGCACCTTTCCCTTGGGACGCGTCCAGCAGTTCTTCACAGACGCCCATCGCCAACACCTGCGCAATTCTTATACAATTTTCCTAGGCCCCGGCGCCGACGTGCCTGCTGTACAAGCATTCTTGACGCCGTTCATGGCCTCTGGAGATGCCAATGCCGACGACGATAGCATTCCCACCCCCGCCCCCGCTTCCGGCAGTACACCTTCCCTCCGGCCCCGCCTCGGGAGCTGGCAGGTCGACATGCTCGACATGTTGGGCTTGTTTCGCACGGACTTGAAGGGCGATTTTGCCCGCCATTTGGTTGCCGCCGCCAAAGCCGGCTGGGATGCCGACGACTACCTGCGCGCACTCGTGCAAGCAGCGCACAAGCGCGCGGAAGACACCAAGAAGCGCAGCAAGTCGCCTCATCGCAACCGCCCGCAGCGCTTCAAGCCAGCCGACCACGCCGAGGCCGTCGCTGTCCTCCAAGCCCAGGGCAAGCGCAAGTCTCCTACTAGCCACGCTTCCTCTGACCGCTGCGCTCTCGAAGAGGCGGCCAGTACCGGCGCCCAAGACTCCGACGACGTGATCCGCGTATTGCTTGGCACCGCGCCACCGACTCGTCCCCAGGACCATCGATCCCCTTCGCCGAACCCTCGTGTCGGCCGCTGCGAGCCCACTCCTCCTACTTCGCTTCTTGACATCCCTTCGGATCCTCTGGTTTCAAAGTCACGCCCGCGTACATATCAAGCGGACCTCTCCCCGACCCACCAGCCCAATTCCGCGCCTGCAAAACGACTCCGCTCGTCTTCACCACAACCAGCTACAGGCGGTTCGCACAGCAGCGGCAAACGCTCGAAAGGCAAGCGACCACGGCGTTCTGTTCGGTTTTCTCCAGCGGAGAGCAGTTCTCGGGATTTTGACGTAAGTGGAATCTATTCTTAATGTAAAGCCTACAGATGGTTACTGAGTATCGTCTCCATGTCCGACCTGGTAGAGCCGAGGTATTCCAACGATTATATAGCCGTCCACTGCTGACAAGGACAGGGCTCAAATACCATCAATGCCCCAACATTTGACGTTTCAAACACACCGGCTGTCCTCTCGACCGAGGCTGATGGCAACAACGAGGACATAGTACGGCAAAATGCCGTTCCACTGGCCTGGTCACTGACGACCGTCTCCAACGACGCAGCGTCAGTCCCCCGCAAACGGAGCCCTGCTCGTTCGAACTCAGCCGCCACACTATCTCGTTCATCAAAGCCGACAAGTGCTGGCGATGATGCTGCCGAAGCGTTGCGAGTCCTTCGACAGCCAGGGAGAGTGGTTGTCGTCGACGTCCGTCTCCTGTCTGCTGAATGTCCTGCTGTCGAAAGCTCACCATGTGGTTGATCCGAGTGCTGCAATGGACCAACAGGGCCACTACCGTCCTCTCATGAAGAGGCACCCCGACGAAATTCCCCTAGTGGTCCTACCAATGTCTGATGATACGCACTGGATAACTGCTACGATCAGTCCAGCACATCGCACTTGCATCGTGGCGGACTCACTGCGGACAACTTCGCATAGCGACTTTGAGCGCAGGCTTCAAACCTTTTGCAAGCGGCTGACTGTTGGAGACGACCTAGATTGGTACGTCACTTGGGCCCGTGATGCCGCTCAACAGGACGACGCTGCTTCGTGTGGCTTGTATGCAGTCGCAGATGCCATCCTGCGTACTACCGACGTTGACCGACGGGAGCTCGACGTTGACATCTTGCGGCATCTTTTCTGCACTGCTCTGCCGGCGATGCAAACGTCGACGGACAATATTGACACATCATTAGAGATAGCAAGCCCTCCAAAGTGGCACCTTCCGGAAGAGATTCTCGTGGGCATGAATGACTTGTCCAACGTAGACAGACTGCTCGACGAGATCAAAAAGCGCAAAGAACAACACTTCGCTGCCGTCGATAACTACCGAAGTGACATCAAGCGCAAGAAGAGCACTTGTGCAGCCCTTCAAGCGGCGATGGAGCAGAATATACAGGCAGGCGAAGCCGCTCGACAACGGCTCGAGGAGACGACCCCAGTTCGCAAGCAGTACTTGGCCGTGTGTGAACAAATCGCGCAATTGCCACCCTTTGCTGTAGCAGACGAGTATCAGAGAAGATACGCATACGAACCACAAGTGCGAGGCATTGAGCAGCTGTCACAGCTGGGTCGCGAGTACAGGAAAGGGTTGGAAAGGGCGAACGGTCGAGCGGCAAACACGCTACAGGAGCTTGCGGAACAGCGGATTGCATTAGAGGCTTGCTTGAAAGAAGCAGGCAACGTACTCAACAACCTGATGGACAAGGACCTCGAGTGCGAAATCGTTGACTCTGTCGGGGATTAGAGGATGGCGGTGACAGACGAGTCACGTCACCTGAAGAGCCTAGAGATGCTGTCCAAGTGATCTGGCCACTGAACGTCGGGGTCATCGACTCCGGGCTCTTTTTCTTCTTGCCAGGCCCTGACTATCGTCCTCTTTTGACACTCTGCTTCAGTAGTCAAGACTCGGCCGGACTGCATCCTTGTCCGACCTGATCGCCGTCCGACTTGCTCGAGTTGCAAATGTTCACCAAGAATTGGCCCGGCATCCACTCCAAGTCAACAGCGGATTCTCCTTCAATCTCGAACTGTGCTCAACCTTCGCAGCCCAAAAGCCTCGGATCAATCTCGATGGGTGTAGTCGACCTCACAATGGCGAAATCCTTCAGCCCGACTGCAATCTCCCCCTCTTCGCCCAGCTTCGCATACACCATTCTACAATGATCGGACTTGTAGAATTCGCTTTTCGACCATTCTGTCATGTTCACATCGATCAACCTCGCCTCTCTAGGAATTTGATGGGTTTGAAAGTCATCAATGTCGGTGCCAAGGATTTGTCTGGCAGCATTCTCCTCGATGTCGATGATTGTCTGGCAGAACGATGCAACACAGTAAGCATCAAACACGCCGGTGAGGTTGATCGAGCGGACGAGATCGACAGCTCTTCGCCTGATGGAGGATTTGCGGCATTTGAAGGCAATCACGAAGATGCACGGAACGAGGCCAGTGCCGAGGGAGAACGCTGGTCGTGTTGATCCTGTGTATCGTGTTAGTGGGTGTCAACATTCGATTTGCATCAGAGGGAGACCGACCTCGTGAATCTGAGTCACTGCCAGGAGAACCCGGGCTACTCGGCGGACTTCCATGGCGGTGAAGTTCCACGTATCGTTCAGCAAGGCCCAGTATGTAGTCGTACTGCTCTTCGAATCGGTCCAGCAGCATCTCATTCGATTCTCGCCAAAAGGAAACTTCATGCCACAGACAAAATGCCTGGATCTGTGCTAACAGATGCGCCGATTGTCGATCAGACGTAAAGGGGATGAAGGCGAACGCAGACATCCATCTGCTCACGTCGCGCTTGCCTTGATCTACTCGAGCCGCGAGGTCCGGATTTGATGACAAGTCGATGGTCCGCGAGTGGACGGAAGCCAGCATCCACAGTCTGTCGTCATCTAGGTCGCCGACGCCATCGTCGCGAAGACCTCCTAATGCTCGCTCGAAAATTTGGCGGTAGACGTCCTGGATGGAGGCGGCGAGGGCATCTAGATAGACCATGGCGTCTTGTAGTGACGAGAAGACGGAGGGGATGTCTTCTTTTATCACGGGGTACAGGAATGGATCTGTTCGGCCCCTGTGAAAGGACGGTCATTACGGAGTTGGAAAAACCTCTTCGAGTGCACTGTGAGCAACTTACTGGATCGTCAAGTCCATGTCGAGTCGGACGAACTGTTGAAATGTTAGTCACCGTGAATCCTTCTGCGCAAAATTTGAAATGCTACTCACCGTCTGTAGCAGGATATCCATATCGCTCTGTGGATTGACTTTGACCTCGACCAGGCGCTTCTTCTCCGCGGACGAAGTGTCGCCGGGGAGTTTCACGCGGTCATAGAGAATGCGAAGGCCAGTTCGCAGATGGAAACTGGCTCGAAGATCTTGGCCACACCAGACTTCGAAACAGAACATGAGCAGCGACATTAGCATGACGACTTGAACTTCCGCATCGGAGCTGGTCGACGAGAGGTTGCCGATGTGGCTACTTGCAAGCACCACTAGCCACGTGTCAGCCTTGTCGCAATTTGGAGAAAATGGCTTGACGTACTGGCTTTGTTGCACTGGTTGATCGCAAAGTCATGAAGGCTATGGTCTACCGAGGAGCCTTTGATGTAGTGTGACGGTGAGAAAATGCCATACGCCTGATGTAGCGATCCCAGCGCAATAATGGCGTGAAGAATGGCGGGCTCTGTAAGGCTCGCAGTAATCGATAGCCTCTCCCACGACAGCAGCCACGCATTCCCCGGTAACTGATGAACAGTCTGCATGCGAAAGTAGTCGAAAGCATTGCGCTCGGTAGTGCCCATACGCTGCAGCGATCCTCCAGGCGACTGCAAGACAGGCGAGAGGGCAGTCCCCGGGCTCAAATGCTTGGGCTGCACAAATGGCAGCTTCCTGACATCGTTAGGGTTCTTCACGGTATCGTAGCCTCCGCACTGCCGGCCCGATCGAGCGCATCGCTGGCATGCGGGCTTGGTCTCGTCGCATTTGATGTGTCGTTGGCGACAAGTCTTGCAGCCTGTGCGTGTTTTCTACGCCTCCTCGTTAGCAGCTGAAACATATGTGAAGAGCGCTGGTTGATCGAGACCACGCACCGGTGCCTTCGCCCTCTGCCTTACGATGGGAACAGTCATGTCGTCTGCGGTGCTGCAGGGCACGGTAAGGCTGCTGCTGTACGAGCTCGATCGAAGCACGGAATGGAATCTACGGACGCCATGACGGGTCGCTTTTGTGTAGGAAAAGGCCCATCTCACAGCCACACAGCATAGGGTGAAGTGGAAGCGATTTGAGTTTGCGCTACCGGCGACGACGAGCCAGATGTGCCCCTAATGTTCCTCTTCGACCGTTGGCCAGCTAGTCTTCCACGCATTTGATTCGTTGGCTTTACGAAGGGTCCTGATATGCCTCGTTTATCCGCGAGACAGCCGTGTTGCTGCACAACTCTATCAATGTGTTTTTCCTCGAAGGGACCACCGCAACGGCGAAACACCGACCACCACCCAAGACTTTCACCGTCAACACTCGCCGCAGCGTTTTCCGACCCATTACGACCGGCAAGGTGCTGACTCGGCCTAGTGCCAAGATTCACGAAGGCTGACGATCTCGACTGCATGCGGTAATTTGCGCAATGAAACTGTCCATTGCGCATACGTGGTTGGCTGAATGAAGCCGCCAAGAGCGATAACCGTATTGTAGACAAGACACTATCTAAGAGAAAGAGAAGCATTAGAGATGCTCTTTCAAACGTGATAGCCAAGGCCGGCTTTGTAACAACCACAGACCAGGTGACAAAGCCGACGCAACATCATGGCTTCATTCTACGGACGTCAATCGGAGCCTTGGCGGCTAGTCGACACTCATGGTGACAAGGAGCCTTGCTACCGGATCCACAAAGCAGTCGGCGAGATCTAAAAATCGATTTCATTACTGAAGAATCCCACAAAGATAGCAGCAACGACGAAGATGTTATCTCGAACTTGCCCCTGTATCGCCAAGCGGGCTGCTCTTCAGCCTTATCTTAGTTCCTTGCCTCTGCTCTTCGGCTTTCCCAATAATCACCTTTTGACACATCCGGGTCTCATAGGCCTCCATGGTAGTATACGTGCTCTTCGAAGTGCCATATCCGGCTTTCCCCTTCGGTACACTGTCTTGCCAAAAGATGCATTGGAGGACCTCCCTAGGTGTGGGTCAAGCCTGGCGATGGATAAGACGCAGTAAGATGTCCAACTTGTGCAATGATCCAGTCGTTCGTAGTCGCTATGCCAACATATCCCCACGACAGAAAGACTGATGCCGCCTCGTGGAATTGCATACCAGCCGCGAAGACGAGCTTCAAGAATACCGTGCTGATTTTGCTACGATCGACCAGATGTCTTGTCTCGTACGACGTGGAATTCTCGATATTATCTCTGTACCAAGCCTACTGTTCGAGGAAAGTCGAGGTAAATTGGCTGCGTAGGTAACTCTACCATGAGCGGGAGAAGAAATGGGCTCTGCCACATAGCAACGGTTCTCTGACACTAGTAGTCCGTCATTCCCGATTATTCGTAGACATGGTGCCTACAGTTACGCTCTCACATTGATTGTGATCAGCCAACACAGCTGTGAGGTGAAAATGACCAATGTCATATTCTTCTTCGATCAGGTCGCGAATGCAGTCGCTTGAGTCGAATGCTGACCTCTGAGAGTGAGATTCAGCGTCCGGTTGTTCAAGACGATCAAAGTGTCGGGCGAGCAAATGGGCCTCACCCAAAGCGGTGCAGTTTGTAAGACGCATGATGATTCAGATTTGTCTCCATCTGATGACTCTCAACCCATGCAACAGGGACGATCGCTCGGCCATTTCCCAACGGACTGTAAGCGCTCACTGTGCTCATGGTTGTTTGCATAGACGTGATATTCAAAGGTACATTTGTAAGCCTACCCCTATTTTCATGAAACTTCAAGGGGTCGTGGAAACTGTACTCTGACACCATTTGGCGGTAATGAAGCAGTGGTGTCGCCCAATTCGAGGGCGATGTCCTCTTCATCTCAATTATTCATTCCTCCGGACCGCGCTATGCTGTGAAAGTGACTCATGTGGCTAGACAGACCTTGGCAGTGGAGTGAGGCTTCGCGTTCCCACTTATTCACTGCGTCACGAGAGCCAAGAGTAGGACGGCATCTGAGGCCAGATTGTCCCACGTACATCAATCAGGCAATGTCTTCGAGCTCCACAACTCGAGAGTCCAAAGTACCTCGAGTGCCCAGGAACGGTTCGTCGGCGTGCGAGGGAGCGGCATCGGATGGAGGGCAGGCCGACCACAAGCACACGATGGTCAAGGAGTCGGGATGAAAGGCATCGATGAGTAGTGACCATATGAAGTCTACATGTGGTCCATCCCGGCAAAAATGCACAGGTCGTACCGAAGGCCAATCGGGCTGGCCCACTCGACCCTTCCCCAACTTCGAGCATGCACAGAATACATGTGGCTGTGGGGAAGCTGCGGGAGCTTCTGACATCGGTCACATTGTCGACCACAACAACACTGTGAGAATACATGTACCTTAGCTGTTGCAACCGAGAGTATGGCATAAAGTCTGCACAATCGCCGTGTCAACCGACGCAACTGCCGTCCCTACAGCCTGATCGAAGGATGCACGTCAAAAGAGGATCTAAAATCCGATGCACAACCTCCTCATTTGGAGTCTTCTGCGAAAGAGAACACTTCAAAACTCCCTGCTTTGCCATTCAGAATAATCGATCCAGTATCAACACCCAAGATGACTCTCCCACAAGACCACCTGGAAAGGGTTTACGCTGGCGTCATCGGCAAGGTCGTGGGCGTTTCTCTGGGCCGACCGTTCGAGGGCCTGCCACGAGAAGCAATCCTCTCGAAGCTAGGCTATGTTCGATACTATGTCAACCACAAGATTGATTCTCCCTTGTTCAAGTCTGGCTCAAGGCCTCTGATTGTGACGGACGATGATGTGACCTGCACTTTTGTCATGGTGCGAGCTCTGGAAGAGCATGGGATGAAGGCGAATCTGTCATCGGAAGAAATAGGCAAGACTTGGTACGAAACACTTTACCTGCCTGCTCAATACCGGGAAGGCGCTAACATGACCTGGTCAGGCTCAACCAAACTGTCGAGAACAAAAGCATATTTTGGTGGGGCGGTAGGCGTCTATACAACATACACATGTTCTGAGCTTTCGAATCTGATACTTTCTTGATTATCTAGGCAGAGGGATCTCAACGGAGCATACGGCGTACTTGAACTTAAAGGCTGGTATTCCAGGTGAGACCTCTTCAAGTGATTCAACGGAGAACAGCTTATCAATATGAGTTGCTAGCGCCTAAAAGCGGATCAATCGAGCAAAATGGCAAGATCGTCGCCGAGCAGATTGGAGGCGAGATCTTCATCGATGGCTTTGGATTGTGCTGCCCAGGTAATCCTGATCTGGCTGCAAAGCTCGCGAAGGAAGCAGCTTCAGTCAGTCATGATGGTGAAGCCGCGTACGGAGCAATGTCCTGGGTACTATCAATGTGATGGCTTGAAGTTGTAAAGCTGACGATCAGTACAGGCCGCAATGGAAGCCGAAGCGTTCAATTCGAAGGATGTCGATCATCTCATCGATACGGGCCTACGATTCATCCCGAAAGACAGCGATATTGCCAGATCTACTGCAGACGTTCGTCAATGGGCGAAGATAGATGGCGACTGGGAAAAGACCCTCACCCGCATTCAGGAGAACTACGGCATGCACATCTTTAAAGGCGCTTGTCACGTCATACCGAACCATGCTATCAAGATTTTGAGTCTGCTGTATGGCGGACACTCATTCGATGAAGGTAAGCCCCGCAAGATGTCAGTCCGTTTGATCGAAGGCTTGCTGAAAATGATAGGCATCCACATCATTGTCACCTGCGGGTGGGATACAGATTCTAATGGCGGCAACATGGGCGCTCTACTCGGCCTCATGCACGGTCTCGATGGTTTCGAGACTGGTCCTGATTGGAGAGGCCCGCTAGCTGATCGTGCGGTCAACTCGAGTGCAGATGGAGGATACTCTATTAACAACTGTGCACGCATCGCCTACGACCTTACAAATTTTGGACGCCAGCTTGCTGGAGAATCGCCTTTGCCACCACCTAGAAGCGGCAAGTCGCATTTCATTTGCTTTTTTTCTGTTTGCAACTAACCTCTCTTAGGTGCTCAATACCACTTCTCGCTCCCTGGCAGCGTTCAAGGCTTCATGCAACAGAACGATGATCGACCTCACGGTCTTGTTGCTGTCGAGCAGGGACAAGGACCCAATGGACCTGCTTTGGCTATTGGACTAGCAGGACTGAGCATTGCAAATGATCCTGTCGAGGTCATGACCGACACGTTCATGTCTGAAGAACAGTTGCCTATCCCGTCGCACTATACTCTTCAAGCTTCTCCGCTGCTGTATCCTGGCCAAAAGGTGAAGGCAGTGGTGACTGCTGACGCTACTGAGGATCAGACTGTCAAGGTGACGCTTCGTCTCAAACACTATGGTGATGCGAAGGCCCTCGTTGTCGTGGATGGACCTTCTTCAGCCTTAAAACCCGGCGCAAGCGAGACTCTCGAGTAAGTTGCGAGGTTCTTTGACAAGGTGAGAAGTAACTGACGCAGATGTTCTACAGATGGACGATTCCGGACACACTCGATCATCAGCCCATCTACAAGATTGGACTAGCTATCTCAACCCCCAGTGCAAAGCGGCTCAAAGGCACTGTCTGGCTGGACTATCTCAAATGGACTGGTACGCCCAATACCACCTTTGCCACTCCCAAGAAGATAGCAAAGAGCTGGCCGCCACCTCCTGATCAACCATGGCGCCGTGCTTGGATCGATAGCGTCGATACTTTCCCCTCGAACTTTTCGAACTTCGTTGCTTCCAAGTCGTACGGTGAGGGAGGCATCTTCACTGGCTGCCGAGACTGGTTCGATTACAAGTTGACTCTCTCCGATCTCATTAGCAACAACGAAGGACCATGCGGGCCGTGTGCGAGATACAGAGGGCTGAGAAGATGGTATGGGCTATTGTTCCAACCAGGCAATAAAATTGCGCTTGTCAAGGCCCGTGATGACGAGAGGATCGAGTTGGCCAGCAAGAGTCTCGAGTGGCAAGTTTGCAACGCAATAGATGTGGCGATCGTTGCGAAGGGGAAGAAATTGCAAGGATACGTTGGCGGTCAACTTGTGCTGGAAGCTGAGGACGGGGAGTATGGCTCTGGTGGGATTGGCTTGATCATCACCAATGGTTCTGCTATGGTCAAAGAGTTCAAAGTCGAGCCGGTGGAGGATGGGGTGAAGAGCCATTTGTGAGTGCAGTGATGGGAAGTGGGTTGAAGTCGTGCTGATCAACGGAAAGCGGTCCATATTCAACTAGCTTCATTCCTACCTTAACATGATCTCAAATCCTTTCGGAAATTGTTCCTTGCCGCATACAAGGCTGTAGTGCATTGATACCACCACTTTTGGCATCTGCGCCAGTCTTCAGCCAATCAAAGCACGGAATCAGACCTCACCTTTCACAACCCAGCCACTTCACTCCATCTCCTTTCGACTTTCAACCATCAACAATGCCATCTGCGCCGGCGTTACTGGGAAAGGTGGCCTTGGGCCTCGCCGGTGCAGCTGGCTTCTATGCCGTACTGCTCGGGGTGCTGCTGACTCCCTCCATGCAGAGATTGTAAGCGAAGCGATAGAATTGCCTCATCTTGAAATAAAAGCTAATTGACCCAGCGCTCTGTATGCTAATCGATTCAATACATTGTGGATGGGCGATGACTTGAGCGATGGTGAGAGCTTTGGATTTGCGAAGAACCAAGTCACGCCGTTCAACATCCAGACGCCGGATGGTGAGACGCTGTACGCCTGGCATGTGCTACCGCTGGATGTGTATTCGCGAAACGAGAAAGAGATCCGAGAAGAAAAGCGTCGGCCGAAGGTACCCATTGAGCATGTGACGGATACGGTTGCGTTCAAACTTCTCACGAGCGGCGATGCTCGTGTTATCATAAGCTGTGAGTGTCTTGTCTCTGATGTTAATCCCTATATGCTCACATGGGCTCGGCAGTCCACGGCAATGCCGGCCACATCGCACAGAACTTTCGTCCGGCCACGAATCGCTACATGTCGGCTCAGCCAGACGCACATGTTCTGACGATCGACTACCGTGGATTCGGGCATTCCACTGGGTCGCCTACCGAAGCAGGCTTGATCGCGGATGGTGTCGCTCTTGTCAACTGGGTCTTAAATGTTGCAAAGATTCCATCAGAGCGGATCGTAATCGTGGGCCAAAGCCTTGGAACAGCCGTCTCCAGCGCCGTGGCTCTGCACTTTGCGGATCCTGGCAGCGACTTGATACCCTCGACTTCGGCGGAGTTGAGGCCTTTACTGCAGTCTCAGCCGACACCAAAGCCGATTACTTTTGCAGGTGTGATACTTGCTGCACCATTCAATAGTGTGCCGACACTGTTGCTCACCTACCAGATCGGTGGAGTCTTGCCGCTCCTGCTACCGCTCAGGCGGGTGCCTTACGTAGCCAGCATGTTCCTGTCGCAGGTGGTGGACCAGTGGTTGACTGCTGAGCGACTTACTGCATACTACAATGCTCTTGAAGGCAGCTTGAAGCTCCATAGTGGCGAGCGTGGCATGGGCTCGGTGCAGATACTCCATGCCTTGAACGACAGAGATATCCCGTATCAGCAAACAGAGATGATATGTCGACGGGTGCTCGGCAAGAGAGATGCAGACAGCGCGATTGAGCCGAGCGAGATAGATGCAAAGGACTGCATCGACGGCAGTCAGGGTGCTGCTGTGCTGGACGTGAAACGTGAAGGAAGGCCAAGACTTCGCTTCGAACTTGTGGGGTTTGGAGGTGAGTGAATGTGAATGTGTCTAGGAGCTTCGCTGACAAGTGAAAGGCCATAATAGAATCATCACCTACAGTCCCGTGCATGTCGCGGTGATGAGGGCGCTCGATGATTTGTTTGATTAAGCGAGATCTGTTGGCCGCATTTTGTTTCAACTTGTGCTGCAGAATATTCGCTCACCAGCACGCACTTTCGTCGCACAAACACAGCAAGATACAAAACAACACCCAGAGAAGCATCAGATCACCAACACACCAACACAGCGCTTCGTTCTTCATACACAATACACAGAGAGTAGGTCACCTATATTCGTGTGCCCCTTGTACACAAGAGCGGATCTTACCCAACAGCTACATCATCCCCATCACAACAATGCCGACCAAGCTCCCAGCAACGATACCAGACGGCGAGCAGCAGCAAATCCTAAGCGCGCTTGTCACCGCAGCTTTCATCTTGCATTCGGGACAGCCTGTGCTCGACTTCACGAGGGCGCTGTTCGAGGCGGCAGTGGTGGATGAGGCGGTGGAGGAGCGGTGGGTCGACGAGAAGGAGGTCGGCATGAACGGCGGCTTCGGAGAGGCACAGGCGTGCAAGGCGCTGGCTCGCGCATACGCTCTCCTGATCAAGCAGGACGAGAAGAACAATGCAGACGAGCTCAAGGGCATAGCCCTGAGCAGATTTACGGGAGATACTTGGGAAGAGAATGTGCGGGCGGTCGAGAGCGGCTGGTGAGAGGCGGGCGGGATATGTGGATTTTTGGCTCGTGGCATGGGATGGTGTTTTGGGCGCTGGATTCACATGATCGTCAGAGGCGTTGGTAAATACGAGCATCAAGCAGCCCGACGCGGCTACCTGGTCATTGATCCCACTTCAATCCTCGCTCTGTCTGCTGTTCCACTCGTCTATCATCTTCTGTCTTTCCAGCTCCCACTCCGTCGAATTGTATTCTCTATTATACACATCACGATAGCACGTGGCTAATTCAGGGCAGCTTTCTTCCGTCAGCGTTGATGTCTCTAACGAAAAGCGAGAACACTTAATACACGGGATCCTTGCCGAAGATGATATGCCACAAGTACTCAAATATACGACCACTCAACCCGTCGCTCATATCCGTATCCATGAGCCATTTGTGGTACCACTCGTACTCCTCCAAGGGCCGCTCCAGCACCTGCTCCCTGGATACGGCGAACTGTGCACAGCACGGCGTGGCAATAACATCGGGCACTTCGCTAGATTCCCCAAACAACTCCCGCCAACCCTCAGGCATGTGACGCTCCAGGTTCTCGGGGTCGTCGCTGTCTGCGCTGCGGAGACGCTGCACCCAGTCCGGACATCCAGGCTCCCACTGACAGCGCATGTTCACGTACCCGTTGCGTTGCACGAAGTCGAGGTTGAGGGTCTTGATGGCAATGACGTTGTCGACGCCTGGTGCATCTGTATGCCATCCTCCCGGGAACCCGGCACGGTGCGAGTGGAGGAAGGCTATCACGGATGGGGGGTCGTGGTAGTGCTGGCTGATGTACAGGAGATATGGATTTGCTTTTCGCCCTTTGTTGCGAGGCGTTGATAGTGTTGCGCTGGTGTTGTCCACGGTGTAGATAGCATTTTGCCAACTGTGAGGTGGTGAGTATGGCCGGATTCAGAGCACATAGCATTAGGGCCATACTCCGGTAGGTACTCCTGAACCCAGCTGGTATCCTCGTGCTGCAGTTTGCCCATTACGATCACCTTATCACCTTCTAGATGCGATGTTGATTGGGCTGGAGTGCTCTCTGCGACCTCGCCCCCTTTGTGCCATCCTACTCTCGCCACATATCCATGAAGAAGGGATGCATTAGAGTACAAGAGGAAAAGCACGAGCGTGAAGCCCGCCAGCACAACGATCCTGACGAACACATGCTGTGGAAGCATCGCTAGACGAGATGACAGACCTTCAAAGACGACTCTCTCGTCGCTCCAGATGAGGTGTGAGAGAGACGGCACGATGCCTCGCATCACTTCCATTTCGGAACATGTGGCTTGATATTGGCTGGCTGATTGTTCAGGACGATGCCCACCCGTGTCCTGCACGTTCGAGATGCAGCCGTTGCAGGAACATCTGTTTGGTTCAAGTATGCATGTTGACCCCAGTGCGAACTCTTGTGAATCTATTGCAATATATCCTAAGAGCAGGACTGCAGCCACGGAAAGGGCAATGGAGCCTTGGGAGCATCGTCAAGTCCCGCCAGTGTCTGAGACTATACAGCAGCGAAGATCGAGATGTTCAAGAACTGGCCAACGGATTGCAGAAGAATCTGGCCTCGGGCTCCTCCGTCGGCTCATCGATCGACCTTGTGAGGCTTCTTGTACGTCGCCATTCTGATTGCCTCGTTGAATGGGGTTCTCTTGCAGATGTCGATGGAATTAATTCCATCATTCTTGCGATCTCGAGCGGGGTGAGATGGAGATTCGATGACGTTAGGCTGGAGCGTGCGTCTTCTGCCGAAGGAGTACTGGTGAAGGAGTATTGTCTTCCTGCCAAGGAAAGAGTGGCGTGATCGAAGTGAATGTTGAGCACAGACCTCTTCTCCATCCTTTCGCCCTATCTCCCCAGCGACGACGCCCCCCATGCCTATCTGCACCGCACACCTTCCCCTCCGTGTGACTTTCCGCGCCCTACACTTTTCGTGCTCGGCCAGAAGCAGAGCGAGAACAAGATGAAGCTCGGCAGACCTTCAACAGAGAGCTCTGGCAACCCCGCCGGCGGCCAGGTTGGGAAGGTCGGCGGCGCCGCGCACATCTCGCACTCTTACGTTGACGAGTACCGTCTTGGGACTGCATCTTTGTTTGGCTTAGGAATAGATGAGTATTCTCTCAGTCTTTCACTAATCTCTCATCTCGTTGTCTTTTCTACTTGAGCCCGGATTCTCGCCTTCACAATCGAAGAGACTGTCAAGATTTGGAGCTTCTCCTCACGATAGATTGCATTCAAGGGAGACATCGTCGCCATGGCAGACTGGAAGAAGGCTGGCAAAGACAAGGCAGAGGCAGTCCTCAGCTTGATCCCAAAGGAATGGCGTATACCGACGATTCCTTCGCCTGAAGAGCAGCGAGACATCACTGGGCCATACATCCAGCAGTTCTTGGACAAGAAAGAGGTCGAGATCACAGAGACAGATGCCGTGGGTATCGTCAAGAATACTTCAGCAGGCGTGTGGACAGCTGTCGAGGTCGCGAAGGCCTTCTGTCACCGAGCAGCCATTGCTCACCAGCTGTTGAACTGTCTGCATGAGATATTCTTTGATCAGGCGATAGAAGAGGCGGAGAAGCTGGACAAGTACTATGCGGAGCACAAGAAGCCTTTCGGTCTCCTACATGGCCTGCCGGTGTCGTTGAAAGACCAATTCCATGTCAAGGGCGTGGAGACGTCGATGGGATATGTCGGCTGGCTGGGGACTTTCCAGGGCAAGAAAGGCACGGGTAAAGAGAAGACATTCGAGTCCGAGATGGTGCGTGAGCTGCGTAGTCTCGGTGCGACACTCTTCTGCAAGACCAGTGTCCCGGCCACTCTTATGGCTGGCGAGACTGTCAACAACATCATTGGCTACACAATGAACCCAAAGAACAGGCTGCTTTCTTGCGGAGGTAGTTCAGGGGGTGAGGGTGCTTTGATAGGGGCTCGTGGAAGTCCCGTAGGATTTGGAACAGACATTGGTCAGGACACGAGATGGTCACCTCGCTAAAGAGTTGCTAATGTAAGGACAGGTGGAAGCATTCGAATCCCAGCTGGATTCAACGGACTCTACGGCATCCGGCCTTCCACTGGCAGACTACCGTACGAGGGCATGGCAAACAGCATGGACGGCCAGAACAGCGTATTGAGCGTAGTTGGACCCATCGCAACAACCCCTGATGCTTTACGCCTTGTCACGCAAGCTCTCCTAAGCACAAGACCATGGCTGCACGACCCACTCGTCCATGAGATTCCCTGGCGACCCGAAGCAGAACTCCCAGTGTCAGACCCCATCCAACGCGCCTCCAACAAACTATCCTTCGGCGTCCTCCGCCACGACGGCAACTGCACGGTCATGCCACCCGTCGCCCGAGCCATCGAAATGGCCGTCAAAGCCGTCGAAAAGCAAGGCCACCAGGTCATCGAGTGGAAGCCAACACCCAACCACCCCACGCTCGTCGACATCTGCCTGAAATGCTGGGGCTTCGATGGCGGAGCTGACTGCCGCAAAGACTTCGCGCTTTCTGGTGAAGACATGCCACAGCAAGTAATTGTCGCCAACACACCCGAAGCGAACGCTTCAGACATCATGGCTGCGAACATCGCCAAGCGCGAGGCCCAGAAGCAATACATGGAGTACTGGAACAGCACCGCGGAGTTGACCAACACCGGCAGACCCGTCGATGCTATCATTGCTCCCATGGCACCGTTCCCCGCGGCGAGACCGACCAAGTATACGTACTATGGCTATTCGGTCTGGGTCAATACTCTGGATTATACCAGCGCTGTTGTGCCAATTACGAATGTTGATAAGAATGTGGATAAGAAACTGACTGACTTCAAGCCCGTGAGTGAGGTTGATGAGAAGACGATGGCTAATTGTAAGTTTGATTCACCTCTACGCATTGAGACAGCTACTTACGCACATCAACGCAGGCGACCCCGAAATCTACGACGGCGCGCACGTCAGCATTCAACTCGTCGGAAGACGACTGCAGGAAGAGAAGATGCTCGCATTGGCGAAGTACGTTGGCGAGGCGGTGAAGAGTTTGTAGACATCGAACGCAAACAGCCACTTTCTTCAGAAAGCATCTATCAACTCAAACTCATCTACCACACGTCACAAAACTAAGAATGATAAGTAACACTGTAGACATCAAAACCCCTACTCGGCCGCCTCCTCGACGCCGACAACTGCTGATTCGCCCCCATCGTCAAACTCTGCCCGCCAAACTGCGCCGTGTACCCATTCCCATTGCCCAAATACGTAATCGTAAACTGCTGCGCACTACCCTTATTCGAGCTCAGAGCCAGTTTGTTCGAGATATAGCTCCCATCCAGCGCACTGCTAATGGTAAAGACATTGCTATCCGCATCGCCCTGCTGGTGCAGCACCCACCGCTGACGGATATCGTTGTGCGTGGACGACGCCCGCGAGAAGCCTATCCGGCCGTGGTTGTTGGCGAGGCCGAAGCCGGCGAATTCGAAGGTGAGGTAGCGGCCCTCGGTTAGGGCTCCGCGGACGGGTTTGAAGCCCTCTTCGGTGGCGAGCGTCATGTTTTGGTTGGCGTTTGCCTGGTTATATGGAACGGGAGGGTGAGCTGTGGGGTGGTCTGCGGCGCATTTGGCGGCGCCCACGTAGTTTCCTGAGAGGGCGCCGATGGGGCCGTCGGAGGGTTCCGGGCCGGGGGTTGTGAGCGGTGCTGGGGCGGAGGCGACGGTGGGGATCGAGTAGTCTGGGTGGTCGAAGTCGAAGGCGTTAAGGAGGTTGGACATGTGTGCGCGGCGCCAGGGGGGCACTTCGTTGCTGCGGACGTTGGTGTAGCCTTGGGCTTCGAGCCATTCTTCGACGAACATGATTTGGGAGTTGTGGTCGGCGGGTTCTGGGGGGTGGTTTAGTTGTGTGAGCTTCTAGTTGTGTAAACTGGGCTTACCGGTGAAGACATTGCCACCACGGGTCCAAGGCGAGACGATCATGAACGGCACGCGGTAGCCTGGGCCGACTGGAGTGTAGCCTGAGATGTTGTACGGGTCATCCATCCACTCTCCTGCGGTGCCAGATGGAGCATGGAAAGGGACGACGTGGTCCATGTATCCACCGACCTCATCGTAGGAGATGAAGAGAGCGGTGTCCTTGGCGCTGGCACCCGAAGTGATGGCGTCGATGATTTGGTTGTACAACCAAGCACCATCAGATGGCAGGTAAGGCTGATGCTCTGTGAGTTCACCTGGGCCGATGATCCAGCTGACCAGAGGCAAGTTGCCGGACTTGGCGTCCTCGTAGAACTTGTCGAGGCCGATGTAAGAGTTGCCGTATTTGGTCAATGGGTTGTTCGTGTCGTTGCTAGCGTCTTGGTACTGCTGGAAGTAGGCAAGCATGTTGTCCTACGAGGTATATCTGTCAATATCGCACTTCACCACATCGAGAGTGGACTTACCTCGAAGTTGTCGGGATCCTGGTAGACTTGCCACGAAACCCCAGCCTCCTGCAAGTACTCGGCATAACTCTTCCACTGCATTGGGAAGCAGTTAAGATGCGGCGCCTCACAACCCGGCGTGGCCGAGTTGTCAAGCATCATATCGCCCTGGCCGTCGGGGTTGCTCGGCGTGCCTGGGTTGTTCACCGTGCCCGTCATCCAGATGATACGGTTGGGATCAGTAGCCGCCAGAATAGCCTCCTGATACATATCGGCCACGGTCCATCCATCAGCCACGTCAAAGTGAGTGGGGATGTCCTGTCGCTTGAAGTACCCCAGGGAGTAGGGAGAGTTGCCCGCGACCCACTGGTTGGACAGGCCGTTGTTGTAGGACTCGTGCATGGCTTGCCAGGAGTACCCTCCACCAGACGTACATCTAGTAGCATCGAACCAATCGCCACCCAGGTAGTTGAAGTACCAAGGCGTGAGTTGGTTGACGGCTGTGCTCTGCTTCGAGGTGACTGGCTGTTGGAAAGTGCTACGGCCGTCTGAGTTCACCTGGACGTTGGGGTCTGCGAAACCTCGAACACCTGGCATTGTGCCGAAGTACTACCATAGTATTAGTCTTGTCTTGATGCGCATATCAATGGGTTCAGTGGTAGTCTTACGTGGTCAAAGCCACGGTTCTCCTGTTCCTTGTCAGTACACCGCCAATGCTGCTATCATCGTCGACTTCAGATCACACACCTGCATGAATAACACAACATGCTTGATATCCTTCAGCGAGCCCGCCGAAGCGGCCGCAACAAAGCTAGCACCGATCAAAGCCTTCGTTGACAGCATCTTGGCCAACACTTGTCACTCACTCCAACGAGAAGCCTCGCGATGACAGCGCCCGCCATCTCTTCAAGTACTTGTCAGATTTTTTGCCGTCGACCCGAAAGGCGTAGCATTGCTCAGTAGCAGTGTCCCACGTGTAGCCGGCAAGCTTTCTAGAAGCACTGTAGCGGCCAAGTCTAACAAAACTCTGTTCCTGTCGAGCTTCCGCATTAGGAAATGGCAGGTCCTCTGGTCTGGGTGGAGTGAATGGACCCTGCATGGAGTAGTTTGGACCCCTCCACTGGAGTTCGAGTCTGATACACGTGTGGTGTGTTCGGTGGGATTGCCGGCAGAGGGATTCTTGTGGGCTTCAAAAAATTGAGCAGGTTGCGAGGTCCAGGTCGTGGAGGTGATGTGCGAGGTGGCACAGGGTTTGTCTCGAATGCGACGAGGACTTCTCGCCAAGGTTGCAACGCAGCGCGATAATTGCGTGCATGAGCTCCCAGCTCTTGTGTTACCACCGTTCATGCTTGATTTCGAGGCGAACTACGGCTCGCCACATTTCGTTCCGAGGACGTGCGTTGCTGAACACCTCGAGCTTGATCTGATACGAGTCGTCCTTCTTCGTTCACTTCTCGATGTAAGCATAGAGAGCGATGGAGAAGAATGGAATATGGAAGAGGAAATGGAAGGTGATACTTCCCACGGCTGCCGTGCTGGCCACGGTCGTCCTCTTCTTTTTCCTGTACCCGAAATTCTATCTGAGCGGCAGCTGGAGCGATGACGATCTGTACTCAGGCGACAGTCCAGAAATCGAACAGGAACTGGGACATGGACCGGTCGCTCACCCTGCGGTAGACGCCAACGATTTCAGCATTGGTCTTCATCCTGAACAGCACATTCATCGAGACCCGGAAACAATTGGTCTGGAATGGAATATCACCAAAGGCGTCCGCCGTCCGGATGGCGTTGCCAAAGAAGTGTATCTAATAAACGGTCAGTTCCCCGGACCTACTGTCGAGCTGCGATCTGGCGACGAGTTACTGGTAACTGTCCGGAACGAATTGGTGAATGAAGGCGTGGCAATCCACTGGCATGGCCTGCGAATTGAGAATACCATGGACGGTGTCGTAGGCCTGACCCAATGCGCCATCAACCGAGAATTCACCTACCGCCTGAAGATTCCCGATCATCAGGCCGGCACATTCTGGTATCACTCGCACTCCGAGCTCCAGCGAGCAGACGGCCTCTTCGGAACTCTTGTCATACATAAGCCAGCATCAGAGGTCGAGTCGACTTCTGACATGGAAAAGTACGACTATCAGAACGAGCAGGTGCTGATGGTCGGCGATTGGTATCATCGGCCGGCTGAGGAAGTGCTCGCGGATTATACCAATTGGGAGAACTTCAAGATCGAGCCAGCCCCGGATTCGATGTTGCTGAATGGTGTCGGCTACTTCGAATGCTCGATGGCCACCAAAGCTCATCCATTGGACTGTCAGGGCCAGAGTGTGCCTCATTTGACACTGCCTGCCAGGACAAGACTGAGGATCGTCAACACTGGAGCTCTGACGGGATTCACGATCTCGACCACAGGATTTGTGATGACATTGCTGGAAGTTGACGGAGGGCATGAAGTTGAGCAGGTCAGGTCGGAGAAAGTGGGCATCCTGTATCCTGGAGAGAGAATAGACCTACTTCTCGACAGATCAGGCCATGACGAGTACGAATCGGCGTGGATCACGATTGCACTGGATCGTGAGAACATGCAATTCCCAAACATGGCCTTGACGCCGACGCAGCAGTTCGCCATTGCACCTCCAATGGACAATGAGCGTGCTGCACCACACGAAGACCCCATCGTAAGGCCTAGGGCGCCGGAGGTGCCATGGATTGATCTGTCCAAGGCCAATGGTTCAGCAATCCCACCTGGGGAGGTTGGCGTTCAAAGTGACGAGACGATCCTGCTGTACGCCTCGATCAGCTACCTAACGCAGTATGAGTACCGACCGAAAGGCTTCATCAACCACACATCATGGTCGCTCTCCAATTCAAGTGACATGCCTCTTCTTGCATTGGATCAGACATCTTGGCCCACTGACCCCGAACCATTTGTCGTGAAGACAGGGCGAACTGAATGGGTTGACCTCGTCATTAACAATATCGACGACAAAGGGCACCCCTTCCATCTCCACGGCCATGACTTCTACGTCCTTTCCGTACACCAAGCCAGCCGTGTCGGGGCATACGAGCAGTACAATCCATTCGATGCAGAGAAAGAACCAGCGGGCGGTCCCATGAACCTCGCGAATCCCGTCATCAAAGACACCGTCTATATCCCGAGCCAAGGTTATGCGGTTTTGAGATTCCAAGCCAATAGTCCAGGTCTATGGCTCGTTCACTGCCATGTGCTATGGCATGAGGCCGTGGGAATGAACATGGCCATCCAAGTTGGAGACGATGCTCAAGTTCGAGGCGAGTCGGTGAAGGAAAGCATTGCCAAGTCGTGTGCCGGCTGAGATATCATTGGAGACGGATCACATCCTTCCCATAAATATCGTCACTCGAAGCAGCGCAAGTCTCTCGCCAAAGACAGAAGGCGAGGCATAAGAGGTCTCCTGAAGACTTCTCGAGGGATTGTGAAGCTTGTCCCCGGTCGGCTCTCGAGCCAAATCAACCGGCGGCGTGTCAAACGGCGGTTGGAAGTATACGGCGGGAATCCTGATACGCTGCCTCGTGGAGCGTGTCGTCGTATGTTGGGGTACATACCCAACTTGGCGCGGGACCTTGAAGCAGAACGACAGAAGGAGGACGGGACGGGACGCGACAGGTGGAAATTGAGTTCGGCTTTCATTCACCGACGAGCCGAAGAGCGATATATGATGACAGAAGTCGTGTAAGAGTAGAAGTTCACACTGGAGATATATGAATAGCAAACGAACGTGTAGGTAGTGGAAATAACTCATAGCGAGAAGAAGTAGATCTCAGGATCGCGGTATTGAGGAAACATCTCCAATGCACAAGACCGTGTTCTGCCAACACCCAGTCGACACCTTTCGACCACGACTTTGTGTCACATTGATATGGCACCCCCAAACGTCAGCTATAAAACTTCCGCCTCCAACACGTCGGGCTCTGCTCTCCTGCAGGTACAAAGGCTGGCAGAGCTCACTGCGGGACATCATTGCTCCTGACCTCACTCCATTTCTTCCGCTCGGCGTTTGATCCATGTAGAGCTCTGAGCTTCACTCCAGGTAAAAGTTGGACCTCACGGAAGTATTCTTTCCCATTTCTCTTCCTTCTCTCATCTCAAGTCCGTTTCAAGTCAAGAGCAAGCAGAAAGACAAGGTCATCCTCACCACTTCAATCAACACCACCGTACCAGTAAGGAGAACGACTCCCCAGGATCGAGCTCCCACCATGGCACCCCTCAACGTCTGCATGATAGGCACAGGCGAATACACCACAGGCTTCGTAGACGGCAGCGCCTCCGGCAGCGACAAGAAAGTCGGCGTCGTAGGCCTCACCCTCTTCGACCTGCGCCGACGAGGCAAAGTCGGCGCCCTCTCCATGGTCGGCACGTCCGGCCAGAAATTCCCAGCAATCCGCATCCACCTCCACCAAAACATCACCCTCGCCTACAACAACCTCGACACCTCCTTCACCTCCTTCCCCGCCGACGATAGGCGCGACCCGGAAGCCTACAAGCAAGCCATCGACGCCCTCTCCCCGGGCGACGCCATCACCATCTTCACCCCAGACCCCACGCACTACCCCATCGCCCTGTACGCCATCCGCAAACACATCCACGTCATGATCACCAAACCCGCGACGCAGCTCCTCTCCCACCACATACACCTGCTCCAAGAAGCCCGCACGCACAACGTCCTCGTCTACATCGAGCACCACAAACGCTTCGACCCCGCCTACGCCGACGCGCGCAACCGCGCCCTCAAAGGCAGCCTGGGCGACTTCAACTACTTCTACAGCTACATGTCGCAGCCCAAATCCCAGCTGCAGACCTTCGCCGCGTGGGCCGGCAAAGACTCCGATATCTCGTACTACCTCAACAGCCACCATATCGACATCTGCGAGTCCATGGTGTCGCACACGCACCGGCCGGTCAAAGTCACCGCGTCCGCGTCGACGGGGATCGCCACGAGTTTGAACTGCGACCCGAAGACCGAGGACACCATCACGCTGCTCGTCGACTGGGAGTCCCTCGACGGGCAGGGCCGTCGCGCAACGGGCGTGTACACCGCGTCGTGGACGGCACCGCAGAAGGCAGGCGTGCATAGTAACCAGTACTTCCACTATGTCGGTTCGAAGGGCGAGGTGCGCGTCAACCAGGCGAAGAGGGGTTACGATGTGACGGAGGACGAGGGCGGATTGGCGTGGTATAATCCTTTTTATATGAAGTATGCGCCGGATGAAGGTACGTTCATAATAATCAATCTCTTTGCCCACCTCCCCCCTGAACGTGTAAGATGTGATGTGTAGACGTTTCGCTGACCGGCATTTTTCTGGTGATACAGAAGGAAACTTCGCCGGCCAATCCGGCTACGGCTACATCTCGTTCGAAAAATTCGTCGACGAAATCCAATCCCTGAAAGAAAACCGCGCGTCGCTCGACGACCTCGACGCACGCGGTCTGCCCACCCTCAAAAACACCATCGCCACAGGCGCGATCCTCGAAGCCGGACGGAGGAGTCTGGACGAGAAGAGACCCGTGGAGATTGTGCAGGAGAAAGAGGGCGAGTGGAGTTTGAAGTAGTAGGAATGATGTTTTGTCCGCTAAAAGGATATTAAATGTCAAAACTCTCCAAATCAAATCTCGCAAGTCTAAGACAAGACAACATGCATAACGGGGGGTTGGTATCGAGCGCTTTCTCTCTTCGGGAAAAATCAGACGTTCAACAAAACGACAGGCTCTTCTTGATGATCAACAACGCTAGTAAGTGGATGGGACAACGCACTCGCTCTCTGCTTTCCTTCCTTCCTTCCTCCACTTCCAATCTCGCTGATACAATATCTGGCGGGTTCGTGATGAATTTCCTACCGGATCGAATCCTCGCCTCCAATCGCTGCTGGGGTATCTTCTGAGGCGGGCGCGTCTTCGTGGTGTCCGTTTGTGTGGACCGGGGTCTCGTTTCCTTCGGCCAGGTCTTTGCGTGCAGCTTCGAGGACTGCAGCGGGCTCGGCGTGGGAGTCGTTCAATGTATCCTTCACGTCTGCAGCTGCGTCATCAGCTGGCGCTGCTGGGATGTCTTCCTCTTGAGGGAGAATGGACTCATCTTCCACCACAGTCTCATCTGCTTGATCTGCTACCGCCTTTGATGTGGTCTTTCCACCCTTGGGATGTCCATTCGCTTTTGGCCTCAGTGGGAGCTGCTTCTGCCTTGGCGGGCTCTTCACTTCTGTCTTCTCTTGCACTCTTCCTGCCGATGCAGCAGTTGGTCTTGTCATGCGCTCCAGAAAGCTGCCATCAACCGGCGCAGCTGCCTTCTTGGTCGCATTTTGAGACGATCTGGATTCAGGTCGACCAGCAATGGAGGATCTCGGGGTAGGTCTGGCGGATGCAGGCTTGGGCTGTGCGCGAGCGGGTGCGGGTGCTTTCGCAGCGTTCGTCGCGGACTCCAGACGCGCACGAGAGGCAGCAGTTGGTGCTGTGAGTCTCGATGAAATATCCAAAGGCTTCGTCGCCTCTCGCGGTTTGGGCTTGGGTGCAGCAGCTGGCGAGGCTTGCTTGTCCGCCGCAGCAGCACGAGCAACCGACGCAGCGGTGGCCGCCGTGAGGGAGGTACGGCTTGGCTTCTTGGCAGGTGCTCTGGCAGATGAGGCAGATGAGAGTGGCGTCTTGGGCGACTTGACTGAGCTCATGGATGCTCGGGGTGCCTTGGTGGAGATGGCGCTGGGCTTGTTAGCACCAGTGTTCGAAGACGCTGGCTGGACATCCTTCCTCAGATCCTCCGCGACTGGTGGCAGTGCCTCGCCACCGCTGACCGCATCCTCACTGGCCGGGTCTGCGGGCTTCATGTCCGCTGGCTCTTCCTGCTCACCAGTCACGGGCTTGTCGGGATTCTCAGGCTCCGTAGAAATCATCCCCAAAGCTTTGCTATTGTCCTCCAACGCGGGAGTCTCAATAGCCTGCTCAGGAATGAGGTCGGCCACGCTTGACGTCCTATCCCTCCTCTCTGCCTCTGTCCCGACGGTATCTCTGATCAGTTCCAGCGCATCTCCACTATGACCCTCGCTCATGCTTGCTCTCCTCAATCCCACACTGCTCTCCCTCTTATGTTCCGTAGCAGGATTATTCTGCTGCTCTGCTGCCAATGCGGCCATAGTGGGTTCGACGGGGAAGAAACTGGCTCTGACTCTGGATCTGGGACGTGGAGGTTCTTGCGCGTCGGGACTCAGGGTTCCAACGGGGGATCGTCCACGGGTGTCGTTCGCGGTGTCGGACGACTTGTTCTCAAATAGCGATCTGAGATTGCGGACAGCGGAGTTGGAGCGTTGTTCGGAGGACATTTCTATGGGGGAGAAGAGAGGGCTGGGGTTAGCGGGTGATCTCAGGTTGATATCATAAGTGGGCGGTCTGGGAGGTCGGCATTGGGGCCATGTGCTAATGCATGGGAAGAAAGTGATGATGTGGTGCTATGGGGACCTGGCCGACAACTATTCGTGTCGCCCAACCTGAAACGGCGCAGTGGCCATTCAAGGGTATATTAGGGGAGAAATAAGTGCTGCCTTTAGGCTGCCGGTGCTTCCAGGAGGCCAGGATGGTGGGATTGCATGTGCGGGAGAGAAGATTCATTCACTCACATTGTCAGTCAGGTCAGGTGTTCGTCATGGTCGATGGCGGCCATCAGCTGCAGGAGTGTTGTCGGCAAGCAGGGATGTCAGGCAGGGCGAGAAGACGACAAGAGGCGTTGATTGGGAAAAAGGGGGCTGCTGCAACGGCCTCCACTAAAATGACCTCACCGCGTCGGCTCATATCAACAACAACACCAACACTACAACATCCAGCCAACCACCTCCACCCTATCAAATTCATTCACTTCCACTTCTCTCTCCAACGCGTGTGTCTGTATACAAGACACGCTCGAGTCATGGCCAACAAAAGTGCTGTCCCTCTCGCTGCGGCACTTCACCGCCCTGCCGTTAGACGCTCGAGCTACCACCCAACTCTGCCCATCCTTCGAGACGAACAGCCGATCCCCAGAAAACGGAAGAACTCCAACAACCACACCCAAACGTCGAGTTATGAACTATATACCTCGTCTTCCACCTCACACGGGTACAGCATCCATCTGGGTGACTGAATGCAACCCGCAATGCACATCCCGCACGTGGAAGCGCATCTCTGGTTCTTCCCCGCAAACACTGCCTTCTGCATCTGCAGGGCATCGAGTGTGGCTTCGCGGTACCACCTCTCCACCACATCCAGCATGCCCGTAAACTCCGCACAACTGCCGCCATGTGCTCCTCCAAAAGCAGAGCTATAGCTTCTTCAAGAGTGAGGGAGGCGAATAGACAGCCTTTCATTACCACCACCCACTACAATGACGAGTCCTATCGTGCTAGGCGTGCTGGCATTGCTAGCGGCAGGCTTTCTGTATCTATTCCTCTTCGTCGGCAGAAGAGAGAAACACCTCCCTCCCGGTCCACCCACATACCCCGTCTTAGGCAATCTCCCCCAAATCCCTCTCAAAGGCGCTCACTTCCAGTTCACCAAATGGGCCCGCGAGTATGGCGGCATCTACTCTCTCAAACTGGGAACCGGTACCGCAGTGGTCATCACCGACCGCAAGCTCGTCAAAGAACTCGTCGACAAGAAGAGCTCCAAATACTCCGAACGACCCAAATCCTATGTGGCCAATCTCATCAGCGGCGGCGACCACATCTTGTTGATGGAATATGGCAATCAGTGGCGAGATACGAGGAAGCTGCTCCATGGCACGTTCATGGAGAAGACGTGCGATGAAAGCCATATCCACTTGCAAGAAGCTGAGGCACGGCAGATGATCCGCGACTATCTTCTCAAGCCTGAGGATCATATGCTTCATCCTAAACGCTTTTCCAATTCGGTGACCATGAGCCTCGTCTGGGGCGTCCGAACACCCACTCCTCACACCCGGCATATGGAGCGTCTATACTCGTTGATGGAAGTCTGGTCCAAAGTCATGGAGCCCGGTGCAACCCCACCCGTCGACATCTACCCATTCCTGCACTACCTCCCACAATCCATCTTCCTCAACTGGGTTGATCGAGCAACCCACGTGCAGAAGGAGATGAACCACTTGTATGCTGATTTCCTCGCCGACATCCGGGCTCGACGCAAGAAAGAAGGCAGCCGTGGCGCTTTCATGGATAAAGTCCTCGATCAGATCGACAGCGAGAAACGAATGGATGGCTTGAGCTACAAAGACCATGAACTGTGGTTCATGGGCGGGACTCGTATATCACATCCTTCCTCTACGCACTCCACTATCAAGCTAATACATGCCATAGTAACCGAAGGCGGCAGCGACACCACGGCCTCAATCCTCACCGCCTTCGTCCAAGCCATGGCCACACACCCCCACATCCAAACGCGCGCCCAAGCCGAACTCGACGCCCAAATCCCCTCAACGCGCTCCCCAACCTGGTCCGACTACCCCTCCCTCCCCTACATCGGCCAATGCATCAAAGAAGCCCACCGCTGGCGCCCCGTAACCCCGCTCGCCTTCCCGCACGCCCTCGCCACCGACGACACCACTCTCGAAGGCTACCACCTCCCCGCCGGCACCACGGTCATCATCAACGCCTGGGGAATGCACATGGACCCGGAGCGGTTCGCGCATCCGGAGAGTTTCGACCCAGACCACTTCAAAGGCTGCACGCGCCTCGCGCCGGACCTCGCGAATGGCAAGTGGGAGGAACGCGATCATTACGGGTATGGATCCGGGAGGAGGTTTTGTCCGGGCGCGCACCTCGCTGAGAGGAATCTCTTTCTCGCGATGGCGAAGTTGTTGTGGGCGTTTGAGATCAAACCGAAGAAGAAGAACGGAGGGGAGGGTGAGGGTGAAGGTGAAGTGAGAATCGACACGGATCCCGTGACGGGGTATTGTGAGGGATTCTTGGTCTGCGCGAATGATTTCGAGGCGGAGTTTGTAGTTCGAGGGGATGACAGGAGGGAGACGATTTTGAGGGAGTTTGAGGAGGATAAGGGGTTGTTTGGGAGGTTTGAGGCGGTGGGGGTTGAGAGGGCTTGATGGAGACTGATATTATGGGGAACAGATTGCGAGGGAATTTGGGTGAGGATTGTTGTCTTTTAGGTGTTGAAGACTGTGAGAATAGGTATATCGAATGATCGAAGGAAGGGGGTATATCGTGATCATATATAACATGAATTGCAAAAACACTTCGCTTGTACGCAAACACACATCACCGACGACTGGGTATCTCACACAATACAACATACACATCACACTCCAGTAGTTTACAAGTCCGCCAAAAACGACGGATAATACCACTCCATCTGCGCATCCCTCTTCCTGCCCTCCTCCCCCCGACAAGCACCAAACCCCTTCCCGCGTCCATTCCACCCCATCAACCGATTCGCAACATCATTCACGAACCCCGCCTCGCCCCTTCCCCTGCCCTTCCCGGGTGGCAAGACATCCAAATCGCCCTCCTTCACCGCGCCCGAGTTCCACGCGCGAGCCACGGCGAAGTAATCGCCCACGTCGACGTTGGCGAATTTGGGCTTGCCGTTGAGTAAGTCCAGCAGACCCGGCCCGCGTTGCGCGGCGCCTTTGATGCCTTCCTCGAGCATCTTGGTGATGGACGCTTGCGGGGATGCGGCGTTGAAGATGGAGCCTTTGTAGGCGTGGAGCAGGCCGCAGCGGGGTTCGGGGCCGATGCATGGGGTTTGGACGTCGCCTTTGGATTCTTGCAGGAGGATGGCGAGGAGGAAGCGCGGGTCGATGTCGTAGGAAGAGGAGACTTCTTCGAGGGCGACTTGGATGTAGTGTTGGAGGTAGACGTCGCCGCCGTTGGCGGAGAGTATGGTTTCTCGGTTGAGGTCCCAGAGGGTGGAGTAGGAGAGCCATTGGGAGGAGGGAGGGTAGGCTTTGGGGTCGCCGTTGTAGCATCTGTATGACGATGCGGAGTCGTGTGATGAGATTGGTTGTTGCTTTGGGAGGTCGTCTGGTGTGAGAGGTTGTTGTTGTCCCGGGGGGTGTAGTAACGGGATGTCGTTTATTGATGGAGCATCGCTTGCGATTGGCTGGGCTGAGGCCAAGGTGAATGGCGAGGTTGCCAGCGCTGAGAGCAGCAGGAGTTCGAAGGGGACCATGACCATTGTCAGAATTGTGATTGGGGTGGTTGTCGACGTTGATTATTGGGACTCCAGGAAGCAGGTGTGTCAACGTGACGGGGGCCAGCAGACGTATAGCCTTAAGACCGATCAGCTGAACGAGAAGGGTGGTTGATGAGCTAACAAAGCAGCTATCTGACGCGATCGAATTCCAGCCAAGCAAGCCAGATATATGGGACAACGTGCAGACTTAATACTGACCCGTACGACCGACGGCGTCCCTTTTCAAAAGGACAGAGAGATAGTCCCAAAGTATACTGATGAAAAGCCAGGGACTATAATTGGGGGGAGGGCGAGGCAGTGCGGGTACGGTCCAACTTAACCTCTTGGAGGATTTGAATTGCTGCTTTCGGTGACCGCTTTAGCATCGTTCGTACAGGCGCCGCTGAGACCTTTGAGTGGCTGATTTGGACCACGATGCCGCCATTGTGCCATTGTGCATCTCCCGTTGTGAAGATTGATCTTCGCGGCTGCAGTAGCATCATATGTTTGCCGCCGAGGAAGACGATCTCGAGGATGTTTGCTTCAGCGATGCGGCGTGGACTGTCGCCTCAGGCGCCTCATGATGGCGGAGTCTGTCTCTCGTGAGGTTTGTTCTTGACAGTCATCAAAGGCGTTTTGGCGACGGTCCGGCCGGCGAATCATTGGTATCGAATACGAAGTGTTGCCGCCAAACGAGAGATGACAGAAACCAGCTGCGCCTCGTGCTGCTGAGATGGTTACGGGAGGATTGCAAAAGATTTGGGGGCTGCTAGGGTCGGCTAGACTTAACAAACTCTCAACCTACTCAACCTTAGCTAAGCGAGCACTTACCTACTTTCTACTGCTCTTTCTCCGTTTCTTTTAGTCCTAATACCTTTATTCCTTCTACTAAAATACTTTGAAATACTATATATATCGTCTAGTATACTATTATTATACCTACGTCTTTTAGACTCGAAGACTAGCGTAACTAGATCGAAGAACGAATAGCCTAGCGAGTACTTTATAAGACGATTCGAGAGGACCTTAAAGCGAGTACTAGTATAAGAGTAAGCCTAGCTACGATAGCTAGGTACCTAGCTAAGTAGAACGTTCGTATAAACGC